CAGGGGTTGGACAGGGGTTGGCCCCCCCTACCCCCCCCCCTAGGACCCCCCCTTCTCCCCCCGATAATCCCTCGAAAAACCTCTCCGAAATCTTTTGACCATTATTACTCTTTTAATACATGTATCAGTATAACAACCCAAGTTGAAAGATGAAACATGTTTGATGAATCATCATAAACGAGTAGTGGCTGCTGGTGGTTGGCAATTTAAGTACTAGCTGAAACTACAACAATACCCAGAGCACGCCGATGTCATCCCCATCATGGATCATATCTGCGAAGGACACGTATGCACATCGTTTTCTGTCTTGGTGTCAATGTAAAACTCAAGAAAATTTTTTTTTGCAGATGGCAGACATGCAACAAGAGTAGTCGGCATCGCGACCACCGGGAACTTTTTTTGCGCAGTCGCGGAATAGGAGAGACCCAATTCAATCAGTAAGCTGCACTTGGTCTTTCATTATACATCAACATTTTCATCAGGCTGCTGAGGAACGTACTCGCTACAACTCCAACCAACCTGACTCTGAGTAGATGAAACGGAACTGCGTTTGAGAGCTGTTATGAAGTGTAGACAATGACAATCTCGCTTTCAGTCTGAGATTCAGAGGAAAGCTTTAACGCAGAGCAGGTTTTTTTCAGTCGTCCATTTCTTGACACTTCTAGCAAACATTGTCAGGAGTTGTATTCGGAAGAATAATGACAAAAAGCGTAGCAAAAACAAACTCATGGGGGAGGGCAATCAGATAGAGACTAGTCATCAGGAGCCCAGAAAGGAAAAACTACCATGTCCGCCGCGCTTTCCGCGGCGCCTGAGCAGCGGAGCTTTAGTCCTGAAAATTCCGTTTACAAGCGGTTATTTTCAACACAGAATGTAGCTGGTCCAGAAAGCAGAGCGGCCTCAGTGCCGCCGACGATACTGCAGGTCCCGCCGACCGCGTTTCCGACGGTTCTGCCCACGACGACGCCACTCACTTCGACAGAGCTATCGAAAGCAGGAGTACACCCTACGACTTCACCTGGTGCGACGGGACAGCAAAGTGGGATCAATGGCGGGACCTCGGTCCAGTATCCCTATCCACTTCTCTCTGTACGGGCCGCAACTTCGACGTCGCTCTCTGCCCGCGCACCGGGAAGTGTGCGTGTGACGGTGCAGCCAGCAGTGACAACCAGTAGCCATGCGCTGTACAATCAGGCGGGAAGCAGCAGCACTGCGCCCGTTTTTTTGCCACCAGACAGTGCGCGAAGCAGTCAAGGAGAGAGGTTAGCCGGAAGTATGGCATCTTCGCCGCTTGGCGCCTCGATGCCGATAGTTTCAGCACGCACGATGTCTGCTAACAGCACGGGCAGTACTGGCGCAGTTGCCAATAGCGGCGGCATGGGCAATGTCAGAAATCAGCTCTATGCGACCGGATTTGGAGGAGCAATAGGGATGAGCGGTAGTGGTTCAAGACGCGCGACAATAGGAGCCCCGTCGAGATCAGCGATGCAACTGGGGCAGCTTGCATCCGCAGCGTCTTCTCTGGTACCACAGATGTCGCCTGGGTGGATGAGTGCAGTGTCATCAGTTCCACAGTACACCGCGCCTTCTCCTGGTGTCGTTGTGGTTCAGCAGCAGCAGCAGTCTAAATCCAATATTTTGCAGTGTCCTGCTGACCCGTTGGCTAGTAGTCGAAGCCACGCCAGTTACGCACCCTCGGACCAGAAGGAGGTAGCGCAGCGAACAGGAACTCCTGGGACAGTTCGCATTTTGCAGTATACAACAAGCAGCGCTACCCCTGTGTCACCGTTGCCGCCACCGGGTGTTGTTCGAATAGTGCAAGGAACGACGGCTACTTCTGGAATGAATCTCAGTCCCACTTCGGCGGTTGTGTCTCGTGTCCCTTTACGACCGACAGCGTCGCAGCAACATGTTGGCGCTAGGAAAGAGGATAGCGTCGAAGAGTACAGCGGCTCGTTGAATGAGAACCGGATGCCCCCACAGGTTGTTATAGTACAGCAGCAGCAGCAAGCTCCGACTGTTCAAGTTGAGAATGCGGCTGGTGGGCTTACGCCGAGTCAATCCAGTGTAGGCACCGTTCCAGTGAGACGTGTTGTGACAGCAACAACGACTCGACCATCAGGAGATGCTCTGAGTAGTAGTCAAAATCACGGTCAACATCTTCAGAACTATGTTGCAACGACATCGTCTTTCTCGTCGTCTTCTGCTGCACCAGTGACCCTTCACAGGCGCTGCATGACCATACGGCCAGTAACCGAACAAGAAGGGGACGCCGAGGATCCGGACTTTGTTCCGGGGTTTTCTGCGCAGCAACCAGGGACTCGAAAGTCCGTTTGTTTTGGTCAGAACGAAGTTCGGGGGATCCTCTCAGTCAAGTCCGGCGCATCTGCGGAGGAATCGATGAGCGCCTCTGTGTCATTCGGTTACGGAGGTGGGGTCGCACCGCTAGGCGGCGTTACTGGGAACAACAGCGCAGGGGAGCACCAGGGGACTTGGTCCCTCACAGAAGGTTCCATTGGCTCAAGAAGCGCAAATAGCGGGGCTGCTGCATTTCGGGGAGGCACTACGCCCGACGCACTTAGTACGAGTAATAGCCGGCCTGGGAGCGCTTTACGGCGGACCTTGGATGAGACGAACCCACGAAATGCGGCGCGATCATCGCCTAGGGAATCCCGCAAAGCTGCGTTGCCGTTGTTTGCGGGACGCTTTGGCAAGACAGCGTCAAAGGATGGCGCATCGCCTCTAGATCGATCTAGCATGCTAGATAAATCGACGCTCTCCAGCGACGGAGGCAGTGGGAGCGCGTCTGCCCGCATGACAAGAAAGCAACCGCTACCGAAATTTCGACGAAAGACAATGTCCGCCTTTCGGCCAGGCGAGCGCACAAAGGAATCAAAAAGTGCGAAATCCTCAGAAGAACGAGATGAGCTTGCGAAGAAAATCGCGGAGCAAGCCGTTGAGCAACTGGAGGTTATCGAGGAAAACCGTGCCAGCGTAGAGGTGTCTGGTGGAGGCAGTGACGGCCGCGACGGAAATCGACATGATAGTACTTCTGCGAAACCAACTGTGGCAAAGGAGACCGAGCAAAGAACTCCGACTCTGAAACAGCCAGATGTTGCAGTCGTTACAACTTCATCGAAGACAACAAGGAGTCCCACCATGAAGCCAGAGAACGTGCACTTTCCGCAGCCGGACATTCTCAAGGTTGACAACATACCCAGTGACAATCAATTTGCGTATCTCTTTGAGCAAAGCACTTCTAAGGACAAGGATAAGGGAAAGTCTGCTGCTGGTCCTAGTGGGGTGAGCGCGACGCCACCTGTGATTTTGAGCCCTAAGAAGCGCTCTGCGCGAAGCACCCCCAAATCGCAGCCTTTGTCGCGTAGCACACTGAAGGAAATGGCAAGACAACAGATGGATGAAGTGGTGGCAGCCTCAGCGCTTGAGAAAGCAAGGGACACCGAGGTGGTGCCAATGATGCCGCCGGTGCAAGAGAGCGAAACGGGTGTGGTAGCAGATCAGGTAGAGCATCAAGAAGATGATATGAGTTGTACGCATCTTCCTCTAGTTGCGGCCGAGGATCGAGGCGAGACGTTGTCGAGCGCGCGCGGTGTTGATGGTGCAGATATTGTTTCGGAGCAATACACACCCCTGAAGCCTGCAGTATATGCCGAAGAGGAGCCATTACGGTACTATGCATAGCGTGTTAAACACTGCAGATTGATGGAGTACTCAGGATGATATTGAAGTCTCTTTTTGGCACGACTTGGTTCTTCCACCTCTTCGTTTATTTATTTCAAATAGGCTAGGTCTATCCCTCTGCACTACAGGCCGCGACGAGTTAAAGAGGACGCACCAAAACCGGTGGAGCAACGTCTGAAGAAACCAGCGGATAATGATAGAATACTTGGAGAGAGTCTCAATTTGGACAAACTGTTGCGTTCAGTGAGACCAGGAATGCGAGGCGAGACGCCGCGGGTAGTAAGTAGATAGACTTGTCCAAGCCCACGATTACATTCGATTCCACAATAAAATGTTGAAGAGATAATAGTACATTCATTTTGGTTGATGTAAGAGAATTTTTCGTTCATCTGCTGCTTATCCGACCATTCACAGCTTCGCAGCAATAGCGGGAGCGTTCAGAATTCTCCGTCAAGTTCGCGCGCCACCTTGGGTTTGCTCCAACAGTTTGAGGCGCACAGACGGCTACGAGGTGGCAACAGCAAAGATTCATCCACCTTGGGTGATAATACCACGACGCCACGCGGAGACCTAGGAGGTGCTCCGAACGTGAATGGTGTAAGTTTGTACAAGCAACCAGCGCGTCGCCTGCCCACTATCACTCGCGACTTACTGCATGAGATGCGCGGCTACACAAAGCCAAACATGACCGCACAGCGCGTGTGTGCGGTCTTCGCCACCACGGTCCTGGAGAAACCAGAGTTTTTGCAGCACGGGACGACCTGGTTGCAGATTAGACGATGTTTCTCCAATGTGGGGGACGTTTGCGCCAAGGCGCAAACTAAGCACGCTTTAGAGCCAGACCTTTTGAAGAAAATACGCTGTTTCTTGCGTAAGCACAACCTGAATAGCGTGCAAGCACTTCAAGAGCTACCACCCGCGATGATACGAGTCTTGGATTACGTGAGAGCTTTTGCAGACGATTGGACCGGACTTGTGTTGCCAAAGGATGTGCATCCAGCTGAAGTTACGACAGAGGTACTTCTTCTAGTTGTTCTCCCTGCTTACATTTGCGTAGATGCCTAGACACTAAAAAGATGCTCCATCAGCAGAATAATTTTTAACCTGAACAAAAGATGTAGATTTTTTAGCAGAATAATCTGTCTCTCTGTATCTCTCTCTCAGCTCGGCGATCCACGCTTACTTGGGGATCAGACATTCGACCGGATTTTAGCTGGCGTGATCCTTCAGAGGAAGAAGCAAGAGCTGATCGCACTATCGCGAGACGCATCGCGGAACGGATCCCGGTCTGTGTCGCAGAATAACAGTCGCGTCGTTTCACCACAAGAGGACAATCAGTTATCACACCAATTATCGGGTGTGTCTTCGACTGTCGGTGTGAATCAGTCAGCGGTTGCACCACGTACTGGTTCGAAAGTGCTAGCGGATGGCTGTCCAGAAGGAATTGTAGACCGTGACTCTTCAAAAACATCCAGTGCGGAGAACTCACTGAGACAAAGAGCAGAACTTCTTCTTCAAAATGGTCTTACCGCCTCCGCGTCCTCATCAGTCAGCGAATCTTCTTCTCTCAGAAATGAGCGAATCATTAACACAGCTAGCGGGAAAGGACAAATATTTCTGGGGGAAGGGACAACCATTCTGCCGCCGAATAGTAGGAGTGCCACTTTGGATGAGTGGAGTTGGTCAGCAACATCAAGAAATAACCCAGCAAGCGAGGGATCTGGAGTGGCCGAAAAACCGATTTATCTCACGGCGTCATCGCAAGACACTCACCTGCCATCTGATTCAAAAGGGTCTCTTACAAGCGAAGGACAACAAGTACTTTCTCACCATTTGTGGATGTTGTAGTAGATCGACGTAGTGACATGCTTGGACAGCGCAGTTCCACGCTTGGTGATTCAGGTTCAGCATCATAGTTGACTGATACCGTCCTGCAATTTTCTTAAACAGGTTTCTTCCTCTTCCTCGAGTGGACATTCGACACAACTTGGGGCTTCGTCGGCTTCTGAAGTTGAAAGTGAAAGTCGGGCTCCTCTCGAAGTTCTTCCCGACGTGTTTGCTAAGAATTACATAGGCGATCGCTCCGCAGTTCGCGACCTAGTCATTGCGAAGCCAGGGGTCGGGTCTGTCCTTTTTGAGGGTGCGACAGATATGAGCCGCATTCCCGACATGGACGCGCTTCATGCGCGGATCCAACTCCTTCCCGGCGAAATTGTCGTCTACCCGGAACACCCTAGCGGGGCAACCGGGACTTCGGAAATCGTGGCAAAGCCGCCGGTCGGAGAGGAATTGAACAAACCGGCGTACGTTACCTTGTTAAACTGCAGACCGCCAGGGAGCGGCGATGTGACGGAGAAGGTGGCACAAAAGTACAGGGATAAAGTACAGAAGATGACGGAAGTGAAGGGAGCACAATTCATCTCTTACGACGCACGGAAAGGAATATGGGTCTTTCGAGTGGCTCATTTCTAAGTAGGTGGAATCAAAGAACGAGCTTGTCGCTACTCTTATGATTGGCCTCCTTGCACGTGTAATCGAGTAACTAGAGTAGAAGCAGACGAAAACGAAAAAAGTATTAATTACAATCATAGTACATCTACATTCACAGCGTAGAGCAAGAGCAACTTCGCAGAAACATTCATTACGTATGTTACATTACAATTACTACCTAGAGCAAATATTCAAAACATAGAGATTGAGACAGATTACAACAAAGAATGTCAACCTGCATTATTGCGTGGCAGAAAAAGTACTGAAATTGATATTCTCGAACATAAGCTTATCGACCTCGGCGAAAAAAATGCTCATGATCCTATTTCAATCACTTCGAAAAGTAGAGAAAAATTCGATTACATCATCCGTTCTTCAAATCCTTAATCCCCCAGTTGAGTTTCACAGTATGAACTTGTGTTTTTTGCACAGATAAAAATACGTAGTCATTGTCAACGTCAGTCGTTGTCCTTCAGCGGATCTTTTTTTGGCACGCGGTTAGGAATGGACTGTGCAGTGAACAGTTGTGCGGAAACAATACTACAGAATGAAACAATGCATATCACAGATGAAGAACAAACATAGTGTGGTCCTTCAAGAATGTCAATGTTGTTGTACTCGTCCGTTGCTCAAGTTGAGTGTAGAAACGAAGAAAGACTTAGCATCAAGCTCAGAGCTATACTGTGCTGGCAGAAGGAATGTATCGCGTGTAGCCGATGTAGTCCTGCGAATGAAATCTCTGAGGCGCAAACTTCGTCACGTTGATTGCATAGTATTTTCATTTCCTGTCATGATCCGTACCAGATGGTTGTGTTCGCGGTTATAATGATCCAACAAGGTAGTTGATGTTCTAGACATCACACGTCGATCATTCGTTTGAGTTGCGGTCTCCAAAGTGTTTGAGAAGTCACTCAGTCTTTCACTCCGGAAAAATTTCGAAGCAGGATCAGTTTGTTGTTTATTGACAACTTTTGACTTTCGAGATTTTGGACTGCCTTTTCATTTCGCTGCCTAATCCCACTAGTGGTTTCTTTTACAGAACTACACCCACAACATTTGCTTTTGCAACACAGGAGTAGTAGAGTGAGTATCTTACCTACTTTCATAGTCCTCTGTCCCACCTAACAACGAACAAGAGTAGGAACAAGCAAGAAAACAAGAAGATGTTGTGTTTTTGCGATAGTTCTCCCCTATTCAATTTCATCCCGTTTTCGGGACTCCTGTGCACTATCGTGCTCAGCTATTTTCCCCTGTGTGGAATGATCCAGCGCATCGTCCGGGATGACAAGTTTGACGCGGTCGTTCGCACAACCTGTCCAAGTTTCATTGAGACCGTCACCCTGCGCGCGTGGCTGGTCTACGCCCTGCTCTTTTGGGTTTCACCGTTGGGCATGCTCCTCTACCGACTCACCCCGGCCGCGGCGCTCATTGCGGGCCTGTGGTTGTACCACCCGGACTACCTCGGTGGCCTCTGGCTCTTCTCGCAGTTGGACGAACTCGCGGGAAAGCACCCTCTGACCAAAGACGCCTTTGCCTTCCTGGAAAAGTACAGCGTGAAGGCGGGCGAACTCGAAGTGACCAAAAAGGACAGAACCTCCGATGATGTTCCAGCCTCCCAAAAAAGCAGCATGATGAGCACGCAAGAAGAGGAGGAGGATGCCACGCGTCTGCGAACCAGCGCCGCACCGGCAGACGACACCAAGTTCGATCGGGAGCAAGACGAAGATGAGGAAACCGCCGATGATGTCGTTGATGTAGACAGCGTGCAGTAGAAGATATAACTGCGGTTTGAACAAGGAGGCAAGCCCTACTGCAAAGAAGTATTAGAAGTATTAGAGGACAATACTGAGGTGCACTAAAAATCTACGATTCGTATTGTTTGCTTTCTATAATTTTCTTCTGTAGTATGTATCACTCAACATGTTTATTTTATTCACTTCGATACTCTTGCTTCTGTGCAGAAGTGTTAATTTATCATACAAGATTTTCTCATGCTGACGTACGCTTTGAGGGTTCAGATCCATGACAAATATAATGACTCTAGTAACGATTAATACGACTAAGGGGAGCAATGAGGAGCTAAGAGACTGCTTTGCAGAACTTGAATTTACCTGGGGTTTTCCATTTCAATCGCTCCTGACAGAAGAAGTTGAATACGCGCGAAAATTGCATCAGGCTTGAATGGGGACTTCAAAAGACTTTTACTGGCGCAATTGGCAGATTGTTTGAAGATCAAATTTTCTGCTATAAATCATCAGCTCACTGCTTTGTTATTGCAAAACACGTAGTTCCGGAGAAGCGCTCCCACACAAGCACGCGTGGAAACCTACGGCTGACCATCTATTAGCCTCGAGTGACCGTCTTCGGACGAAAAAGAAACTTGCAGTCGTTCTTCTACCGGGTTCAGTCCTCTTTCGATCACGCAGCATCACCATCTTCTAGCACAATACAATCAAAATCGTTTGATTTGAGGCAGAAGAGATTGATCAACTAAGTGCTTGATCATCTAAGATCTTCGTGATTGAGCAGGAGGATCCATTTCGGGGGATCTTGGGATCGATCACAGGCGATGTTTAGATATCTTTCTGGGAGAAAAGTTGCTGGATTTTGTGCTCTTTACTTTTCTCTCGCAGGAGGACATTTCAAAATTTTGTTTTCTTGTTTGCGAAAGTTCATATCTTCATCTTTCTTATGTTTGTTATTAAGTGTTGTTGTGGATTGCTCTGTGAGTAGAAGTACTTAGTTTATTGTGGTTTTTCTTTATTTCTTTGTCGACTATTATTCTCCTTGTCTTCTATATCTATAGAAGTCAGAAGTAATAGATCGAGCAACAGCAAAATGTTGGACATCTTTCTAGCAGGCATAATCGAACTGCTGAAGCAGCAACCAGAGTGGGGCAAGGAGGCTGTACCCGGGGTGGCACTAGAGGTAGAGGCGCGGTTAGGGCGTTTCGCTTTCCATGATCCGCTATTGGGGGAGGCCTATCGAGATCAGCAGCGACGCCAGAAGAGCTTGATAGTGGCTGACTCGTCAAAGAAACCTGACACAACGTCGGGCTCTTTAGCGCTAGCTGGTAGCGACGACTTATGGGAAAACTTTGTTGCTTTGCAGCACGGAAATGCGGTTCCGGCTTTCTACTTTCTGACCGACATTCCGGAAAATGAATACACTGCGGTGCGGCTAGCAGCTGACAACGATGCGAGCAAAGACGACACGAGCAGGAGCAGACCAGCGGCTCGTCATGATGCCCCCACTTTCGCTGGAAGGAGTCTCGGTGGAAGTGCTAGCGCTTCGACGAGAATGAAGGACCCCCCTTTTGTTCGTGATTTCATTACGCAGTCAGACAAGCAGTACCGATTCGATAGCGGAGGCGGTGGCAAGCGTTTCGTTCGGGCTGTCGAGCTTCTGTCTGAGTCTCCAGGGGGAGAGGATGAATATCCGTCACGAGATAATCCTTTGAACATCGATGAATCTGATAATCGTAGAGGTGGCAAAGGTAGTGCATCCGCGGGTAGAAAGGCTGACGATGCTGGTAAAGCTAATGGGCGTGAGAGATCCCCACGTCGACAGGGCCCTGCTTTCTCCTCCTCGTCGACATCAGCAGTAAAAGCAGGCAACGCTCCAAAAATACGGTATGAAGAAAAAAAGCGACTGCAAGACTTCGACTTCCTGAATGTATCACCAAAGTTTGGGACCGGTGACGCGTTTCGTGGTTTCGACTTGCGTATTTCAGTGTCTAGAGAGACCGACCTTGAACTTGAGAGGGAGGCAATCGAGAGCAGAATAGCAGGCGGCGGCAAGCGGCAAGCAATGCCAAATAGCAATAGGAAGAAGAGGAGGTACGCACTCAAACAGAAGACGAAATAATCCAGAATTCATTGATTGTCGAAGATAACCATCACCAGCATGATCGATATAGCAACAATACAGGCATCATTTCTTGTTTTATATCTCTCACTCGTCGTTCCTCAACATCGTTTCTCTTTTCTCTCAGGTTTAGCTACCGCATGCGAGACTTTCCTGGCTCCCTCGACTTGACAGAAGTGCGCTCATTCGGCGCGAACCGTGGTCGAGGCAACAAAGGCAAGGGTAAAGACGGACACAAGGGGAATGCACACCAAGACACGCGGGAAATCGAGCTTGAGTTATCCGCCGACGTCTTGACCAGTGCTTTGGAGAAAGGCACAACAGCTAGTGTGCGACCACTCCTGGATGGGCTCTTAGCTCGTGCTGCTATTTTGGCGGTCCTTCCGGTCGAGAGGTACTCCGCGGCCCTCGCGGCGGTTCCACGGCAGATTCTCAATAATGGCGCACTCGCAGGCGGATATGAAGAGAAGATTAGAGCAGAGGGCGCAAGTAATAACAGTAAAGAAAACCCATTCGCAGAGTCAAGGGGAAAGTCGTAAGACGAAGATGAGGCGCACAGAACGAACAGATGAAAGTCGTTTGATCGATCCGGATCTTATTCCGCAACCCTGTTTTGAACTTGTCGATTCTAAGCCTACTTGCTTGTACCTCAAGTGAATACAAACTCACAAACACATCTTCATGATTTAAACATAAAAAGCCCTGTGCTCACCCAGAAGCATTCAAATATATGTTCATGGTGTTCCTTTACTTACCGGACGGAAAAATACAGCAATCTTTTGATTCTGTCATATTTGTAAGTAGCACGGAGCATTCCCAGAGCCTTCACGATACATGCGACGTCAGACGACAACAGTGAGAGAAAACAAGGTGAATTTTGAATGTTTTTGAATGTCTATTCGTGGAGCATTTAGTTTCCACTCTTGTCACAAGCGAGAGAATTCGACTGGAGAGAACCGAGAGAATTATACACGAAAGCGCGGCTGTTCAGTTACTCTTGTCCTTGGTAGAGCGATGGCTTCAGAGAATCGGCCGCCGAAGGCGAAGTCGGTGCTTCAGGGCCTGAGAAAGTCAGACTTTCGCGATTGTGGTCTTGCGGATGTGGACAAGCTCGAGCTAAAAGGCGTCCAGGTACTAGACGTTGGTGGAAATGCGGCCGTTAAAAGTCTCGACCCTCTTCTATCAGCCGTGCCAGGGTTACGCATCTTGTTTGCAGCGGGGTTGCCACACATAAACGAGTTTCCGCTCGCTTTGCACGAAAAGGATGCCGAAGCCAGCGATTGTGCTCCGGAAACAGATCGACCACCAATGCAAAACCAAGAGTCATCGTCAGGCTTTCCCGAAAGTGTACAAGACATGATATCTGATTGCGTGGCGCGACGAGACGACGCTTTTGCCACTCCGAAAGGGCTCTATTTCATCGGATTAAGACACTGTTCGCTTACGCGCCTGCCCTCGCCGCGTATCAACTTGTGCAATCTCGTTTGGATGACGGTTACCGACAATCAGATTGCATCCTTACCTGACGATTTCGAGCGCTATTCGGCGCTCAGAAAAGTCGGATTCACGGGCAACCGAATTCAGGCACTGCCACTGACGTTCCCGAAATCACTGGAGCTCATACGCTTTCCGGACAATTGTCTTACCGACGAGGGCTTCGCTCGTGGCCATGATTGGTTGCTGGACACCTCGAAGTGCCCGAAAATCGCATGGACCGCCTGGTCGGGAAATCCAATTTCCTGGCTGAAAGATCCCGCAGATACATCTTCAACTGCTGCGGCAACGACTCCGAATACTACAAAGCCTATCAAGAAAGCCAGTGAAGATGATATAAAACTGCTACAGCTCGGCGCGGATTTAAATCTTTCAATACCAGCTCCTGCTGAAAGTTGCGCCGGAAGAGGTGACTTTTCAGCGCTCTGTTACAAATCTACCGGCGCAACGGCGAAACAGTTGGGAACAGGTGCTTCAGGATGGGTTTATGAGACAGATTCAGTTGAGTATGGCAGAATCGCCGTCAAGCTTTTCAAGCAAGGAATCACTACTGACGGAAATAATGAGCACGAGATGCGAATACTGCAATTGCTTTTTGTGGAGGACGCCGACAAAACTGGGGATGGGGGAGTGATAACGAGCAGTACTTCATCCTCTTCATCCTCTTCCGTTGTGCCACCGGCTTGGTCGAGGAGACTTTATCGTGGCCAACAGAACACAGTCGAACTTTTGGGATTGGTTGTGATGGATAACGACGACACTACCGGTACAACAACAAGCGAAGCTAGTATTGGCGTTGCCATGCGGTTATTGGAAGGATACACGGCGCTTGGTAACACGCCATCCTTCCACTCTGTCACACGCGATGTCTTCGACAGCGGGAAGCTCTTTGAGATCGTTGCAGGTGACGTTCTTACTATCGTCACGCAAATTGCAGAAGCCTGTTTCTTTCTTCACAAGCGCTGCGTGATTCATGGCGACTTGTATGCCCACAACATCATTTGTCGGCGTGATGTCGACAATGAAGAAACCCATGTTCATGCGGTGCTAACGGATTTCGGAGCTGCGTTTGCGTGTTACGATAATGAGCTTCGACGTCGTTTTGTCCAGACTGAGTTGAGAGCTTGGGCTAATTTGTGTGAGGACTTAATCTGGGCCTCGTCCGAAGACGACGCTATACCAACGCCTTTCTTGTCTCTGCTCGAGTGCATCGCGCTAGTACGCGGAGGTGTCATAGGAAACTTTGATGAACTGCTAGCTTCTGAAACACTCTCCAGCACTTCTACTTGCGCTGGATAAAGCAATGTACATTTTTTGGTGCCAAGCACAGTTCTCATAGATTCTTGAGGAGCATCGCACGCGTACGGGGTTGCTACTTCAGCCACTTACAGATGGGTTCTCCAAGTACCTCGCGGTTTGGGAAAACACGACAAGAAGGACCTGAGTAAGAGTAAACAAGACGTGACCCAGGCATGATGAAGCATCCATAGAAGAATCAATCGGTGTTTGTTGTAGTTATTGACTTTTCTATCAGGCGAAGTCGGTCTTTGATCACTAAAAGAGAAGCAGTGCATGAGTCGATGGTGGGTTTTTCTCTGAAAGATAATAGAACGCACACGATGTCTGCTGTGATGCACCTAGATACAAGCGTAGACTGATGGCAATATCTTGAAGTTTTTTGCTATGCGACGAACTTTTTGAGATTTATTTATACGAGTAGCGCTACAACTGACTTTTCACTTGAGCGAAATTTTTCGTAAGACTAACATTGAATCTCAATCTCATAATTCAACAAAAGTACTTTATTGAACAAAGAGATGGATTTTCATTTTCATATTCTTTATATTGTGTTATTTGATGCTTTTCGACAAGACTTATAGTTATATTAAAGCATAATGTTGATGTCCGAAGCATTTTTGTTTACTATTTTTACACAACGACAAAATATGAGCCCTCGTTCTCGGAGTTTTTCGAACCTCGGGCTAAAGTGTTATTAATATCGCTGTAAGACAGACACTTTAGTCGATATGCCGCTTTGGCGTAAGAAAGACGATCAAAAGGGAGCGGAGCAGGGGAAAGCAGGTCTAAACTTATGGTGATGTCACTCGAGCCTACGAATGTGGGGTTTTGAAAGGTCTGATCTAGCATGTATATAAATACAAACCGATCTTCCCACAGGTGCTTTCGTCGCTCCTGCTCCTACGACAGTCGAGTCTGGGAATGCACCAGCGAACAAAGGAGGTCGCGGGAAGGGCAAGTCGCAGAGAGGAGGAGCGAATAATCGAAAGCGAAAAAAAGGAGAGCAGACGCAGAGTGGGAAAACTGGCTCGACTGAACAAGAAGGCGACGCTAGGGCGGGAAAGACGAACGGAAAAGCGACTGCCTCGGTATTTTGCCCGATGTCTAGGGGCGTACGATGGCTCTGCCCGAAAACATAAGTTAATGAGAAAGGGTTTATCTTTATTTCTCAGCTCGAATCGATTTCAATCAGGTAAGAAGCTCGACCTCGGCGAGTATTCCGCCGCGCATGCCGACGCTTCTCGAAACGAATGACCTGGATGATAGACCTGTGTCTTGTAGTAACACTAACACGTCAATCTCAAGCAACAAAAAAAATTCAAGTAGCCAAAGATCAAAGCCTCTAGGGCTTCTTGAACAGGCGATGCTCGAAGACGAGATCCTCTTAGCGGAAACAGCTGCAATGCGCCGTGCTAGTGCGGAGTTGACGATCGAGGGTAGCGACTCGCATGTTATCGAAGACGAAAGTGGAAACGTCATGTTGCCCAAGGAGGCTGCCATTACGAATAAGAAAAAAATGTACGCTCCTAAGTAAGGGGGCATGATATCATTCGTGATCGCATTCGCAGCGAAATAGAAAAAGTTTCATTATTTTTCTGCTTTTTCAGTAGAGCCGTGGTGTCTAATTAAAATTGGCCCATTTCCGAAGGAGGTAGTGCTTGGAGGTCCGTACGCAATACTTTCGTTGTGCGCGCGGAAAGCAAGGCCAAGGCTGGCAAGCCGAAGGCATGGTCGCAGAAGGGTGGTGCAAAGGGCAAATACGAAAACAAAAATAGTGCCGCATCGTCGGGCAGGTCTTCCGGAAATAATGGCGGCGCATACACTAGCAGAAAACCAGGTGGAAAGGGGACCCAGGGTGGCAGTGCTACGACACCTTCGAATTTGCACGATTCACTTGACATTCCCGGAAAAATGAGAGGTAAATTTGTAAGAACGCAGTTCGAGTACTACCCGGCCGGCGCAGCGCCGTGCTCGCTTTCTTCTTCTGACGATGGCGATGCAACAAGTGTGAAGCCGACTCATGAAGATGAAGATGCTGGTAAGACGAGAACCCGACTGCTTGACGATGAGGATGAGCAAGACCGGACTTCTACAGCTAGTTGTAAGCCCGAGGACGAGCAGGAGGCAGGTAAAACCAAAGATGTTAGCGCTTGCGGGATAAACCCGGAACCAGGCGTAACGTCGTCAGCCTGTGCACTTCTTGTTGATATCGAAGCAAAAATGCAGCAGGCAGACCACGACAAGCGAGAGAAAGGGACCGAAACCAGACAGATATCATGCAAAACTTTCGTTTCGCAGCCAAGCGAACAGGGGACGGTAGTCGCTGTTACTTCATCTACGCGACACCTTTCTGCTACAAGAAAAGTTGACCAACTACAGAAAAAGACTGAGGCGAGAGCGGCTTTGAGTACTAGGCACGATGGCTGGATTCCTTCTGCTGAGTCGCCTCAAGTGGACATGAGTATCTGCGTTATCCCCGAAGAGAGTGAAGAAGACGGCTCTCCACAAGATTCCGAGGCTGCTACGTCCGAACAAGAGGCATTAAAATCTCCCCTGCTTCCTGCCTCAGAGGTCCTCGTTGTGAAAGAAGTAGCAGAGGAGATGGACACGCCTAAAAAAAAGAACGTGAAGGCCTTGACCCCGACGGCTCCCTCGGATACTAAATTTGCTTACAACCGACGAGCACCTTCCGCGATGGATTTCAAGTTCATGGCCGACGCGATCATTGGGACTCAGGCGCCTCCAGCCGTGCAGCCTGCAACTGCACCTGGAGGTAAGTCCATGGAGGGTACTTGATGTCAACTATTACTTCAAATTAATATGAGAAAAGGATTTCTGGTGACACTGGATGGTGATTTGCTACGTAAGAATCTACGTCATTTTCCTGGTTTATTTCTCTCTGGAATAAAGTCCAATCTGCCTTCACTGTAAAAATTCTTTTCTTCGTTCTTAATACACAAAGAAAACGAATGGCTATCCGTTTTCACAGGAATGGCAGCGACAGCTGACGCTCCAGTCACGGCACAGAAGAAAGGCTGTGAGAAAAAAGTCGCGACTGAGGATGATTTTCGGGCGTTTTTTGGTGATTCTGATAGCGACGATGAGAGTCCTATGACTCCTCGCACGACGGTTCCTAATTCCGCTTTGCTTAGTGAGTCGAGTGGGACTCGAAGTTCCCTGCTAACATCCGGCAGCAGTGTCTCGGTCCCCCGTCTGAGCGTGTGCGCATCGGCGTCAAAGGCTACGCCGGCCAATTCAGCATCGAAGTGGTCCGCTTGGTCGCCAATCACGCCCAAGGAAGACCAGGACACGACATGGAATGACACGCCAATGCTGATAAATACCCCGCTCACTGGTATGAACGGAGGCGCTAGCACAAACAGCTTGCTTTCTGGCGATTTATTTCAAACAACGGAAGAAGAAGCTGTTGTGAACGATGAGATACACACAACTACATCTTCGACAGAAGTCAAAAACAATAGCGCTCCAGCATCAGGTGATGTGGCAGGAGGTCCTGTCATAGATGACGTAGCTGCTCAGCTCCACACGCCGGCGCTCGATGGGAGTGATTCGCCTTGCAGCGTGCGCACATATAATGCTGCCACAGGAGTAGAGGACATCAAGCTAAAGCAGGCAGTTACCGAACAAGATGTTGCGTCTTCTTGGAATGAAGTAAAGAGTCCTACCACAGTGGCAGTGACTGAAGTAGAGAACAATCAGACTGAGGAGGAGACGGCTTCCGATGAAGTTCCACAACCACCCTCAATTGACGCAGCAGATGACATCGACGAGGTGACCTCGGAAGAGCAAGGTGGAGGCGTTGCGTCAGACCTAACGTACAACGAAGACGGTGATAAGGTTAAACGTGCGCTATCAAACGTCGAAGAGGTGAAAACACAATTCAATGTGAACGCTCCCGTATTTGCACCGACCGGTATGACATTTGAGGCATATCAAAGTGCAGTGGATGCTGCCACAGACTACTGCCCTAACGGACTTCCTCATATGATAGAAGGAACGGCAACGTTTCCACCTAGCGGAAGTGCAGACGACTTCAACATGCTGTTGAATGGCGGCGCACTGGCGTTGAGCAACGCCAGGCTTTATCTGATGCCGAGTGCCGAAAATACCGGCACATCGGGAGTACCATCTCTGTTTGGTGGAGCTCCAGCAGCACAACAAGGCTACAATGTTGATAGTACCTCCACTTTCCTACGTCTGCAGGTTGAACAGACATTAGTAGACCAACAGCTCCTCAACAGCTTGGAAGCAGCACCACAGAGCAGTACTAGTGCCTCGAATAAGGTCAATAACATGCTGACAACTGCAGCCAATGGCATGTTCGCGTCCGACGCGTTTGCGCTGACACGAGCAGCCTTCAATCTAGATGCCTTTAGTGACAGCGGTGACAGCGATTCTGACCTAGAAGCTCAAGGTTACACACGTTTCGAAGTCATCCGACGCCCCGTGGCGAAAAGCGCAGACTCGTCAAATGACGGAGACGCTGAGAATATCAACAACATTGAATCATCAACATCCACTATAAAGAACAGCAATGATTTGCTCGAACAGAAAAATGACACACCAAACAAAAATGACGTAAATATAACGACTGCCGATGAAAATCCTGAGGTGCATATTCAGAAAACAAGCGATGCTCAACAAACTTCAGCACACATTCGAATGACGCCGAACAAAGCTGATTCTCACCATCATATCAACGAAGCGTCCACTAGGCAGCTGTCGAACACACCTCCTTCGTCTAGAACCGAACAGCTGTCTGCCGAGCAATCCTCCTCCGAGCCGGTTTCTACTATCTCTGATCGTTGCGTAAGTCGCAATGCTAGCCTCGCGTCTGCATACTGGGACGCTATCTTATCTGAGTCGGAAAGCGCGTCTGAGAGTCGCTCAGCTGTGCGTAAACTGTGCGAATACTATGCGGACGATAATGACATAGACGCTCTCGTCGCAGACTACCTAGCATTACCCACAGAAACTGCGGCAGAGATGGTAACTGGTTGTGATGATGTCAATGATGTTTTTTCGATTCCCTAAGGAACGACGTTTACTGCTCGGCAACATCCTTATAAATATATATAAGTAGTATCATGCGAAATCTTCATATGAGTCTGAAGCTGAACTTATTATTTATCCCGCTGACTTACTTACTGCATGCTTACATGCTTCTATCACCGTGATCCAAAGGCTAAGCCGAAACTGTATCAATTTCTACAGGTCGCTCAGTTTTTATGCTTGGGCGCTGGCGACTCGCAAAAAGCGGTCATGGTCGTGAAAACTATGCGCGCTTTAGTTCGCGAAAGGGTTCTGCGTTGGGATCCAGATATCAGCGATGCTTTACACTTTTTCAAATCGACCTACTTCGAACAGTTTCAACTCGATAATCCCAAAGTCTTGGATTTTGTTGCGGAACTGCAAGGTACAAATGCGCATTTTGAAGAAATTGAAGTTGATTTTCATTTACCTTTCATTGAAGGACGTGGCTCTAGCAGCAGGCACTTGATGTGCTTGGGATCACTGTATAAGCCTTTCTTGAAGTTCAGCGTGCCACAGATGTCATAAAAAAGGCTTTATCTTCATTCACAACAGAATTGGGCGCGATTGAGGAGCAATTGCTGAACCCACGAGCGAGCAATATCGTCGTCGTCCCAATGCGCGAGCAGGACTCGTTATCATTATCGCAAAGCCCCTCGAAGTCAGAGCCTGACGCTGTTGTTGCCGAGACTGAGAGTCAGGCAGAAAACACTATGTCCCGAATAGGCTCACACGAGTCGGTTTGCGCGGTCCTAAGCGCAGCGGCGGAAAAGAAGCGATACACGGTATTCTCACCCAGAAAGTGAATAGGAGAGAAGCTCTAATTCCAATATTGTACAAATAAGTGATTTTCATTTCAAACTTCTTAGACAAACGCTCTCGAAACCTTCAAATCTCTATCGGAACATAGCGCTGCGAGCTTTTGATTTTCCGGATACCATTGTTGGAAACACGAGCAGCTGCTGCGTGGGATGTGCGCACGTATGCGGATCTTCAAAAAGAGACGGGCACGGAAACGTCAACAAGGCGTGCAGACAATCATGCTGCAGGTGGAGGAGGCAGAGGACGGGGAGGTAAACACTGGTCCGAGCCCCCAGTGAAGCGTTCCGAAGTTGCGAAAATCATGAAACCTAGTGCAACTTCATGGGTCCGAACGCAGGCGTCTCACGGAGCGGAAATGTCCAAGGAAGGTACTGAGACTTATCGTTTTGAGCAACTGCGGCATCACTGTGGACGAAGTAACCACGATAGATTGAAGCCAAACCAATTGTGGATTGTTGCTCTCAGGGCAACTAGCCTGGATTCTTTTTTCCAAGTTAGTTGCACCTGCACCATAGTCTTCTGGTTCTGACCGTGACATTGATGGATTGCAATTAATGTTGTCCCTTCCGACGGTTCACAGATGCGCAACTTGCTTGGGAGCGGAAGCTGATGTCTTTGTTGAACAAGATTACATTCGAAAAGTTCGAGCCGGTCCTGACGCAGATAATGTTATGTCTCATGCTCATGCATCATGGAGGGAACAACAGTACTCACACGTAGGTACTTATGTAGTACTAAGTACAGATTTCCACAAATAACTGAAGATGAGGGATCAGAAGAGATGTTATTGTACTTCTTTCTTTAGGTCACAGGGAGGTCTGTCTTGGTTCTAATTTCCGAGCTCCTCCAAAAGCTGCCGAAGATGGAGATTCCGACGGTGGGAATACCAAAGTTGATCAGCATGTTGTTTCAAATCGCTACAACGCAACATCACTTCGTCTCGCTTTACACGCAGTTATGTCAGCGAATTCAAGCGTGGCTGGAGCAGAGCGGCCTCGACAAGAAAGGCAAGGAGGGCTCATTCAAGCGTCATCTGTTGAATCAGTGCCAGACCAGCTTCGAGAGTTACCTAAGTCCGGATTTGAACTTCAAGGACCTTACCGGTGAAGATCTCTTCGAAGCCCAGGTCAAGTTCAAAACCAAGATGCTGGGGAATATCAAGCTGGTACTCCTGCCTGTGTAGGATTTTATTTTCCACTTTTTCGCTGTGCATGAGCAGCATGGTCTAGAACAAAGATTTATCTACATCAAATTTCATTACCGTTACATGATTCGGGCACTTGAGCATCTCATTGGATTTCTCATTTCAATTAGGTTGGTGAGTTGATCCAACAACAGGCTAGACTAGCGGGGAGAAGTCGCCAGGGAAATCCTAGGCAGATCGCCGAGTAGATTCCTATCGTCATCAGGTTGGTGAGTTGATCCGTGCGAAGATGATTGCTTCAAGGATAGCTATATGTATACTTCAAGACCTAGTGGAGAACGGCAGAAGCGAAGGACCCGCAGCAAATGCGAATCTGGAGACACTAGCGGCTTTTCTAGAAACCGTCGGGCCGATTTTGGACAAACCCGATTGGGCGCATTGGAATCACTTTGATCATTAAGGCACCAACTGTTGATCTACAAAGTTTATTGCCTGCATGTTGAAAAGGAAATACTTATACGTGTCTTCTCAGTCACTCTCTATGTAGTTGGACGACTGCAAGAACTTTCCACTATGTATACTCTTCTTCATACTCTGACCCTCTGTCTACTTCTAAGTTCCGGCACTCGAGATCGTAGCAGGATTATCACAGACCAAGGCAGTGCCGGCTAGGATTCGTTGTTTGTTACAGGATATTCTTGACTTGCGGGATAGCGACTGGTTCAATACAAAAAAGGGAAAGGTACGTGAAAAGGCGACTACGCTAAAAGAGGTGAACCACGCAGCTGCGACTGACACTTCATCTAACAAAACGAAGACGAGATCGCCTCATGGAAAGGTATCTTGCTTGTTCTTTGCTTCGTGAGTAGAATAGCGGTCATCCTCAGAAAGGAAGATTACCCTTCATCTCTAGACGTAAAACTTTAGAATAGACGACTCAAATCAACCAATCTTTCCAAGCAATGAAACAAGAAGGAAGATATAGAGTAAGTACTTACGACGTGAATCCAATTGCACAAACATTGATTAATACATACTAGGTGAAGCGAGGAAGCTGCAGCTCGATATGGGCAGCGAATAAGGACCAAGAGTGTGCGCGCAATGATCCGCAAAAGGAACTAGAAGGGCTGTTGCACTCGGCGTTTGAGCGCGTTGAGACCGAGGCAAAGACTTCCCTCCGACGAGCCACCGAGTGCCTCCCTTCTTTGGCGCAATGGTACCCTTCAGTTTCTTTATATCAAATATATTACCTGCAATTATGGAATAACTACACTATGCCAAAAGCGAACATAGAAAAGGGGTTTTTTAGCCAAAAAACGGACATAAATCCCCGGGATCAGTTGGGCAATATTCGTCGCAAAATGGAAAACTTTCATTCTGAGACGAACAAGGTACAAAAAAGCGCTTTTTTTGCTAAGAGCCTGGGCGTTATGTACGTTTTTTGGCTAAGAAACCACTTTTCCATGTTCGCTTTTGGCATAGTGTTACTCCGTAGCTGCAATTTTTATTATATTAAACGCCCCTCCTCTTCCTTAGGTTGTACCTGATGGATGTTCGGCTCGAACATCTTTAATCGTTTTAGAATTGACCTGGTTCATTCTATACAACACTCCATTTCGTAGGCAAGCGGTGCTTGTACTACAGGGTTTTGCATACTTCTGGCAAGGAGCGAACCATAGACAATCTTTTAAGTATCTATAGTTAATATCTAACAATTAATTTAGAGCATCTGGATAGTGTTGCTTGTAACAGCGGTTCTGCATACTTCTGGTAAGGAGCGGGCCATAGTTAATTTATGAAAGTATAAACATTTCATTGGCTAACGCATACCTATTTTGAATACATAGGCGTCGCCGTTTCACACACTTCAGGAGAGTAACCTGTTCTGATATCCCACTTTTTTTCGTCGTTTTTCCACTTGCAACTTTAATATATTGAATGTGAACCATCTAATCTTACTAAAAGCCCCCGATAAAACCTCGTCTGTGTTTGGAGCCTCGGAGATAAATGTATTCGGTCACCTGTCGAGCTGTTACGAGTGCCTTTCGTTCGTTCTCGAGAGAAGCACTTGTGTTGTCATGGTTTGTATTTTTATCTTTCGTGTGGAGTACCGACTTTTGCTTTCGTTCTGTCACTAGGTAATTGATTCTACAGCTCTGGCCTGAGACATGAGTTGTACCTCGCTGAGTTCACTTGTGTGTTTTGAGTCGGTTTGCAGAGTGGTCAATCGTCGATCGGTTCCTTCGTGAATGTTGATCATCCAGTCGTTCCTACGAGAAATTGTGACATTTGAGGGACAAGTAGTATCCGGTCACGCGTTGCTTTCTGCCCTTAACTTATTATTTATTTTACCTTGCTTATCGTTATCTTATGTATTCGATGGCCTTTTATATAAGGCCATTCCGTTGGATGCTTGGGGTTGGATGCGGCTGGCTCTAGATCCTGGCATGGTGAACCGGTACCCTTGGACGTGTCAGGAGCGGTGGTCTAGAGTCACTGCGAGCACCCGCCCCCACTGTGCACTTCCACCAGAGTGCCTGGGGGATGGGGCGAAGGGCTGAAGCATCTGCCGTTCTTAGTTATCTTAACGTATGTATCCTGAATCTTTAATTTGTCCCTTTTCGGCTTTGCTAGTCTTCAGACGGATACTACGAGCGACGAGTGGTTTGAGAGAGTCTCGTCCATACACCTCACGACCTGCTCCTTCCCAACATGCTGTAAGATCAGGGACGACGACGGACAACTGAATTGCTTGCATATTTACTACAACAAATCTACTTCATAATGTTATTGTCAATAGAATAAATACAAGTGATAAAGGGATGTTGAGAGTGGTCATTCTTTATCATCGACGATGTTGTAGGCACAAGCTGTAGTTTTTCCCTCGAGCAACGACGTACCTACCATGGAAAATCAACCAAAGAACATACAATGCAAATATTTTTACCATGAATAATACCAGTTTTGCGGCGATGTACAAGCGATTGACCCCGTCCGAAAGTGGTGCTATTGACCTCGTCGCGCACTTGCTCCAGAAAATCATGAAGTATGAGCAGAGATCAATGCGGGAGCTGTTTTATCGCTTTCTATGTAAGCTCTGTCTAGCCGGCATTTTTTCGAAGCGCAAGTCGCATGACGAGCTAGTCAACCGTGCAATGGATCGAGCGGGATTCGTCGACGATGCCTTAGCGAAAATAGAGGAAGAATTCTACCCCATCTTGGACGAGTGTTTCTATAACTATGTAGAAACTTCGGGGGCAGCGGAGAATGGTGGAGGGAACTGAAGATGAAGTCGATCAGATCCATCACCGTCAGAAGTTGCATCTGTTCATTTTCCAATGGGTCCGTAGACCATGCAGTGGCTTCGGATCTTGCTGTTTTTACAGCTTGTTTAGTCTTAAAAACCATAGATACAATCTCGAGGTTGGAGTACAACACATAGAAAATTGTACAAAAGATTGAAATTGCCCTTGATGTTCTCGTGGTTGTTTCAAATAAATATAGCTTTTTTTACGAAGTAAGACAAACAATAGTGGCACGTTGACGAATTGATCGTCAAAAAAGTGATTTTCTCCGTGCTACGAATAAGCCTGGTGTTCCATAAAACAAAGTTATTCTAGCTCGTGGCTGTATCGGAAAAAAACTAATACCAAGGTATATATAAAAAATGGCGAAAAAAGTCCGGTCATCTGTTATATCTTGAATGGTGAAGGAGCTTGCCCCTTTTTGGTGAGCTGAAAAGGAAAGTTCCATTCTTGCTGGTTCTTTGATCCTGTCGTCTTGTGCCTTAGAATCGTGGACTTGTGCTCTTGAAGAATTGAAAAATCATAAGAATAAAAAACAACTTAAAAAACAAAAATAAAAATAGCATAAAAATAAAAAATAGGATCTGAACTTGCCGAAAAAGGTGTCACTTTATGCTCGCTGCTATCTCCCTTACGAGCTTGACGGGTCCGAAAAAAGATCCTCACTAAGAGTGGCTGCGCCTCCGTTTACTTCTTATTATGTAGGGCATTTTTCATGTTGTTGATGTTTGTGATTGACTAGTAGATGGTGCGACTATTATGATTGATGATTAGGGTTGTTTCTTCATCTTTCTTCACTTTTCCTTTTTTCTTGCATCTGAGTTTCTTCTTCTTCTTCTCCTGTAGTCTTTTCACTTTTATCTGACCATCATGTATTATAGCTTTATATGTTGATGCTTCTTCTTCTTGTGTCTTTTTTCTTGGATTATGTCTTTCTCTCGAAGGAGATGAACAAACTTATCAACCTGGACCTTTCCAAAAAATGGCACTACCAGTAGGTTGACAGCTGTGCAGGCAGGCGTAGTTTAAAGAGTGACACTGGAAGCACGTAGCGCGTTTCGCAGCATTTTTTTGACTTCTCTTGTGGTGTTCTGATACTGGATGAAAGTAAGTATCGGTTGTACGGGGGATAACATGAACTAGCAAGGCGATCCCGATCAATGAAATTATCAGAGCCGTTCGGTCTACTCTCTGATTTTATAAGGTTAATTAGGTAAATAGTACCGCGTTTAATCTATAAAAGTACCAATCATATAGTTGAAAAAAGTTGGAAGAAAAAATAAAATAACTATACCTGTATACATGACACTAGAGAAGTATTTTTTATAAAATACTTATCTTCCTTGAGAAAGATAATTTGACTAGGATAATTATACCCCCCGACAACCTAGATTATCTTGTTATAGCTAGTCCTTCTAATACAGTGTTTGCTTATACTACTACTACTACAAAAAATGCCGCTGCACAGTATGAAAGCAGGAGATGGAGGCGGTCACAACGGAGGTAACAATAATGGAGGAGGAAGTTGGGGATTTGGAGGTCAAGGTGGTTTCGGTGGATTTGGCGGCTTTGGTGGTTTTGGTGGTTTTGGTGGTGGAAAAGGAAAAGGCTTCCAACAAGGATGGGGTGATGGACCAAAACGAGTTGGATACACGAATGGCGATAAAGAAAAATCTGCTGCGGCCTTCAATGCACAACTAGAACCGTTTCCGATGTTGACGGGAGAACAGACGAAACGAGTGCAGTACTACTTGCCGCAACCCCTTAAGGACACTCTCTTTAGCCTGGAAGAAGGTCCGCAAGAAGTCTTGAAGTACTCTATTGTGCCCGTTCCTCGTATGTGGGCGCAAGACTTCGCGAGATATGGCGTGATGTTTGATGAAGCTGATGATGAAAAGAAAGTGGGGATCATCATTGAGATTAACAAGATCTTCATGAAGGCCAAATGCAAGACACCCAAGAACAGCTGGATGGATAGCATTGACTGGGAGGAGGCTCAGAAGGACCACCAGAAGATCGCGAAGGAGGTAGCGGACTATGAGGCAGAAGAAGAAGGTGACGACGAAGAGTAGGAGGAGAAGGAAAAGAAGACGAAAAGCCGAGCTCTGGAGGCAAAGCGCTTGGAGAAAGAAGAGGCGGAACTTCAACTAGCACTAGATGTGAGTCTGGCAAAACAGTCTTCGGTGAGAATGGAGAAAGCTAAGATCGAAGCTGAAGCCCTGAGAATCGAAGAGGAAAATGAGAAGCGCAAGATAAAAATGGCTCAACTAGAACAGGAAGCTAAGAGGATGAGGAATAGAAAGGAGACGATGAACTGTGCTCAAGCTCACGAGGTCAACTTTGCAGCACAGGGCGTGGTTACGCCTGGTGATCAAAACTACAACCACAACAACAACAACGAACCTGCTAGCACATCTCGATACAACTTAAGTAACCGCCCAGTGCACATTGACGGAGGAGAGGAAGGATATAACAACGAGGAGAAAGGTCAGAAGAAAGGCCGCAGCCGTGGTGGGAAGAGCAACAACTACGAGGAAAAGGAGCATCAACGACTAAGACGACGCTGCACGCCTGACGATCCCCCGGCAGTATATCGCGCTGACCAGTATAACAGATCTTTGGATCGACAACAAGATGACCATCACCACGATCGGGATGGGTCTTCGTCGTCTTTCTACTTCATTGGTGACGATCAGGACAATAACTACTGGAACGAGGCTGAGCAATGGGGATGTGATGAAAATGGTGGACAGTGGGGAGAAGATGGAGTATACCGCGTGAGTAGCTCAAGATGGGTTGGTGATGGTGGCTTGGTGCATGAAGTTATTGAAGAGGAAGAGGATGAAGAGGATGGTGGAATTACTCCTCTTTACCCGAGCAGCAGCAAGAACGACAACAACAACAATAAAACACAGGAGGCTGATCAGCAGAAGGAGATGATGGTCGCTGAGGAGGAAAAACAACTACAGCAGGCACTCCACAAGTCCATGGCTGAGCATGATGAAGCAAAAAACTTTTATTGTACTCCGGGTGCAACTTCTTCACGAGCTACAGCGGAAAGCCAGGAAGCTGCGCTTAAGCAACAAAAGGGGCAAAATCACAGCTCTGGTCTTATCGGTGGCGCTAGTTCTAGTGCGTCTAGTGGGAAGAAAGGTGGCGCTGGTCAGGGTCGTTCCGCTAATAATGGAGGTCGGGGCGGTAGTAACAACAACAACGAGAATCAAGGCAAAGGTGCTAGAGGTGGCGAACTTGATGAGTATGGGCAGGAGATGGAGGAGGAGCAACAGATGGAACCTTCCCAGCGGAATAGCGAGGAATGTTCGGCACGCTCACAACGTTACAACCAAAGGAACGCCAAGAAGCGGGGCCAAGTGCAATTCCAGTATTGACTATTGCTCTAGGAGAACTAGTGGAAATAGATAAGCTTTTGTGGAATGAACTGTTTACTTTTTCCGCTAAGTGGACGGACCATCATTTTTGGATTAACATCATTTACAAGTTTCGTCTGAGTTGTAATAAGCTGGAAAAAATACCCAATATGCAGACAAGATATATTCAATCTAAGTTAGCTTACAAACTGTTTTCAGCCCTTGCCGCCTTCGTGTTTAAGAAGTGCTTCCTAAAAAATAAGTGTATCCGATGCAAGATAGTTAAGTGTAAGTGTCATATTGTGCTAGAACAAGCAGGGAGGAAAGGTTGGTTTTGGTGGCATGATACAACTACAGTGGACCCGTTTTGTGTCTCTAAGAAAGGTAGTCGGATAATAGGCGAAGGGAGTAGAGTTAAGGACGAACTTACTCCTTCTACAGTTACACAGCACAACATTCTGGCCATAACTAAAAGAAGACTCTTTAAGATACAGTACTGCATCGGTAATTCTATCTTGGTGACTTCTAGAACTAGGCACGACAGGAACTTAAGTAGGAAGGTTAGAGCGTGCAGGGAGGTTAGTGACCTGGAGGGAACTGAAGGTGATGACTCTCACTAGAACATCATCTACTTAGCCTTTAGACCTGGGACTAAGTATAAATATGTAGGCATTACGCAGAAGGGAAGGATGGAGAGAGTAGAAACGCACTGGTCTGGGACAATTGCGGAGACTAGGGGTGGGTCCTTTTCTTCTAAACTACACTCACTTAGGGACTTTTTTGCCTTCATATTTATACCGGTTTTTTATGCTAAAGTTAGCTGTAGAATTAATCTAGAAGCCGCTGAAGGTTTTGCGATTAACTACTTTAACGCGGATAGGAACACACGAAAAAGAATCACGGAAGCTGGTGCGAAGAGATATGGCGTGGTAAAAACAGTTTTGGTTACACGTAAGTGTAGGAAGTTTAAGAAACAGAGAAACACGGTTGAAAAGGAAAGTTACGAGACGCCTAGAGCTATAGAAAAAATACTCAGGACCGTGGAGTATGGTAAAAGAACGAAGACAAGAACTATGCTAGTACTTAAACTCGCTAGAGATGCGCAGACCACTATCTCCGACAAAAGGACTGTTCAGAGGATGACTAACTACGAGAAAGGAAGGTTAGACTATGCAGCTAGAAGCATTCTTACTCCGTGCAAGTACTCAACTTTTTCAAAAAACTTTACTGACATTTGTGGATCTGCCTTTAAGCCACTTAGAATCTCCATTCCTGTTTGGCCTGCGACGAATGAAGTCATGAATGCTTACGTTAGTATTGTGCATGACTGTATGAGAAAAGGAGATAGAGTCAGATATGCTTCTGAGCGTAGACGTAGAAGAACACTTTGTGGGTACAAAGCTCGAGACGAGCTGGTAGTCCTATCCTTTCGTAGACAGAAACTACTTCGACTTTCTGACGTAGTTAACTCTAAGTGGGAAGAAGTGCGCCAGATTCTACAAGATTCACCTCAAGGAGAAGAGCCTTGTTTTTGTGAGGAGATTCGTGAGATGGTTCCTGGAATTAAGACCACTAAATGTGGGCACGTTTGTTGTGACCTTCGTACACTCCCTGCTCTTTCATGTAAGACGTTTTGGAACAGGAGTGGGCGTTTTTGTCCTACTGAAGAACAGAGTATAAAGGTTTTTAGAAAGAACTTAGAGAAATTAAGCGGTTGCACTAAAGCTTGCGTTGAGCCGTATTTTTATAAGAAGCAGGTTGAAACGATTAGAAAAGATGTTAGAGAAGGCGGTAAGGGTTATAAGACTATCGAGGACATTAGTCCTAAGCTCTTAGAAGTAGCTAGAAGAACAGTAGTGGGGGACGTAGATAAAAGCAAATCAGCTTACTTTTGTTGTTTCCAGGTAATCAGCCGGGTCATACGGAGCCATATGGAAAAAAGCGGTGCCTATGTTAGAATGGAGGGATGGGCCTCATTGGAGGAGTATAACCCGGAGTTTTTTGAGGTTAACAAGAAGGACACAAGTTTGACACTGAGAAGAAGAAAGCATAAGTGGTGTTTCTTAAAGGTTATGCTCAAGGATAGAGTCTTTAAAGATATAGGAGAGAGCATCGATATTGATGCCATTGCTTACAGACCTCTGACGAGCTACTACTCACATGCGTGGAAGCTGATATTTAAACGTGCAGCACAGGTTGTGGACTGGTTGATTAGCAAGGAAGCTAGCATGGCGACTACTACTAAAGGGTTCCTGCATATCGTGAATAATTATAACGACCGATGTCTGGAGTTTGTTGCTGATCTTATGGAGGAAAAGGGTTGCTCTTTTGAGGAAGCATTCTTACAGCTTCCTGCTATCGAGGTGGAGACCCACGACATTAAAGACTTTTTTACTGCCTGCAATACAAAAATAGCAATACAATTAATTAGAGAAAGAGTGCAGCACTACAAAAAGCAAGGCTTTAAGTACTTTGTCCTACAGACTGAAAAAGCTTACGAAAAAAGAGTTCAATACCACAACACAACGAGAAAGCAGATCATTAAAGCTAACACTACTGTTGACTTTAGCGTTGAAAAACCGAGAAGGGAGGTCTCTGTGTCTAAGTTTAAACCTATTTTTGCTCACTGGATTAGTCTCGATGGTCTTAGAAATATTCTACAGCATGACATTAGCCATGTTTTCGTTCGATCGCATGGCAAGCTGTTTAGGCAAGTTAGTGGCGGCCCTATGGGTTCCCCAACGATGTGCGCACTGGCTAACAGTTTCGGATGTCAGCAGGAGAGAGTTTGGAGGTCTAAAGTGAGCAAAGAGGAAAGGCCGAGCATGCACAAGAGATACGTTGACGATTCTTTCTCCATTAAGCTCAAGACACTAGCACAAGGCAAATACCCAACATACCAAGGCTGTAAACTTAAGGATACTACTGCTGAAGCTGAGTTTTTAGGTATGAACTTTACTACTTTCATGGATCGACTAATCTCCTTGAAACCTAAGCACGAAAGTATGTGGAAGGTCCTCCCACCCTTGTCATACTTAACGAACACACAGAGAAAAGGACTGGAAAGAGGAAAACTAGTAAGAAGGAAGCTTAACTCGACGCATTTTCAGACATAGCCACACACAAGAACAAGAACTTTGCCCATATATAAGTATTTGTGAAGTAATAAATAATAATATCGCTTTTTACTAATTAATCCTTCACCCTATAGTGTCTTGGTCGTGAGGTTTTTTGAGAAAGATTTCTGATTACTACTGGAGTAATTATATAACAATAGAAATTTTTTAAAACGGTCTTTGGCTACTACTAGAAGAACTAGAGAATATCCTGTCACTCGTCAGCTAATACTTCACGACAATTTATTGGTAGCAGTTGTTAAGGATAGAATGTTGGCACGTAGGAGGTTATCTATTTAGGTGTAAATATATGATTTTTTAGGTCTTTTTTAGGTATATATATTTTTTAGGTCTATTTGTGCTGCGTAAGTAGTTCAGACTTGAAGTGTAAGAAATAGGTTTACCAATGGTAGCATAAGCGGTTCTTATAAGATGTTGCTTAATACACACCCGATAGGTTTTTAGTGGCACGTTGACGAATTGATCGTCAAAAAAGTGATTTTCTCCGTGCTACGAATAAGCCTGGTGTTCCATAAAACAAAGTTATTCTAGCTCGTGGCTGTATCGGAAAAAAACTAATACCAAGGTATATATAAAAAATGGCGAAAAAAGTCCGGTCATCTGTTATATCTTGAATGGTGAAGGAGCTTGCCCCTTTTTGGTGAGCTGAAAAGGAAAGTTCCATTCTTGCTGGTTCTTTGATCCTGTCGTCTTGTGCCTTAGAATCGTGGACTTGTGCTCTTGAAGAATTGAAAAATCATAAGAATAAAAAACAACTTAAAAAACAAAAATAAAAATAGCATAAAAATAAAAAATAGGATCTGAACTTGCCGAAAAAGGTGTCACTTTATGCTCGCTGCTATCTCCCTTACGAGCTTGACGGGTCCGAAAAAAGATCCTCACTAAGAGTGGCTGCGCCTCCGTTTACTTCTTATTATGTAGGGCATTTTTCATGTTGTTGATGTTTGTGATTGACTAGTAGATGGTGCGACTATTATGATTGATGATTAGGGTTGTTTCTTCATCTTTCTTCACTTTTCCTTTTTTCTTGCATCTGAGTTTCTTCTTCTTCTTCTCCTGTAGTCTTTTCACTTTTATCTGACCATCATGTATTATAGCTTTATATGTTGATGCTTCTTCTTCTTGTGTCTTTTTTCTTGGATTATGTCTTTCTCTCGAAGGAGATGAACAAACTTATCAACCTGGACCTTTCCAAAAAATGGCACTACCAGTAGGTTGACAGCTGTGCAGGCAGGCGTAGTTTAAAGAGTGACACTGGAAGCACGTAGCGCGTTTCGCAGCAGTTTTTTTGACTTCTCTTGTGGTGTTCTGATACTGGATGAAAGTAAGTATCGGTTGTACGGGGGATAACATGAACTAGCAAGGCGATCCCGATCAATGAAATTATCAGAGCCGTTCGGTCTACTCTCTGAAGTAAGACAAACAATACTAGAGACGAACACAAATTTTATGGTACATGATTGGTGACAGAATAATACATCATTACTTCCAAGTTAAAGTTATAGCATTTTTTCTGGTTTTTGTTGCATTTGCTCATGGAATCTTTTGTTTCCCAGTGCTGAGCCCGTGAAAAATATCGGGTGTTTACAGAAGAAACCATGACAATGATTGAGCTTAGGGCTCGCATCTCAAAACAGTCCGGATAATTGCTAGAAAAATGGTGACCACAGTTATATAGAATTAGTTCAAGTTTTGTCATAGTACCCAATCACCTTTTCCTTGTCGAAGCGTTGTTGGACCTGCTGCATAGAACAACGGCACGTGGCAGATGAGGCCCACAGTGACGAAAAAAAAACCACTTTCGCCTCTTGAAACACTATTTTTGGTGCCACTTCATGATCTATCCATCCCCCAAATAAGACTTTTTAAACCCAATTGATTTGGTCCTCTCCTAACGTAACATAACACATTCATGCCCGAACCGGATTCTGTTATTGATGTTTCGTCGATTTGTTGTACGTCAGTGCCAATTTATCGCATGACTTTGCTACACAACGATACGGATACAGTATTACCATATTTAAGCGACGTACTTCTACAGCACGATCAACTACACCCCATGGGCAGGCGGTACACATGATTGATCATGTTGATATGAATTCCAATGACAGTAGCAACACTGTCACCAGGTCGCCTAGAAGTGCAGCACTAATCTAATCCCGGTACGTAGAACGCTTCGATTCCGCGGATGGGTGTTTCAAAGCAGGTGGCATCGTACTTTGTTTGTATGTGCAAGCTGCTCAACGAACATTCATACCAAACAAAGGGTACAGCATCAACATTACTGCAGAATTAGTTTAGGAGACAGTAGTAAACGGTGATATTTTCATAGTTTTCGTTTTGTGATCAAGAATAAATACTTAGGCACACGGCAGTAGCTTCGTTTACAATCAACTTCTGTTTTGCGAAAAAACAACATTGACTGGTATCTAAACCTGATGACTTGAGAACGAGATCACTTACTAATCAATCCTAGCCTAGAGAGACGTGTAGCACTTCGCCCCACTAGAATCCACGCCCACCAGAAAAGAACACGACGCGACGCCGCGCGCGCGCACCCACTGACACAAGCCGGCACGCTGCTACGCCGCGAATATCAAAAACGCACGCCCAAGCATGGCGGGGCGCGCCTTTAGCGTGCGCGAAATATGGGAGCGGGAAGTGGACTGCTGGCGGCCTTTGGGGTGTCGTGTCGCCTTGTCGGCGTGCTCGTTGGGCGCTGGGGCGGGGCCCGGGTCGTTGGCGGTCCGTTTCTTGTCTGTTGTTCGTGGGGACCACTTCGCACGGGGGGAGGGCTTGGGCGGCTCTAGGCTTACCCTCCGCCATTGCTGAGGCCTAGGCCTCCACGGCTTCGCCTTTGCTTGGTGGGTTCGTCTGTGGTGGTGGTTGGGGTTTCGGTGTTGTGTCTTGGCAGGAAAGGTGGCCAAGGGCTGTCGCTGCTCTCCCCTTCTCTTGGTGCATGTCTGAGAAACACCGAGGCACCCAGATGACCAACGAACAGGGCACGGCGGCCGCGGCTGCTCTCCTCTTATCTTATTAATTAAAAATATAATGTGTGAGAAGAGTCGAGATAGACCAGCAGGACAGGAGTTGGCATGGCTGCGGCTGCTCTCCCCTTCTCCTGCTAATGTCTGAGAAAAACTGAGACAGACCGACGGAGGAGAACGGGGCCCGGGCTGCCTGCCCTCTTCTTCTCCTATTAATGTCGGAGAAAAGCCGAGACCGGTGGGCAGGGCTGCGGCTGTCTTCTTCTTCTTCTTCTTCTTCTATTAATGTCGAGCCCGTTGGGGGACAGGGCTGCGGCTGTTCTCTCTTTCTTCTATTAATGTCAGAGAAAGGCCGAGACGGATGGACTTGGCTGCGGTTGTCTTCTTCTTCTTCTTCTTCTATTGACGTCGGAGGAGAGCCGAGACGGATGGACAGGGCTGCGGCTGTCTTCTTCTTCTATTAGTGTCAGAGAGACGCCGGGACCGATGGACAGGGCAGCGGCTGCCCTCTTCTTCCTCTAGTATGAAAGAAAGGCTGAGAAAGACCGAGGCTGACGGACAGCCAGGGCTGCGGCTGTCCTCTTCTTCTTCTATTAATGTCAGAGAAAAGGTGAAACGGGTGGGCACCGTGGTCCCGGCTGTCCTCTTCTTCTCATATTAATGCCTGAGAAGAGCGTAGACCGATGGACAGCAGGGCTGCGGCTGTCTTCTCCTTCTCCTATTGGTCAACGCCTGAGAAAGCGGGAAAGTGACGCCCACGCTGGGCGCAAATTTTTTGAAATTGGACAGGAATTGGCTGAAGAAAGGTCAAAGGCTTGGCAATCTTTGCGCAAAGTTTAGTGCTGAAGTGCTAAGTTTTTGACTTTAAACATTCAAAAGCTCCGTGCTTTTAGGACGCAAGCCAGCGGGGCTGGGTGTCGTTTTAAGTCAAAAGCGTGGCACTCGTGCCCATAAATTTTGGCCAAAAAGCCAAGGCTTTGACTTTAAGCCTTGGATTGGAATAAGTTAAAAAGTTGCCGCGTGTAGGGTCTCGCCCTCTTTCTAGACTTGCAGGACTTGCTGGGGTTGCAGCTATGGGGATCGTCGAGGCTGTCAGCCTCATAGCTATAAGCAGCGTGGAAGGCGTTGGTTCGAATCTTGGAAGGGACTCGACTGGCAGGGGTGTGGCCTTCGGGCTGGTCGCCGCCCCACACCCAGGGGAGAAAAACATGGCTGCGCTGCGCCAGACAGTGCGGGGAGATGAGACCCCGGCGAGCCCTCCGAGTAGCTGACGGGCGGCACCGCGCCCACGCGGTCCATCGCCTGGCCCAAAGCCCCGGGGCATAGCTGGACGGCACTCGCCTGCCGAGTAGCCGGGTCGGGTGACTGATGCATAAACACAGGGGCAAATTCGCGAGGAACCCTCCGCACCTGAAGCGCCAGCAGGCCGGGGCCAGGCGACCGCCCTCCCCAGATCGGGGAGGTTCTTCTCTCTCTCTCTCTCTCAGCGTGGAAACCGTCAGGGCCTCACCTGGGCTGTCGCTAAGGGTCTAAGCCGTCGGGATCTAAACCTTCGGGAGCTAAACCGCCGGGGCTTAAGCCGTCGGGATCTAAACCACCGGGATCCAAACCGCCGGGGCCCTGTAAGCTGTCGGGGTTTAAGCCGTCGGGATCTAAACCGGCGGGATCTAACCTACCCATTGGGATGGAGGCCATCGGTATGGACACCATCGGGGTGGAAGCCATCGGGATCGAAGCCGCCGGGGTCTAAACCATCGGGATCGAAGCCGTCGGGATCTAAACCATCGGGATCGAAGCCGCCGGGATCTAAACCGTCGGGGCTTAAACCGTCGCTCGGCATCTGTTTGAGCCGCCGGGATCTAGGCCGCCGGCTGGGATCTAAATCATCGGGATCGAAACCATCGGGGTCCAAACCGTCGGGGCTTCAGTTTGTTAAGCTGTCGGGTTTTGTTGTGGGCTTGTGCGGGAGTGTTTTTTTTGTAGCGTTTGGAATATTGGGTGTTTTTTGTTCATTTTGTTTTTGTATAAACATTTCATCCGGTATCATGTAGTCAGTAGCACATATCCTGCATGTAAAAAACTAAAACTATGTATAGTTTCTTCTCATTCCTCGACAAGGCTCGCTAGGATGATATTCTAGAAAACAATATGTCCATGTTATGGCCAGTCAGTCTGTCATAGAATTATTTCCATATCATTTGAATTTGTAGTCGTCCCCGTTGAAGGAAATGCGGATCGTGTTGTGATTCCTCTAAGGGGAGGCAATCGATCGCGTCCCGCAACCAAGTGCCATTAACATATTCGTTCGCGTTTGAAGCTCTCCGTTCTACACTATTGCTGCAGGCATCACTTTATCTTTCCGATCTGGACTAGCACATATTATAACAGCGCTAGCTGATTAAGGAATACTTGTTGAATCATGTTTGTTGACAACGTATTCGAGATGAAGATCACCATGTGTTGTACTTGTAATGGCCTCAAGCCTTCACTTGTAGATGAGCATAGAAATTTCAGAAGAGTCATTTGTTCGAAGAAAACTGGTACCGTCAAAAAGGAAAAGGAACATAGTTTGACGATCCGACAGCACCGGACTTGCAAGGATGGAAGTGTTCATTCTGATACAGATCCGCGACACTTTTGCAGTGGGAAGAAGAAGCTGCATTCCCGCAAAATAGAATCATAAACCGCACGAAGATCCGAGGAAGATCAACGCAGACGCTTGTCGTAACACACTACTACAGATCAGATTTTTGGTACTCTTCCAGTATTAGTTGGTGCTAGTTATGTCGCCTGGCGGGCCACTCACCATACAGTGATACAGTTTGGGGCTAGTACTCGTCAAGCACCAACAAGGTCGTTTTCATGTGAGTTCGCTTAGCATAGAAACACCTGACGATCACAATCAATGAAAGGCAGTACCAACATTAGTCAGGCTACCAAAAAGAGTCGTACGAGTACAACAAGAGAGGAGGCCGCAAACCGTCATGATTCCGTCGACGTTCCTTGAAAGTTTTGTTTTTCCTAACTGTTACGGCAGGGTGGGGTGGAAAGGGACGTGTGAAACTAATTAGAATATACTACGTATTCTTGAGGGGGTGGGGCTGTGCCTGTGGAGTATCTTGAGAGACCTCAACGGCTCGTCTAGTCTTCAGATGACATTGTTCACTCCGGCAAGAATTATTATGGGAAAAAGCAGGACAGAAAGTTAGCACGTTTTCTTTTCGACCTGTAAATAAAGTTGTAAAATGGTGACGATCGCAGTAGAACTCCATGGCACAACAAGCATGCGACTTGGCATTTCTGCCAGTCTGCATTTCAGACAAAGGATGAGTCAGATGTACTCAACATCAACTACATGAGTGGTTAGCTCCTGCATGCCTCTCTGAGTGAAGAAGCGCACTTTTCTCTCCGCGTTAGTCCTCAGCATCGCCGACGACGCCCTATGATTTTCTTGCCGTTAGGCCAGCACCTGTGTCGCGGTCATCCGATCCCTGAGAAGAACGTAAGTTATCGAAAGAAGTCTTTGAACAAAGACTGCATTCGCTCTTTAAAAGGCTTCCTCATCTATCCCGCCTTGCTTGGGGGGACTAGACGCATTCTTGCCTACATTGAGAATTATACACTAAAAGCAGAAATCTTCAATTTCACAAGGGGCGGGTCGTAGTTTTGACTCTGGGTAACCTCGAGGAAGACGGGCAAGGGCAGTTCACAGCGGCGGATAGTGACAATTTACAAGGACGTCTTCACGCGTTTTAGAAGAGGGACTCACCACAATGGCGAGTACGGAGTTTAAGTTCTCGTTCCCGCACTGGGTAGACGGTGAGGCAGATACCTTTTCTGACCGTGAATTGAATCGGGAAATTGAAAACTGTTGTTGGAAAGATGATCAATGGGGCCATTGGACTCTATCGTGCGAGCGATGGAGTCTCGCTCCTTCGCGGAAAGTCACGGACGAAGTTTTGCAGTACATTTTGAAGTACATCTTCGTGAAAAAATTGCGGGTATGCAAGCGCTATCCGCGAACATTTTCCGAATTTGAAGACTTACGCCGCCAGAGCCATTTTTTCGGCACCCACGTTTCGGAGCACTGCTGGCCCACTTGCATCATCGATCGCCGTTCGCCGCAACAAATTTTGGAGGACCAAAAAATGAAAAGCGGTGCCGTTGGCCTACCAGAAGACTTCGTGCAATTCAACGGGGATTACACAAAGGTGATCTATTTCGAAGACATACTGCTGCAAAACCAGTCGATTGGGGATGTCGGTACTACAGACTAAGATGGTGAGTTGTATGTCAAGACTGCGTGGGAGTGGCATTTGGGAGGAAAGAAAAAACTTTAGGCACGATCCACTGGCAACATCGTCTTGTTGGAATGGGCCCGCGCCTGTTGATTTTTTTTCGTATGATTGCTGGCTACAAACAGCGTGCTCGCATATTTGCGTATACAAGAATCAAAATCTGTACGTGATTGACGAACAGCTGCGCATAGCTGAACTCTCAATTTTTACATCAACTTATCTATCAGGTATGTGCTATTTGGTAGATTTCCTTATCTGCGCGAATGTCCTGGTGCGAAATTTGCGCGTCTACAAAAACGTCATCGGGGAGTTGGGTGCACGGGCTATGTCAGCGTATCTGTTGAAAGCGCCTTGTCACGAGTTTCACGCGAGCCACAATTACATTCCCAAGCTTGGAGCTGTGGCCCTCGTGGTGGCGGCGGGCTGCAATCCTTCGTTTCCCATCTGTTACCCTGACTATTTCAAGTGGCACAAGTGGTACCATCGTGAGGGGCTTAGTGAAGCTCAGAAGCGGAATAGAGATCCTATCACTGATCATGCGTGGCAGACGATGCGTTGTATAGGTACAGTTTTCTCTTTGGTCGTAATAAAGTACGAACAATATTCATAGATTTATGTGATTTGACGTTGGCCATGCGGCGTACCTACAAGTACAACAACTGTTAACTATGAGTTATAGAGTCTCCTGTTCTACTTCTAATAGTCTGCTGCATAACAGGACGTCCAATCACACCAAGAAGCATGCAGGACGTCCTACCAACATAAACCAGAACCGCCGACGAGTAGGAAAATTCAATGGGCCACTTTTCTCCTTCACTACTTTTTCAGAGAGCGGTGGCGCACCGGCTCGTCCCTGCTGGATGCGGCTAGAGAGCAATATTATCGACCAGTGGACAGAGACGCGTCACAAGAACGCCAAGAATATGTTCACCACTTTGGCTAAAGTATGTCATAAAAATGATCCACGAGCTCAGGCGAACCCTCAATTCATGGACGCTTTGAAGACGGCGCGAACAGTGGATGACACCGTTATCTGCGAAATCGAAGCCAAGCGCTGCTCATGCAATCCAAAAGGTACTAAGTTGTAATAACTGAAAATCGTTTTATTCTTTTGTTGTTTAGAGACCGGACAAATGGGAGATCGTTATTCTATAGGTACAACTAATTCATCTCATGTTGTTTGGGGAAAATAAAAACAAGCGGTAAAAAACTACTCGGCATTGACTCGTTGAAAATTCGCCGAAGAAGCATGTAAAAACAAACTAACTTTGTTTAGGATGCATCAAGAATACGGAACTGGACCGAAACAACCCCATGCGCACTATCGAGGTGACCATGAACGGAAGAAGTAGTAAGATAAATTTGAATTGGTACCGCAAGGCGAAAGTGCACTTGTGTTACATGCATGCATCGCCGACCGAGTTACAGACGCGCAAGTCTAGAATCCCGGACTCTGCGAAAGTTGGTTACGAGGGACATCTCTTTTGTTTCGGCTATATTTTCAAGATGGCAGACCTCTATCAGAAGCACGGACTTCCGGCGAAAAAGGCTGCGCTCGGAGGTTTGCTCTTGCCTATTCAATTTTCCAAGCTATACCCGAATTTGAATATTGTGGCCCAGGAAGCTGGGAAGAAAGGGGGCGCCAAGGGAGCTGCAGGAGGAAGTGCCGCAGCAACAGCTGGAAAGGGTGCCTCGCCCGAACAAGCGGGAACTTTGGTCTGTCAACCGGTACCCGCAAGTGCGTGGCAAGGAGGTTCTGTGAATGGCGCCGCGGTAGCTGAACAGACACCGACCCCCACTGTGCAAGCGACTCCTCCTCCTGCCGCGTCAGAGCCTTCTCCGATAACACGTGCTGCTCCTCACGAAGATGAACGATCTGTATCCGGGGTGGCCGATGCAGCTGCGCGAATTTCGTCAAGCACATTAGCGGCTGGGGAGAGTAACCGACGGTTGTCCGTTGGCACGACGGCGCAAGTGGCGCCCTCCTCGCGAGCGGGTACACCGCGGGCTGCTTTAAGTCCTACTGGAAAGAACACTGCGACGAGCCGTGACAGCATGATGGCCGGCCAAAGGGTTGCTTTAGGGGGGGCGCTGCCGTCGACTGCGTGTGGGGGCGGTGAAGGTGCTACTTCCGCGTCAAGCAGTACGCAAAGCGGAGCGCGGAACCCCTCGAGGCGCTCTTCCTCTGTACACGAGCCTCGAGAGCTGGAATTCGAACACCCGCCAACTGGTGACCAGCAGTCTTCGTCGACTGGTTCTACAAATGGCGTTACTTCTTCCGATCTGAAACAGCAGCTTGCAGATCCTGGCACGCCTTCGTCAGCACGCGGTCAACAGAGCGAGGCCAGAGTAAGGTCCTCGTTGATCAAGCCGGGGTTCCTCCTTGGCTCCGCTTTAACGTTGAAAAAGAAACAAGAGCAGGCAGCTCGAGAGACCGCTAACGATACTTCGCGCAGGAGTTCTAAAGTGTCTTCCATAAGGGATTCTCCGACTGCAAGGGCAAACGCCGCATTCGAGACTGAGCAGGAAAAACTGCGAAAGCTAACGCCAAAGCATCGCAAAGGAACGCCAAATGATATGATTTTTGACGAGGAAGTGGCAGCGACGACACAAAAGGTTATAGTGGAAGAGGATATAGACGTTTTCGGAGATTCATACCTACTGACCTCAGCCAAGTACGACGCAAGGGTAGCTGGCTGCATGGACACGGAGGCTAAAGCTGCGGAGTACACGGGCAAAATTTCTTCCACAGAAATGGCAACCATCTACACGCAGCTGCGCCAGACATTTTGTAAAGACACTGTTAACGGCCGCCGCTACAAGGCGGAAGAACTCACGCGGTGTCAATCCATGCTTCTAGGACTCTTCGTGCAGAAGCTGCACGAAGTGTTGCGTTCCGACTCGAGTTTCAACAAGGCGGCAGGTGGGGAGCAAACTTTGAAGAAAATGTTTCTGACACCATTCTGGGACATCTTTCTCCGAGTGATTGAGCAGCAGTTCGGACGCAACCACCTTTACAGTCTCGGTTTCGTGCCGTTCGAAGCTATGGCGCTGCTGTGTCGCGAACTCCCCGAAAAAATTGGTAAGGTCTCTGTCCTTGATCATGATTTTTTCATCTAGTTCTTGACCGATCTTTATTGTGTTAATGTTTATAGATCCTTTTACTTAGAGATATTTATTGGTTCGTTCCAAATTTCCATAACGCTACTGAATACTTGTGCCAGGCCTATAGTTAGTAGGACTCATAACAAGATGATACCGAGGTAGTAGAGGTGCGCTTACCTAGATGGTTCATCTTTTCTGGCTCTACCCGAATGAAAATACCTGCAGGTCTTTTCGTGAAGCGCACGGATATCGAGACGGAGGAGCAGGCGCGTGCAGCAATGGAGGAATGCAAAGATGGATGGATAGTGACAATCCGGAAGAAATCTTCTTCCAACCACGCGCCGTCGCCGTCTTCTGCAGACAGCTCCTCGTCGACCAATACGTCTTCTTCAGAAGTGTGCTTTATCAAGATTCCGAATATGGTGCGTATTTTGAAGTGGGTGCTCGTAAAGGCGGCCTGGGTCGAGGATCTGGCGACTGTGAGCAAGAATAATCCTGTCTTGCACCATTTTGACGATCTACATTTGAAATCTTTTAAAGATAAGAGTCAAGAGTTGTTGCGGCAGATGAATTGCTGCGACAATGCGGGGCAGAAGCTTCTGCTGCAGGAGCGAGCCTGTCGTGCGTGGAACCATCGATCGCGTGAGCTCGCGGTTTTCCAGGATGTTCAACAGTTGCAAATGGAGCTGCGTATCTGCGATGCACTGGTGCAATATTTGACCAGTGTTGAAGCACAGTACTTGGGTGGTTTGCTCGATGGTCTCTGCAACGCGGCGGCTGACCAAGTGAAGGAGCTTTTGAGTGCCTCAGCTTGGTCTGCGTCGCCTGAGGGAAAGGGCAAGAAGACCCCTGAGGATGAAAATAGCAAAAGATCAACATCGTTCTCAGACGCTGTTGTCGCTGCTGACGAGAAAAACACGGGCAAGCGTGCGGTAGCCGAGACGTTTGAGCGCTTGTTTGGTCCAACTGGTACGAAAGTTGCGGTGGCGATGAGGAAGATGGAAGAAAAAATTGAAGACGGGGCTGCCACGCTGGACCCCGAAGAAGAGGCGGCCTTCGTCGGCGTCGTGTCGTGCTGCAGCTACGAGGAGCTTCATCAGCTTCCTGGGCTGTTGCCGCAATACGAGAACCCAGCGGTCGGTGCTGCCCGCCGAATACGGCTGGCTCTAGAGGAGGGTCTCGTCCATAGGCGACTGCAACTTCGCAGCGCAGCAGACGTGGATTTAGATCGTTTACGCAGAGGCGGGTCTCCAGAAAACGTTAGACTGCGGTTTCCTGCGGTAGTGCAAAAAGCGGCACTCACAGCATTTCGGAAGCTTGTAGTGGAGCCACGGAGCGGCAAAAGAACGACCGGAGATGCGGAGGGAGGCTGCTCCTCTGCCGACGAGCAGGAAGCCGCAGAGAGCCAGGACGGAGCAGTCGCAGTTAAGAGTTCGTCCAAGCGCAAGATTCCAAGTTTAGCAAGCCGCTTCGCGATGACGCAGCAGCGTGAGAAAGAGGCCGCCGAGGAAGAGGGCGTGACGGCAGAACGCCGCGATGAAATTGCGACAGCGGAGACCAAATTTTTTCAGAAAGAAGGCAGGCTGCAGCAATTAAAGGCGGAACGCGGGCTCGCCCTCGAAGATCCAGTGAACATTCAGAGGCTAAAAGACGAAGAAGTGGAGGACACTGATGACGAAGAGGAGCTACTTGCGTGGCAGGACCGAGTGAAGAAGGCACAGCGGGGCTTCGACCACTATCGTCGCGTATTAGGGCGGGAGCAGAAGGCACATCCCGCGTGGATGGCAGCGCGTGCCGAGTTGGAGACGCTGAGAATAGAGGTAGATGAGGTGACAGCAGAGTTCTTTTCGGTTGTGCACGACACCTCCGAGTCGACAGGCGCGGTGGCGGCAGGCGGGTCTTCGCAGTTCGATGGCAAGGGAAGCGTGATTCCATTGGCGCAGTTGCAAAATATTGAAGCACTGTACGACGTGGCAGGATCTTTCGAAAACGTCCTGCACGAATGCTGGAAGCTAGCGTCACTGCTTATGGTGCAGGAGCGCAGGAGGGTGACACTCTACAGCGAACTGCAGCGGCTGCTCGAAGGGCGACATGAGAGCTGGCGAGACCGTGACCTTCTCCTCGCTGCTGATACAGAAAAGACTCAGCTGGCGGCTTTGCGTAAGAGGTTTCGCGAAATCGCGATTTTGCCGTTTTTGTTTGATGCGTGTTCGACTGGAACGCCACCGCTTGGAGCAAACTTTGCATTGAACGTGGAACCAATCTGCTTGAAAGAGGCGCCGGAAATTGAGCTTTGCGAGCCGCCGGTTATGCAACCATTTTCCGGAAAGAGCAAAGCCTCTGCTAAACTGCGTCTGGAAGAAGAGAAAGCGCCGGATCTGATGCACCAGACGGATGGAACCCAAGGACGCACTCCTCGGGCGGCTGGCTTGCAGATACCCTTCGCGCTGGAACCCCCGAGTACCGGCACAGACCTGCCGCGCGGCGGTTTCGACCGTATTGGCACGGGTGGCATCGTCACTTCGGCCTACGATGCCATCATTGCCAACGATCTGCATCACCCTCAGGATTGGGCGGAGCGCGAACGGGCGACTGCGCTGAGCTCCTCGTCGTTACCCGCACAGGATCCCGCGTGCGAAATAGGCAGGATTCCTTCGAAGCTCTTAGAGGCAACTGAGGCCTACTGCCAAAAGATAGAGGACAGGTCCACTCGGGTTCGATGGTTCAATCAAACGGGTGTGGCCGATGTGGATGAGGATGACCAGGACTCGGGCAAGGCTGGAGCAGAGGGGGACGCTGTTAGCGCGGAAGCTCCTGGAACTGCGGCTGCTGCGGTTTCCTCATGCAGCCGACAAGCCGAGCGTCGAGAAAAGAACATGCAAGTGGACAAAACGAAAACGACAGCTGCGGACAAAACGAAAACGCCAGTGGACAAAACGAAAACGACCGCAACTGCGGGCAACGAACAGGTAACAACGGCTGACGTAAGTAGTAGTAAGCCTCCTCCTGCACCTTCCGCTCGCGCTTCTCCACCTTTGGCTGCTTCATCTGGTCATCGAGAGCAGCAACTAGGCACGAAGCCATCCCCTCAAGCTGCACCAGCAGCGGGATCAACTACAGCTTTGTCTTACGCTGGGGCGCGTGGAGCGACAGGAAAGAACACGGCAATACCCTATGGTGCAGAGAACAGGTCAGCAGTGGGACAACACGCGGCATCGTCGTCCAGCCCAGGGACTTGGCAGCCGGGTTCTACTTTCGTCCCGGGCAGTGCCTCAGCAGCTTCCGCGGCGTCATATATGTCCTCAACAGGAAAAGGCAAGAAGCACGGCTCTTTTGGGGCATCGTCGATGGCAGGACACACTATGCGAGGGGGCGGGGACTTCTACGAACATGGGTACAGGATAAATCCGAAGCCACGCGATGTGCCGCCTCCATGGGCACAGCAAGGGAGTGCCACGTCGTATCCACATGGTGCCACTTCATACAGCAGCTTTTCGGCTCCGAACGCTGCAGGAGCTGGCTATCTTGCACAACAAGGTGGTACTGGATATCACCAGCAGCAATCATACATGGGACAGCAAGGCGGTTCACAGCACTACCAGGGGGCAGGGCAACCCGGGGCCCACGGACCTTACTTGGACGGATCTAGGCGCGGCTCCATGGACGACCCGACGCCAGGTACGCATAAGGGCGGCTACCAGCAGCACGGGGCACCAAGCTCGTGGGCTTCATGGCAAGGTGCTAACACGCCTGCTAGTGGTGCGGGACTATCTTCCCAGGGTTACGCAAGCTTGCAAACGTCAGGTTTGCTTGCTGGGGATTTGACTGGAGCAAGCACGCCACATGCCACCACCGGACAGTATCCAGGACAATACCCGCAGCATAGCGGGTACCCACATGGGGGCCCTAATACAACTCATACCCCGACTAGCACAGGTGGGCTCTCCCTGCAGAATCACGGTAGTTCGACAGCGGATCCTTACAACATGACCAATAACACCACGGGAGGTACTGCGGCTTCAAGTACTACTGCAGTTCCGGCAAACGGGGGGCTCTTCTGGTACACAGTTCCCGAGACCGGAAGGTGTGGCGTGGCTCGATCCGACCAAATACCTCCAGGCGCGAAAATCCTCACTTCTCCCCAGGAAGTGTCGAACGCTCGAGGGCAGCAGCAATCCACCTCTACGAAGTCAACGTCTGGCATGGCCGCGCACGCAGCACCCTTCGTACCGCAGGCTAATAAGCATGGCGCATCTTCATTGACATTTCAAGCACAGCGGCAAGGAACACAGCAAGGATCGCCGCCGCCAAGTGACAAGCAGCACTACGTGCGAACAGGAACAACGTCCAATAAGGAAAGTGGCCCGGTCTCATCTCCTGTCTTGTCGGGGGCCGTGATGCCTAAGGTCCTTTCGAAGGCCGCCTCCGTGGCGAGCTTGGCGGCGCCGTCACTGGCTACGTCCAAAGAGACCGCCTTTACGAACTCCACCGAGGAAGGGTCGCCACCATCTACAACGGGTGATCACCTCACTGGAAAAAATGCAAAAAAAGTAATGGACAGGACGGAGTCCTCAAAAGCGACACTGTCTGATTACTCCTCGGAGGATGAGATGGGCCCTTCACTCGCACAGCGCAGGGATTCCAAAAGTAGTATTGGAGCTTCCAGTCGTACTAGTGGGGACCACAGGCTTCGAGGGCCTCTGGATGCAACGAAGACTCCGGGAATCACGTCAGACGACTCCTTTCAGCACTCCATTCGAGCAAGAAAAGTTTCCACCGTACCCGGGGAGCGCGATGCCTACTCCAGCTTCAACATCTGTCGGCCCTCCGCAACATCTTCGTTATACCCAAGCAGAGCGGCACGGCGTGTCCCTAATTACCTCTCTTCGAGCGGCAGCGGAGGAAACGGTGCCTCAACATCGTCCTCGACTTTTTTATCGTCTAGATCAGCTGAACAGCAAGGCACGAGCGAGTGGCGAAGGAAGTCGCGAGAGGAGACACACGATCAATATGGCAATAAGCTAACCGCTTCTTCGTCCTCGTCTTCGTCAAGGCCACAACTCGCCGCGACTTCTTCGCGGACTTCCTCGAGCACGCAACCACTATCTGGCCTCTTACCTCAACAGAGTGCGTGGAACGCGTCCAAAACAAGTAGTGTAAGAGCGACACTGACGTCGAGTACAAGTAGTTCATCAGGAGATAAAGGTTCATCCCTGTCTTATGCCGCTGCAGCTGCCACCGCGTCAACGCAGGAAACAAAGACGACAACCGGAGAGACCCATCCTACGCGAGACGCGTGGGGCGACAGCGAGGACGACTCAGAAGTGCGCTTTGCGGAAGGCGCACGCAATAAAACGGACAGTAATCAACCTGGAGATGATACCGATCAATCCGATTCCGACGAAATATCGGCTGTGCTTCCTGTAGAAGAGTCAAAGGCAGTCCTACCTGAGAAATTTCTCAAAGAGCGGGCTCGCGCAGCGCAAGCAGCAGCAGAACATTGCGTTGAGGTACTGCTTACTTTCTTAGTACTGATGAAATACAACCAGTAATGATAGATGCATATAATTGAAAATGAAATGGTGTAACGCAGTGTCGATGTTTTTATTTTCATTTCGAAAAATGAGTATTTGACAATCAAGGATCCATTAGTATCTGTAATAGTACTAGGAGCAGGACATTCTTCTTCTTGATGATATTCCAAACATTATCCGGCCACCACAGGAGGACCCGTTTTTGTGCAGTCTCTGTTGGGATAAGACGAACGGGGTGAAGTTTTTCCCATGCTGGCATAAGTGTTGCCGGACGTGCTATGAAACGTACTTTGCGAGTCGCTCGACGTGCCCGCACTGTCGCCAGGTTGTTCTCTGCTTTGTGCCAATTCGAGAGGCCAACGACGCGTCACGAAACTAATGGATCCGCGATGTTTCGACGAAGTCTACCGTGGCAGACACCAGATCATGGATAAGCATTGGTGGCTCTGTCATGCTTTTTGGTGGACCGCGTCTTAAGTAGTGGATTTCGGAGCAGAAAGTTACAGCGTGTTTGTCGTGTCATGAAAAAACATGGAAATCAAAACCTGTGCCAACATTCAATTTACGTAGAAGAGAAATTAAACTATAGATTTACTTAGATTTTCATCAACATCATGTACGAATATGACAAGAACATATTTATATATAGATATGATTTTATGAAATGGCTGCCATTACTGCCACAAATATTCTAACTCGGAGGAATGTAGTCTTCAGGGGGACATTTTTCTTCATAGGTACTTCTACGAATTTTTACATGGGAGTCACACTTTGCTTGTGTCATCGTTTGAGTCTCTTTTTCCAATCCTTATAGAAACTTGGTCTTTGCTATTCGTATCACTAGAAGTTTGTTTGATGTCCATTGCATTTCTTGGTATCGTTGTTGCTCCACCGCTTCATGAGTCTTTGTCCTAACCAAGACTATTCACACCCATGATGATGGTTACATTTATCTGTGAAGAGTATGGAGAATGAGAAATTTCCGAGGCATGACGCAGATCTGGTCCGGCGTGGGGTGCATGGATCACGTGAAGCAGCACGCACTGGCAGAAATTCTGGAAATCAATTTTACATCTCACTCCATGTTGTAATAATCTTAGTATGTACATTTGATCTGTACCTGTAGTGTGATTTATCAATGCTGGAGCTTCGCGCTAAATAGAGGTTTCTTTATTCTCGTCGTGTACAACAATTATCCTTCGTGTGTTTCTCCGATCATTCATCAGATTATGGTGATTCCGTGAAGAGTGGTCGCACGCAATGGCTTTGGGTGCGCTTTCTCTGTCATCCGCGTAGTGAGTGGTTTCTTCCAAGAAATGGAATAGGAGTCCACAATGAAACCGTGTTAGGTGGCGTATAACACGTACTTAGATCTACTTTCTCTAGTTGATGAAGATTCCTCTTCCTCATCTCGCAAAAAATAGTGTTTGCACCTCCTCAAGATTTTTATTGACGAAGGGTAAAACTAAAAATGAGTTGGATAACGTATCACGATGAATTACAACCCTTAGATAGTGTAGTGTAATTCATTATGATTTTGTGAATTTTGCAACCCCGATCCGAGCAGACCCGCTAAAAAGAAGAGTCTCCTAGAGGCACACCATCATGATCGTGATCTGATGCGACATTCCTGAAGTTCAGGTTGGAAACCCAACTGGAGTGACCTCCACACCTACACTTCTACCAAAAACCAAGAATGTTAGTAAAAACTTTAAAAATCTATACAACGGATTCGGTTCCTAGCGAGTCGCCTTCTCTCGTCCGGGTCGCACCCTTGAAGAATCTCCTGTGCTTTTTTATACTTGCCGCGGAAGGTCATTCCGTCTCCGTTCATCGGTAAAAATTTCGGCGTGACGTTTCGGAGAGAGAGAAAAGACGATGTTCGGGATCAATTTAAGTGAGAAGCTACCGATAGAATTTCTGATCATCCTACCCTCCGGCTGACTGACGGGTTATAGAAGGCAGATAGAGAGAAACTGTCTTCAAACAAAAACTTCTTCATCCATCCATCAGCTTTTTCCTTGTACCACATCGTCATGCAGCCTGGGAATTGAATAAACGAGAGATAGATGCAACATTAGATTGAAAAATGAAGAAGTATGTTTCCTAACCGTGTCTGAAAGATGTACAGCAGGACCACCAGGAGTGCTGAGAGAGAGATTTCTACAACAAGGTGTTCTTCTCTTGCGATCGAGACTGATTGTTTCTGTTGTTCGGCGACTGTGAGATCGATGTGTAGTTCATCTTTATCCTTTCTTTTTCTCCCAGTGCGAAGCTGACCGTGTTTGTCTTGCAAGAGTGCTGCGGTTCGTGAGAGAGGTGCCGACTCGTGACACGAAATAAGATGAAATTTGTACCTAGGTAATAAGAAATGATGCGCATTTCCTTGATGTTGGAAGTAGACCGCAGAATTTCATTATTTTCGTTTTCCACGATTGATCCTACCTTATCACCATCACGCACAGGGTGAGCCAAGGGAGCTCGGCGCTTAGTTGTGTATCCTTTGCCCCAACAAACCTCTCGTCGATCTCGAACGACACGCATTTATGATAAAGTCTATGGCGCCGTTGCAGCATGATAACTAATGTCGAGGCGGTACAAAAAATGAACATTCGGGTGGAGATGACTCTGGTACTTACAAACGCAGAAAAATATGATCTCCACTTTAGGTTATTGTTGTTGACTTGCAACGGCGTGAATGTCAGCAATTATTTAGTATTACCAAGTTTTTAGAGGCTGTGGTGTAGTAAAGGGCGTGATATAGATAGACAACATCACTTTCTGCCACTAATTTTTTTTTTCTGACTGGCTATGTACTGGCTATGTAAGTCTTGTCTACTCTAGTTAGAATCTCTTAGCAGCTATTTGTTTTTGTTCATGCAGGTAGCTGGATAGACATGATAGAAGACTTTGAATTATTTCCTATTATTTGTTCCCTTTTTGTGCCGAAACTGATACAACTAGTTTTCACTTCATCTATGTCGTAATGAATGTATTCTCTTGGGGGAGATTTTTTCCTGGAAAGAACTACAACAACATCTCGTGTTCAGCTGAAATTGATTTGGAGTAGATGATGAAAAAGAATGGACGCCGAAAGCCAAATTAGGCTGTCTTCTGACGAATTGCCCGTCTGCGGCACGGTTTTGCAGGGATCGCGCGAGACGACAGACGGGTTCGTCGACCTCCATGGTGGGAAGTCGGAGATTCCACGGCTCAGCCGAGCCGCAAATATTGCGGAGCTGGCTGACACGGTGCAGGTGAAGCTCCGTAGACTCGACGATAATCATGCTGCAGTAGACAGCTTTTACGCAGGTGGTGGAGTTAGTGCTCGCAAAGTTTTACCTTCGCCCTCGTCAGGCAAGACACCTGGCGTTGGTTCTCCGTTGCAACGGAATAATGGGAGCATCTACAAGAGTGCCAAAACGGGAGGAGGTTTTTTAACATCTTCAATCGGGCGAAGCAAATCTTCGAATAAGAATTTGGGTCCGAACTACAACAAGAACAATGATGAGGATTCTTCCGATCGGCAATCCGGTGGCACGCGAGGACACAGTAGCACTAGCGAGGAGGAGCTGGAGCAAGTTCGAGGGAGCAGCACTCCCGAAAAAACCGAAGAGGATCCCGAAGAGGATCACCCACGACCAGCGGCAGTTGAAGTAGGTGACGACTCTTACTTTGGAGGTGCTGCTGCTGAAAGGTCCTCTCTTTTGCGCAAACGAACAAGAGGAGGCTCTTCACCTGATGATGAAGACGGCATTGTAAAGAAGCCCTCCGCTACTTCAGCAAGTGGGTCTTCTTTACTAAACAACAAAGGATCCTCGGCTTTCACGTCGGGTGCACTTGGCCGAGTCGTCAATGATCGACCTGTTTTGGCTTTCTCACCAAGCGATACGGAGTTGAGCCGTCCTGTCACTATTGATTCGAGTGTGCCTGAGAATTTCGCGGAAAGGCTGCAGCGCGATGAGGCAGAGGCGACACGCTTAGCTGAGGAGAGAAAGCGGACGGCAGCGGCTAAGCTTCTGCAAAATTTGAAAGGTACTGGAGACTTGTTGAAAAGCAGTAAGGATTCAGCTGCGGAAGCCACGTTTTCTGATTCAACTAATTTAACAAGTGCAGCGTCCGGAACAACTAAAAGAACAAGACGTGGTGGCGATGAAGAGGGTGGTGAAGGTGAAGATAGTTCATCAACGTCCTCGAAAGATGGAAAGGAGTTGCCGCCAGACATGCAGATGGTTGATTTTGCCGATATTCAAGGTTTTGAGGGCTCCAATGGGGAAGAGCCGGCCAAAATAGGTTTAGAGCATGCGATTGAGAAGGTCATTTTGTCTCTTCTCTCTCCTGCGATTCATGGTCTGCAATCAATTGGGATCCCCTCTGCGCAACGACGTGCCGAAGAGCTCCTGCATGCGGTTAGCGATGGTTCTGCACATGCAGCGCCAGAGCTGGACCGAACGGAAATTTGTGTCCGCCAAATCATCGCGGGAAGCGAGAACAAAGCTTCACGCGTGTTGCTGGACTTCTTCCTAGACATGATACCGTTTTTAGGTTGCCCTACGATTTTGATCAAGAACACGTGGGCAGAATTGCGCGGTATTGCGATCATCGCGGCGCTCTACGGCCATGATTTGAACCAGCCGCGTGTGCAACACGAGATCCTCTGCTGCCTGGTACCGCACGCACCCCCAGACACGTTGAACACGAGTGCAGATGGTACCTCAGTTTTGCTTACAGACACAGCGTCCAAAGTGGCGAAAGCCATGATCAAAAACGCGCTCGAGCGAGCTACGGGGTTGCGCGTGGCTGTGGATGTAGTGGAGCTTGCGACCATTTTGTACAATCTCTACACCCCAAACAGTACGGGTAAGGACGGCTTGCAGAAAAACGGGAGAGTTGTCGAAGACGAGTCCGGTTTTGTTCATGTTTCTACCACCCCGACAGCCACTGCGCGCCAGTATTTTCGTCCCAAGATGCTCACGCAGGTGAACCACATCTACGTTCCTCTGTTGCTGCTAGGGTGCATCGCGAATCAAGTGGCGGCCATGCTCTACTTCCTCTACAGCTCCTCGTGGTGGATCGTTCTTCCTCTACTCTCTGCCGTCGCGGGAATCACTTACTATGCTTTGATGGTCCGGTTCGACGACTTGAGCTACTTCGTGCAAACGGTGCCTGGTTGGTACCTCACAACCGCCGTTTTTGGCGTGCACGCATTGCTACCGATGTTTTCGGCCTTCAGTTCCATGCAGATGGTGGTACCCTTTGTTTTGAGAGCCGTAGATCCATCGGAGCGGGGCGCCCATTTCGAAGAACTCTCCATTTTCCTGCTGGGCTGCGCAAATTTCCTGCATCTGCTGCTGAAAAAACTAAACTTCGCAAATCTGCAACCAGTGGAGCGGTTCGTTCAGAGGTACTCTAACCTACCTGTTTGATTAAGAGGATGTTTTTAGCAAGCCAAGGATCGCATTCGGAGGCCAGACGTCAGCACATCCATAGCACTAGGCCTGAATGATGGAGATTGAAAATCTGAATGTATTAATGCTCACCTACGCCTACGTTCTTTTTCTCCTTATTTCTACAACTTGCTTTGTGTTTTTCATCAGGTGGCGTTTTCTTGGCGGTGGTCTGTTCCGGAATCAAGATCGCAAAGCTGTGGTCCTAGACAGTCATGAGATGTTGAAACGCATTGTGAACGCAATGCTGGTCGCCAGACGTGGATTTCTCGTCGGGTGCGGCTGTGTTTGCGCTATCTACAGCATCATTTGGCTCGAGTTCTTTGGCGGCATGATTTTTCTCGGATCAAACTTACGGGGCTTGATGCTCGGCAATGTTTTGCTACAAAATCGTCGTGGAACTGTGGACCTAGCGCAGCTGGGTCTCGGCGAAATGCAGATAGTGGCGAACCATGGAAATATCACGGACGGCGTTTCTTACAACAACTCATCCTTAGCAGACCTGTTGGACATTGGAGGACAACACCAGGACGACGGCATTGCACTCAAGCAAGAAATTCGAGATGCCCTGGACACTAACGGGGCTGAAGCTGCGGCCACGCGAACTAAGCAGGCAAGTACAACTCCTGGGGATGGTGTAAATAGTGGTGCAGCGGCTGATAGTACCCAAGAGCAACAGGCGCAGCAGGGTCAACAACAAGACCAAGCATCAGCAACGTCTTCAGGCACCGACACAACAACAGTAGCTCCTTCCGGCGAACAACGCAATGATGATGCTACATCAGCACAGCAACAGATTTCTACTGTGCAGAGTGTCGGTGTGGGTCTAGCAGAGCAGCAAGGCAGTGTGCAAGAGTTTTTTGAAAATTTGAGCACGAAAACGGGCATCGAGAAGGAGAGCATTTTGCTGATGACCGACGCCGCTACGTCTCACACGATGACGCTGCAAGAGCTGGAGGACGAATTCATTGTGTGGCACTTCCTACTCGGTTCCCGACTTCTACTGCTAGCGGCTCTCGCCGCATGGTGCCAGCACCACGTGGCTGACGTCCTGAGGAAACGCGAGGTCTTGTTGAAACTCGTTGGAGCGGAACGGATAATGGCGAACTCTCTCTGCTTGCTTCTCAACGGTGTCGCAATAATAAGTGGCACGCACATCACCAACTTAACTCTGGCGGACTTCCTCGAGAAAATATCACCCCCGGCCATCGTCTGCTGTGCAATCGTTGCAGCCAGGTACTGACTGCGTTCCTGCTTCACAGTCATTGCTAGAAGTGATGATAGTTGGGCGTTCTTGTGTCAGATTTTATCAATCTATGCGATCGCGATAATGGCGCTTTTTTTTTGAAAATGACTCCGTCATCAAGGATACACTTTCACTCTTACTTCGTTCTACCACAATCAGGTCTCGCGCACTGTTGCTTGGGTTTTGTCTATCGTTGTTTCCTGCGGTCGAAAGCTGGATTCTTCCCATTTTCAACTATAGTGGAAGCTTTGTTAGTGGCGCTATTCTTTCCGGCTGGGCATTTTCCATTCTGGGCCGCGAGTATCTTAAGCATGGACGAAATATGGAGCCAAGTTATGCCTACAGGCTTGCGTATCTCATGCCAGGAGATGTATCTGACCGAACAGTCGCCTTCCTAGATGACGTAGTCAGTAGAGTCCGAAATCGTACGATGCAGTGGGCTGCGGTGAACTTCCTGGAAAAAGTCTTCCGATTTTTTCTCGGCAGGCGGATTCAGGCAGCCTGAGTTCGTGCCGGATATTTGATATTTTGGCTCCATTGATTCGTTCGTCCTCGAGGCACTCGCTTTCTAGGATGAACAGCCGCGGCCTTGTGATGAGCAGAGAGTCCGTCAGCTTCAACGACTTACCCGTCATTGAATGATATTCCTTCGCGTAAAGTTCATCTACCCTTTTTGGAGGTTTTAAAGAATCTGTATCGTTCGTCTGAAGGTGACAGCTCGGCGTCGTAACCACGACGGACTCATGCGCAGAGAATTCGCCTTGCTTTTTGATTCTTTGAAACAAGTAGTTCGTCCGACCCCCAGGAAAGCAGAACGATGGATAAGTATCCTTGTGTAAATAAATTTTTTTCTGGTACTTCGTTGGACATGTACCTACCCGCTTGATATCAAAATATCGATCCCCATTCACCATACCCCCATAACTTTTGCCCTTTTGGAAAAAGTGTATAGTCATTGTTTTTTCTACCGATTCTCACTGCCACAGAGAGTGAGATGTTGTGAGCAGGAAAGATAGAAAAAGACCCTCTGGTCATACACATGTTTTGCTGGCAAGATGAACGCAAAAAGAGAAGCTCAATCAATGGTCGAAGGTGCTAGCACAAAAGATAATAATCTTGGCTGTGGCTTCGCCTTTGCTTGTAATTCGTGAAAGCAATTGTTCTTCGAGTCTAGCACTTTTGTTCTTGTTCGTTGCAAGATCTTCTACTTCGTCGAAAATGTTGAGCATTCATGCGTTTATTTGACGATGGGAAAAATAGAGAGGATCATGATCATCATCAAGGAGCATTTATTTTGATGATGTAAGAGAAGCAGATGGATCAGCGGTGCTCCTCAAAACATGAAAGTATGATCTATCAATCTACCATAGAGCAAGTATGCACGGATCATCCGATCACGACAAAGGATCTGACATCGGTTTCAGTAGTCCACGGGATCCTTGAAGTTACGATCCCGCCTCGAGGATCCAACCCGAATTAGATGATCTGAATAACCTCCAGCAAGATCTGAAAATTGACGACTGCTGTTTTGAGTTTGATTTGTTAGTCATTTTTTCGATCATAAACCCTTACCAGGAGCGGTTTCCTAAGAAATTCTGTTAACGAGCACATTTTTAATCTGCTTCTACCAGTATAAAACTAAAACTTCTTTCATCCGCGTCCTTCATTATATTTATACAAGTTTGACGACTAAAAGATGGCACCTCCATCTTTTAAGCGACAGAAGATCGCTCCAAAGCCGTCTGTTCTATCAGAAGATAAGGCTGCGGCGGAGCTTGAGAAGACATCACCTTCGGGAAAAGCGAAGGACGAAGTCGACGCAGTAGCTGATATCCAAGAGGGCGATGATGTAGATGACGACAATGAAGATGACGACGAGCAGGAGGACAACTCTGAACAAGAGGATGATGAGGATGCGTTAGGAGATGAATCGGATGACGAAACGGATAGCGAGGTAGAGATGGAAAGGAAAAGCAAAAAGCCACCACAAGCAGCTGGTGGAGGCCTAAAGGGTCTTGCAACAGCCTTCAATCGTATTTTCGGAGAAGACAAAGCAGCTTCCACTGACAAGAAAACAAAGGGCGCTTCAAAGAAGGACAGTGAAAGTTCTGATGAAGACGACAGCGAAGATGCGTCAGATGATGAGGAGGGTGCCGCGACTAGTGACGCAGATGACGAAGCAAACGCGAAGAAAAGAAAACAAACTGCGACTACGACAAAGAAAGCTACTGGCTCGTCAACGACGACCAAAAAGGGCGATGATGAAGAGAACTCAGACGAAGATGATGACCTGGAGGAGCGAAAAAAGACTTCGAAAAAGACGAAACAGCATAGACCGCTAGCCGAAATAGAGAAGAAAATCGAGCAGGAAGCAATCAAAAGAAATCAAGAAAAGCGCTTGGCAAGACAGCTGAAAGCCACGGAGAGCCTTCACGCAAGAGGAATCCAGAAGAAGCCAGACCTTATCAGGGAACAGGTAATATCGAAAATAGGTGTTTCTCCGACTGCAATCATAGAACTCACTTTAAATTTTTGGAATCATTCTTGGATTCGGTTTTGATTTGGGAAACGATCTTTCAGATGAAATGAACGTTGGTTTTTCGTTCGCCTATAAAGTAGATTCGCTTATATGATTACAATATTCTTACTTCGATCAGACCTTCGAGCGCAGCTTGCGAAGTCTTGCGACGAGAGGCGTCGTAACACTATTCACGAGTATGCACCGGTTGCAGAAGAAAGAGGACATCATTGTGGGCAACAAAAAGTCAAAATTCGAGAAGAAACTTGAGTATAAGAAACTCCGACAACAACGAATGGAAGAGCGCGCAGACCAAAGACTATTTATCGAAGACAAAAAGAAGCCACCAACCACAGATCATGGAAGTTGAAAATTCTTCGGGTTCTGCACTTCTTTTGAAACTGGTAGGAGAAATTCATGACGGCCCCTTATGATATTCTGGAATGTTGTCTGCCTTCTACAGTATGCATGAATTTTAGCATGTTGAAAATTGATGCACCCCAAAATGAACACATAGATTTCTTGAAGAAAGCCCATCTCTCTGGTTGTATGAGGATGACTGTGTTCATCTTGGTTTGTGAAAAATGCAAGTAAAAACGTTCACGTGGAGGGACGAAATCGTCACACGCTCCCCTCCCTGCGCGACATCCCTTTTGCTTCAACATACAAAGGGCAATAGTTCCTCGTTGGGAAAATTTTATCGAACAAAAGGTAGGAGTCAATTGACGCCGATTGTCTAAACTGGTGCATTCGCCACGAGAAACCGAGAGAATTTCGAGACTTATTATAAAGCCGTTAGCGTTCGGGTTCGGTAATTTTTGAAGGAGGGATAATGTCAAAATCAAAAAGAATCCTCGAAGAAGTTGGTTGTTGGTGCGTGAGCTTTAATATTCTTGTTTTTTACAGACAGATTCAGTTTCTTACAAGGAAGAGGAAACAAAAATAGATGTGATGTCAGCTAACACCCGAAAAAACCATGGTACAGCTCTGTCCCGCGAGCACGACGTGACAGAGAGCTTTCGAGTGAAATGGCAAGAATCACAGCACAGGAGACAGAGACGGTGCGACAAGGTCGCTCGCGGTCGAAGACATAACATCAGCGTGCGCAGCATGCGACGAAGGAGAATGGGAGCAGCACCACAAGTGCATCAATATTCACCTCCTTGCTTGCCTCCGACAAGCACGACGAGAGGACGGTGCTGCTGCCGTGGGCTGGCTGGGACGGCACTCACACTTCTCCAAATATTGCAGTCCCATCAGGGGGTCTCCGCGACGTCAGGTGGAGAGGACTACGTGGAGGTGCAGTCAAATGGAAGAAGACGGCAGCAGGACCACAGAGGTAGTACTTCTTCTAGAAACTACGGACGAGCAGGTAGTAATAGTAGAAGAAGCGCTTCCTCAACATCGCGCAATGATTTTCTGGAGACAGTACCAGACGAGTCCTGGAGCGCTGACGATACTGTGGTACTTACCGAGCGGGCGCACGGTGCTTTCTCTCTCTTGTCAGATGATGTAGGCGTTGCTCCTGATCATTATAGTAGGCAACACAAGAGAAGTAGAAGGAGCATGTCGGATGATTCCGGTTTTCTACAAGAAAACGCAGAGGACGAGTTACTCTCCGTCTCCTCGACGCCAGCCGCTTCCACTTCATCAACTGGCACCAGGTGGAGCACCAGCACTGGTAGTGGTTTCGACGCGGACATGGGTCGTCAGAAGAGTGGCTTTGTGCAGGAACGCGCATTAGAAGACCAGGATGAACATATTACCACGCCTTCTCGAGAGACGCCAGGTGGAACAGGAAGCTCGCATAGTAGCACTTCGTCATCTTCTGGTCCAAGTACTAGTAATATAGAACAACAAGCATCAACACCAGCAGTTCGTGGTAGAAAAAGAAGCTCTTCTCGTAGCACCCGCACGAAGAACAGTGGCTTCTTGATGTTGGACGAAGAGGAGTTTGATAGTCGCTTGCTGGGGACGGATATTAGCAGCCAGGATGAAGTGGCCGATTTCGCAACCCATCCTCCTTTAGCAGCCCGGCATGACAGCAGCACAAAAACTGCTACGACTACTATCAAGAAATTGAAATTTTTTCGAATATTTCCATATCCACACAAACATGCACACTGCGCGTCGGAAAATAAGTAATACAGTGATGAAGGTGTTTCTTGTGTTTCGTTTCTGTTCTACTAAGTGAAAACGATTTCCTTTTGTAAGCTGCACAGAAAATAATATAAATATTCTACATGTACTAGTAGAATTAGCAATAGAAGTAGAACACACTAGAATAGGTACACGATGACGATAGAGTATTTCCCATAGAGGGCTCCGTGCATACCTATGTATACTAGATACCTTTCAGGACAATATTAATATATGTATTTATTAGAATGAATTATTCAAGCTCGTGCTCTCTAATGTTGGCACTAGGGATGGAACTCTTCTTCAAGTTTCGACGGCGCGCACCCCGGATTCTTACGGCACTTATCATGGGACTCATTCTCCTGGTCGTCGACGAGATTCAATTTCAGGAGAAGCACAAGAAGCAGCTGCGGGAGCTCATGGTGCACACGATTCGGGACGATCGGAGCGAAAGAGTGTACCTTATGAACTACAACAACGTCTGACGGAAGGTGAGAAAAGGGAACTGAAGGAAAAGCTAAAAAGCAGAAAGCGATGGGAACTTCAGCGCAAGAAAACCGTCGAGTGTTAGGGCTCTGTCGTTAACATTATAGCGTTCAATTAATTTCTACAGCTATGTTGTGTCATTGTCAAAATGCTACATCGACGTGCTAGAAGAAGGTCTTTCAACTTTCTTCAAACGAAAGAAGGACGACATTGATTAGATAGTCATATTTTCGTCGTAGTTTCTTCCGCAAAGGCAAAACAAACGCAAGCAGAATCCGGTGGTAAGCATCCGAACGCTGATGAGACGCCATTTCCATCCTCTAAAGATCGGCTGAATACGTTAAGAAATGGACAGAACGGGAGATACAGCATGGGATATCAGACGAAGTTGCAGACGTCTTGGGGATCGATCCCTACGACAAACGTGTCTACGTTTTGAACATGGACATGTATGATTCCTTGATCACGCGCCTCGTGAATGGGGTAATCTTAGTGATTATCTCACTGTTGCTTCTGATTTTACGGCTAGTCGCGCTGGAAACAAATTCACATTCTGAGAGAGCACTCAGTTGTTGAGGCTTCTGGAAATTCATAGTCTGAGAGAGCCGTCAGCCGTTGCTGAGCAGAGAGTGCTCTTTTAGGTGTAGCAGGTTGTGGTCACGAAGGAGGTACTCGTGGATCTTGTCAAGACAGCATCATGAGTTGCACCAGGTGTTCCTCACAATGGGCTAGTTAATTAACACATAGATGGACTTCCACCTAGAAAAAATTAAGTTTCATCTCTAACGATATCTCTGTGTGTGCGTTTTTTTGAAAATGCGGACTTGGAGGAGTCATCCAGTGACAGTAGCGATGACGAAGTGGCTGACAATCGTCAAAGCCCGAGGCGAAAGATGACAGTGCAGTCATTCGGAGGACGCTAGATGAATACCAAGAGGGAAATTGAGGATGACATGATTTTCAACAACGTCAAAAATATGGAATAGAAGAAGATAGCATGAGCAACCATACGGTACTAAATATCAGCAATAAGAGTGGATCCGTACTACAAGAGCGGACGTATCGGCAAACTTGAATGATAGACTTTCCTAGAAACTGAAGCCAAGCAGGGTCATTGACTCGCTTTTTAATCACTTGCACAGTCAACATCCAATTCCAAGCCCGCAAAAAAAGGTTATTTAAACGTCTAATGCGAAGATTGAATGAAAAATGAACCACCTACTTCAGCGCCGATGGTGAAGCTTTTCATATGTGCAACGATGATTATTGCAATAGATCACATTTCCCCCCAGCGACGTGTACTGCCTGCTCATAGCAACCACGCATGCTCGCAGATGCACAGATGCACTGTTCAAACAACGAGACAATAGACTCCAGCAATACCCGTACAGTTTTATTTTTAAGATGGAAACCTTCGTCAATCTTTCCAATTCACCTATTCAGTGTCATCGCATACAAAGTTTTCCCGTCTGAAAAAAAAGTCTTGTTCGCTGAGGCAGTGTTCGCATTGCAGAATGCACAAAGTATAGAAATCCTGTGGATGAACAAATATGTAGAAATCCGAGCAAGATCGGTGTGTTTGGATTCGTTCTTTGAACTATGATACGTCACCGAGAATATAGACGATTGAGAGTCAACTAATTCGTCGATCGTTATGACAATCATTTACACTTGTTTGTCTATCGCAATTTACTTTGCTTGAAGCAGGGGGTCACGAACGGGTGAAACAGGTGATGCGGGTATGCATAGAAGATGCAAGTATGATCGAATGTGGACGTGTAGGCTAGCAAGTTTTCAACTTCATTTCCTGCCATTTGTTTTGGGTCTTCTGATGTTCATCAAATATTAAAGTTATCTACAACTTCATGATTTTGATTGTCTCGTCAATCGGATAGGGTTGTTTTCATGGTAGTTTCGTATTCATTGGTACCAGCGCTAGAAACTGTTACCGTTTGCTCGGGGCTCATGAAAATATTGGCTCGAAGATTTCCACGCCAGTCCATCATTGAACATCGCTATCAATCGAGTGTTTGTGGTACAACTTACAAACTCGAAGATATGCTCGAAACCAGTCGGTCTATTTCATGTTCACTAGCTGATTTCTAAGCTTGATTCTAACTAAGGGGTTCATTGAAATGCCGACGGATAGAAAATTTAAATTTTTCATTTTACTGTAGCAGCCATAGTTGTACAGATTGATGGGGAGGATGGATAATCGTAATAAGTCGGAACAGAAGCAGATATGATATCCTGCAATTGAATAAACTTGATTTCTTCGAAGGAATTACATCATTAGAAATATATGGAATAGAGAACAACATCACCACTGATCTATCAGAGTACACAGATATTAACCTTAATATTTCCACTCTTTCATCATCTTCATCACCTGATTCGAAAAAAAAAAATTGAGCAGCAACAAAATGACGTCGTCCGTCTTTTGGCAACACTTGTTCGCTGACACACATGATGGGCATTTCCTAAATGCCTGCCTCCATTCTGTGGTCATGGTTGGCGCTACCGAAATTGGTGACAAGACATTTTTCATCGCCGCTATTTTGGCAATATCGAGGCCTGCGACTCATGTTTTCCTGGGATGCTGGGGCGCATTAGCGGCGATGACAGTTCTGTCAGGTAACTGTTTGTTTGAGAAGTTTTATTGTTTAAAACTCGATGATGTTTTAGCAGGGCTGGCTTTGCGTCTTGTATAGAATGCAGCCAGCACATATGTATAGCAAAAATACAACTCTGAACTTTTTTCTCGTCCACCCACTAAGAAATATTAATTGCAACATTTTTCATTCTTTGACCTCGGAAGGAACAAACACTAAAACTATCACGAAGTAGTAACCTTAAATTTTATTCAATACCCATCCACCACAGCGGTCATCGGAGTATTGGTGCCGACGCTATTTAGTTCCGTTATAAGTCACTGGTGTGCAATCGCTCTTTTCGTGTTTTTCGGCGTGAACGCAATAAAAGACGCAATAAGCATGTACAGTAAAGGAGAAGGTGATGGCGTAAGCGATGAACTAGCAGAAACCGAGAAGGAGCTTAGCGACGCCGACACAATACGGAAGGTACCTCTTCTTGTTCTTTTAGCACTGAATCCCTTATCGGACCAGCACACGTATGTCTGGCATATGATGTCTCACGTCTCCCTGTGTGTTGAGCGATGGATTGTAGCGATGTTCACAAACACATCATCAACATCATTATGATCAAAATGTCCATCCAGAGTAAAAATGCCTTGGGATTGATCGCGGCGATATTTACTATGACGTTCGTTGCAGAGTGGGGGGACAAAAGTCAAGTCGCAACCGTAGCTATGGGCGCTGCCCGTGATTTCGGAGGAACTGTGCTTGGAGCGGTACTTTCTTTTCTCTCATTTAGTCGCATCCATTCGCTTAATGGGCGGCTTGGCGTGTTTCTTTCTTTGTTCAAAACTTTATGATGCCCGCCTAGAAAAAATTATCACTTCACAAGAGCTGACGGTGCAACTCATGATACAACCCACTTGTACTTTTATAGAATCTTGATCCTCCTTCCCTCAGGTACTCGGACACGCTTGTTGCACAGGTATGGCTATAGCAGGCGGAAAAGTCTTGTCGAAGCATATATCAGAAAGAGCAGTGACCCTTGGAAGTGGAATCGTTTTTGTTCTATTTGCACTCTATGCAATATGGACGGGCCCCGAAGAGTAGCTATTCATTGCGGTCTAATGAATTGTTCTTTTTTTCAATTGTAAGCTCTTTTTTTCAATTGTAAGCACATAGACTGATCATAATATACACCCCACACGAGGTAGTGCCAATGCCTCAAAACTCATCTACTACGTAGACTTTTAGCTCGATTCGGGCGCCATCACCCTTGACACTGCCACCCAAGGCATCTTACCCATGCAAACTGAATTCGAATGTTGCAACGCAGCATCATGAAGATGATTTGTAAATGTGGACCTGTTCAAATGAATCCTTGATGAACGTCAAGGACGCCATGATTTTATTTCCTGCCAGGCTTGAAGTTGAATCCTCTTCCACCCCTTCCTGCTGCGCAAACAGGACTCCCTTTCCCCTCGCACCTCAAGATTGAAGAGTCGTCATTGGTTTCATAGTCATGAAATGCATTCGCTTGTTCTTGTCGCCGGCGTTGTGCGCGTGGGTCTCCCGAGCTTGATAGACAGTCGAGTATGCACGTTGCAAGCTTGATAGACGCATGCCGCGTCCACGGGCTGTGAGAACTCTATGCACGCTTGTTATATGTGTCATTTGTCTTCGCAAGTAGAAGCTCTGCTTTTCTTGATGAGTATTTCAGGCATCACGATGTGCGTTTTCGAATTCGAAGATATGATCAAGCGTATTTTTTCTTCCTCATCGTTGGTTTCGTCTTTTGCGCACGTTTTCGATGATCTTGATCTTGCGCTTGCCACGTGTCGTTTATTGGCGTCGGTCGGATATCCATGTATGTTGATGCTTTGTCGGGCGCCCATAGTTGTATCTCGCAGGCACAGACGCGGCCTTGTACTGGTGATCGGTGAAATATTCTAGAGGACGAAATACAGATACTGGCCACGACGGATCCCAATTCCTTTGTATCTAAGTCGCGTATTCAGAAATGTTGCAGAATACCAGATGAGCGGTCAGAACTACTTATTCTACGGAGTCGGTGTTTTTGAAAAGTATTGATATTGAATGAGAACAAACTACGATAAACGCGATCAACACGATGAGACACTTCGACGATCTCGCGTTTGCTTGCTGGACATCATGGACGAGGCCTGGTGGAGGACAATCTTTCTCCAGTCGCGGCACGACAGACACAAATGTCCTTTTTTCACCCTCATCTGTAGCCTCATCCTCGTCGGGGAGGATGTCTAGGAAGGAGGTTTTCAAGAAGACGACACGACATTTAAGGGCGCGTGAATATCTTACGGCCACTTCGTTTGCGGTAGAGACGGTAGTGCCACCATACGACCAGACTGGGCGGTGGAATGAGAATTATCGGCCTATGGAGAAAGACTTTGCGATGAATGTTCCCTGGAATCAAACCTCTAAGGGGGGTCCTTTCGTCGGCCCGTTCTTAGCGGACGCGTCACACCCCTTTGGCGGTCCTGTGAACACAAGCCGCTTGCAGGTACTGTGGAACTCTGTACAACCGCGCGATCCCTACGGATCCGCGGGTGTTGATACTACGAATTACCTCCTAGAGGGGGCGCGACACTACTACGCGGGCCCGGAACCGCGCACACAGGAATTGTATTGGGCGCCGCCTCCTGACATCGACATGGCTGGGGGTAACATTTACATGCCGCCAGGGGGCCTAGATGAAGGCATACCACCAAAAATCGCAGACCGCAACACTCTTTACACGCAAACTCTACGTCGTGCGCCTCAGGCGAATGATATGTAGCCCCAAAAATATTGCAACAGACCACACTGATGAACAAGTTCCTCATCTAGTAGACGTAGTCGTAGTGCTAGTACAACAGCTGCGTGCTTCTAGTAGTTGCACAGAAGGCAATCGGCTACTGCAACAATTGTTGCACTAGCAGATTTGCATTCCAAATGTGGAAAAGCTTGAGATCAATCGAATGCACCTATCATGTTTAGAAGGAGCCTCCTAGGCTACGTGTGGTCGCCTTTATCTTTAGAATGTCTTCCCTTCCTGCACAGACAGCGTTCAATGCAGTTGAAGTATGATTTAAAGAAAGATCAAAGGGATGCCCCTCTGAGCGACTACAAAACGTAGTCCAATATGTTTGGTTGATTTTTTCTTCTCCGCTCGTTGTCATCGCCGAATAAGGTTCTGTCGTTTTCGGCCGAACACGACTAGGTTTAGAGCCCGTCGATCATTTCATAAAACGGGCAACGTCATCCGTAAGCGTGTAAGAAATTGCTTGTAAATAAGAACGAGCACGAGGGAGAGCTGATGTGGTAGATCCAGAAATCAAGTGTTGTATGGGAAATTGGAATTGACGGCACAGTTTGGCGAAATTGTTTTCGGATTTGTTGAAATTACAAATTTGTCGCTCACGCGACACAATTGATAAACGTTAACGCCGGAAATTTTTCGTTATAATACAATGAAAAGTTGTTACCTATATTATAATTTCAGTTTTTCTTGAAGCAGGCTACTAGCAGCTAGCAACTACAGTCGTGTTGATTTGACATTCTTTGAGAGGTGATTGATATCACTACTTTCAACAAAATATAGCAACTCTTACCTTGCTCTCCTGGAAGTTTCTGGAAAACAACAGTCGATCAGCATTTTCTTGTACTATATCAACTTCAGCAGCAGTGCTTGCTTCTACTTCTTTACGGAGTCCACCTAGCTGGCTGAACGAAACCAGACAGAGAAGTTCGTCGTCATGACGACGATCGTTTTTAATTTTTCCGTCATTTGCTAGGTCTATCCCGCCATGCAATATGTAAGGATTTACAAACATGGTACGCAAGCGTTCATGTTGTGGTGAGAACGTTCGGTCTACGTGCAACGCCTACCGCAAACGCTTGGTAGTGCGCAACTTTCTTGGGTTGCTTGTCGCTTGTTGGATCTTCCTCATCCTCCTTTTAAGGCCAATCCCAATAATGTCTCTTAGTTGGTTATGTTGAACCGCGACAGGGACTACACACACACATGACATCTTGTGGTCGTTCAAAAGCTTCCAGTAGCAAGAGCAGGAGTTGGTTTATTAATATTTGATGCAAGGTACGTCTGATTATGAGGGAATACGTCGGGCTCGCGGACGACGAGAAAAATACCTACCAACCTACACGTCTGCAGAAATTCCTGGATTCTTTTTATAAATGGAAAGGGGCAGGGAGTAGCGTTCTAATTTTCAGCTATTTTGTGGATTTTTACTTCGAGTTGCAGGTAGACTTCGTCCATGCAGTGGAGGATATTTTTCATTGGCACGCCGACTATTTTCCAAAATACGAAGTGTTGTCTCTAGCGGTGGTCCTAAACACAGTTTTTACAGTTCTGGCGCCGTGTTTGTGGACTCCATCACGGGTAGTAATATTCTTTTAAGGCTGTAGTAGTTGCTGCGATAAGAAATTATTAATTACGACTCATCATACTACTAGGTACGTCCAGAACCAGATACAACAATAAGCTGAAGAACCGAGATATTCGTCTGACCTTCATCTTCTGCCAAGCATTCACTTTCACTCGTGACTCGTCTGTTTGAAAAATTCATTGGCCAACAAAGGGTGTGTGGAAAACATGATTGAAGAGTAAGACCACATTGGACTTCACAACATGCGCTCTTCTAAGTCTGTGAGGTTCACTGGGTGATAGAGGAGTTTGTGTTTCCACGGCGCGGCGGTTTCGCAGCGTCTCAGCAAGCGCTTCGCGTGAAGTGGCGTGAAGCAACAGACACGGGGCTCTACGCTTATCTTTTCGCGCAAGCGAATGAATTAGCGCCAGAACAAGACCTAGAGGACGAACCTGGCGGATCTTCTGGAAGTAGTGCTGCGGGGCAAAGCCGTGGACGCGGGGCCTCGACGAGCGCGATGAATAACAAAGGACGGAAACAGGCGTCCTTCTTGGGCACCTCGGCTTCGGGGAGTGACTATTATTCCTCAAAGGCGTCGATCAAGGCAAAGCACAAGAAGGCCAAAGAGCCGAGTCCTTTGCCTACGCCACCGAACGAAACAGATCCTGAATACACGAGTCCGCCACGCCGAGCGAACAATGCCTCGTCTGATGACGTAACAAACACTTCTACCAGGGCGAGTGCGAGCAGCGCTGCTACAGCTCCAGGCGCGTCTTCTTCAGGAGGGGCAGCAGGAGCTTCATCTTCTGGTGGCGATCATGCAGCCTCAACTTCTAGCGTTGGACCTTCTGGACCAGGTCAGGAAGCTGGGGAGCAGCAGCAACAGTGTGGAGAAGATTCATCAGGAGCAGCGTCTTCCTCAACGGCTTTATCCTCCGAGAAGGCGCTGTCTGGTAATCTTACCACTTCTAGTACACCGCTTCAAAGAGTCCCTGGTGCTGCCTCACCAGACACGTCATCCCCTGACTTCGAACCGAACAATAATGGCAACGGCGAGAACAGCTCCGACGAGGCCAGGGCAGGGAGCAACACATCTGGCCCTGTGAGTGAGTCTCAATACTCCCTTTTAGAATGCTCGCGGTCTTGGCGCAAGCTCCGAAAGCGTCGTTTAAAGAAGCTTCGAGAATCGAAGGATCCCGGCGAGTCGGAGAAAGCGGATGTGCTCATACGCGAGTACCAAGTAAAAGAATCCGATCACAACTCGGACAACGCAGATCGACTGCAGAGAGTTCTCTTTCTGCATCAAAGCGAAGTCACGCTACTCGATATTCCGACACCGGTGCAGGAGGTACTATCTGCACCGCCGTGAAGATATTGTGAATGAACTAACAGATAAGATTGGCCAGTGTCAGCCAGAGCGCCGAATAGATTCACATCATCAAGATCGGTCAGAGTCACACTGCGATTGATGAGGGTAGATTAAAGAACGAAGTACTATATTTAAACTCAGACTCATCCTAATTGATATGTACGACAGGTGCGGGAAATGGCTGAAGAACTGTGTGCTGTTTTAGCGCAGCTGGATCGGCCGCAGATGCGAGAGTTTGTAAAGCTGTATTGGGAGAACGAATACGGTGTGAGAGCTGCCAGGGATTACCTGCTACGTGTCTGCTATAAGCCTCCTTCATCATTGCAGCCGGACAAGGAAGAGGAGCCAGAAGACACGTCTGCAGGTGGGAAGGCGACGAGAACCTGCAAAGAAGGCGACAAGAATCATCAAGGGTCTATCACAGGTGGAACAGTGGTCCCTAGCGGCGTCGTGGAAGACATGTCACCTTACATCGCAGAGCTAGATGACGGCAGTCTTGTTCTGAATTTCGAAGTAGACGCACAGACACAGCCTACTTTGGTCGATTTTGTTAACTATGAGGAGACCTACGCCGTCGGGGACGACAAAGGCGAGGACCTCCAAACGACTTCGCAAAGCACATCGAAGCAAGGCTCTCAGGGAGACCTCGATGAAGACCAGTCGAATAGCAGCAGCGGTGGCGTCATGGAGGAAGATGACGAGGAGAATGATGCAAGGCGCGGAATGAGCACGACTTCCGCACGTTCGTCGAAAGATCGCAACAATTTTGCATCGTCGTCTACAGTGGACCAGCATGCGGCTAACGAAGGTTCGAGTGACTTCGCCCCTCGTCGTTGGCTCGTGGCTGCGTTAGATTACTTGGCACCCATAGACACAACAGCTAACGCAAAAGACGGACAAATGAACAACGACTCAAACGCGAATAATAATCCTACCGTCGGTAACGACACAAATTCAGCGGGTGCCGTTTCCAAAAACAAAAACGTGCCTGGCACTAGCCGTCCCGTAGGCCGGAATGTTGGGCGTGGAACCCTTCTGCTGGCTCCCAGCAAGAACCAAAATCAGCCTCATCTTATGCCTGAGTAAGTACGTGATTATCATGCTGCCTACAACATGTTTGCAGATACACATCATGAAACAAGATCTGCATCTGTAAGAGTCAAAGATGCTGTCAGTCACTGCCAGAAAGTATTATTATATATAAATATATACCATAGATTGATCTCGTTGATAACTTGCTTCGTGTTCGCACTCGCTACTTCTAATGATGAGCAGAACCAGCGTTCCTCAGATGTTGTTGAGGCAGAGCCCGAAGATCCCTATGCAGAATTTTATCATAGCCACTTGCCTGACTCAGAGATTTATGCCCAGGTGCGAAATCCGGGGGAGTACTTTGTGCCTCTTGCCATAAATGAGTGCATGGCGCACGCGAAATTGTTGGGCCGCAAATGCTTGCGCAACAACGGATTTTCTTCGCACGAGTGTGACACCATCCTTTACCGAAACAACTACAACCACCTGAAAAACTACCAAATTAGAAACGCACGCATGTTTTCACCCGCAAGGGTGCAAAAACTGCGGACAATGTGAGGGAACTATTTCAGGTGGCAGCGCGATGACGGCATGAACATCAGGACAACAGTACCACACCAAGAGGATAACATATGACTGCGAATATCTACTACTTTGTTTTTCCTAGAATCGGAGACTACGAACTGGAATCCGGGACGGAAGCGAGAGATCTTTTGCGAAATTTCACACGGAGTGCATGATTATGCTCTCATCATTTAGCGAGTAAGTAACCGCTTGCGAGGAGATGTAAAAATCATACAATCTCCGAAAAATATTAAGCATGGATTTTGATTCGATCCTGCTACATCGTAGTAAGTAGAAGTTAGCCTGAAGGGACTTTCATGTCTCTAGTTGCGTTCGATGCATGTTGAGTCATGTTGTTTCTCGCCAGGAGCGTTTCCGCAGACACCTCACACAAGGCGTGGTAACAGAATGTGCAGCTTGTTGTAGAAAGCACTCTGATCATCGACGAAGTTTTTTATATACAGGTTCTGGGCTGTGGTCAAGGAAAATGTGTTCAAGGAAAAGGAAGATCCATCGCAATTAATAAATTTCGATTGCGGCATCATCGGTTTCTTCCGTGGGTTATCGACGGAACCGTTCGAGCTGTCCAATACATGTTCGGTGGAAGTTTTGGTCACCTGGTGGTCCTTCTTTACGAACGTTCGCAGTGAACAATATACCAGACTGACACTGTTTTTCTTTAGTCCCAAAGAAGCAACCAGCTGCTGGAACAAAACGTCTCTCTCAGATGGACCATCGGAGAGCGTAGCTTTCGGGTGACACAATCGGACTGAACTACATATTACAAGAAGATGGCTCGGTTGAGACTCTCATTCCCTTTCACATACGATAGCTACATCCCCCACGCGCTCCTCTACTTCTAGATCTAGAAAAGTCAGTGCCACTACAAAGTTGACTCTAACTTGTGCACTAGGCTAGTCGTGAGCATGTGTGCCGAACATCGATTCTCTCATCCGATTGAATGTTGAGTTTTGGTGCAAGCTTCTGTAGCTATGCGATATCATTGGCGATCAGTGTCAGACATCAGCTTGCTCATGCTGACTAGAAAAGGAGACCATCGCTACGTAGAGAAATTTGATGCGATTCGGGCTCCATCTTTATAAATATATATTGATTTAGACCTTCTTTACCTGGGTCTCGATAGATTAGAGTCAGTCAGTCAGCCAGTCAGATTGATTTGCGGTCTCTGCTTCGTTGCGCACTATTAAGTGAAGCGGCTCCTCGATCCAGTATTCGTACACGGAGCAGCCTCTTGGATGCGTGCTTTTTCGCCAGATTTGAGTGGCCAGCGGAGGCGTTGTTTGAGGTCGTTGCCGGGGTCTGTCAGCTCAGGCTTGCTGTAGAAAATCATACCGATATACACAGGACGTGGTCGCAGCGAAGCAGCATCAAAGCTGGTATGAATTAAGTCCTGATTCTGCTTGGCCGGCTCGACAGCGGAAAGCGACGAGGTTTGCAGGCGCTGCCTACCGGTCAGAAAAACTACTCCATCAGGTAGTAGCAACGGCCTCGGAAACAAGTAGAAATATTACTCTCGGTCGAAACCAGGAGATGCCGTTAGCAAGCCCATCGAAGGAAACGGACGCTATAATAAAGCGGCAGTTGTGGGTATCGGTTCCGGCGGCTGCGGGAGCCAATCAAGAAGCTGATGCTGTGATCAACAAGCGAATGAGCCGATTGGCGGGCGGCAAGCGCACGAGAAACCTGGGGGAGCAAAAACCGCTTTTGAGAGCAATCGAAACCTGGGGAACATGGGTAAGGAATTTTCAATTTGAATGTACAGATTTTGATCTCTGTATCCATCGGCTCATTTTCGCTCTATTCAGTTCAGAGGAAAAACCAGCCACCCACTTCCTTGGATACTTCTGACCACACTCCCAAGCATATCTTCTCCAGCTTGACGTGAATACAAATGTCGCGGTTGCGCGTTCACGCTCAGTACCAAGGCCGGCTAGCGCAAGAGGGCTGGTTCTGGAAAAGCATGATATTTTCGCAGGTTGGGACGCTTCACTATTCCCTAGGAAACGCAAGGGGCGACGATTCAAAGGCAGTTTCATGAGTCTTGACAAAAGAAAGCCGATATATTCGACAGGAAAAGTGCCGCCACACATAGGTCCGTTAATTCCACACTATACACACAGCTTACAGTCTTAACCATACTTCGAGGTTGCCCAAACAACTTGATTGAATTACGCATCATGATTCACAACTTCGTTCCACCATGTAATCACATCACGTTTTGTTCAGGTCCCGGACAATATGAAGTGCAATCATTAGGAGTTATAGATCCACGACGAGCAAGAGAGCCACTATCGAAATTTCGGCTAGCGAGTTCAGCAGGGTTTTCGGTAGATGAGAGATGGAAAAGCGAGACGGCTACATCCGACTGGCGACCAGGTATTTACTGGTGCACACTTTCCCTTTCGTAATAAATTTCTTAAGAACTTCGTCCAATCAAAATGTGTTTAAACCTTCATTTAGATGGAAATGCATACGCATCTGATTCTGAAAATTAGTAGCAAACTGAATCAAGTAAAAAGCTAAGTACAAACATTAACATCATACAACTTGCTTTCTTCTAACAGGTCCCGGAGCATACGGGGTTCCCTACGTGAGTCTTTTTCCAGATCCCGAGACAGAAACGCGTTCATACCAGACACGTGGAACCGTTTTTGGGTCGCCATCGCCTGCGACACGGACTAATGGGCGCAAGACGCGGTTTGGTCGCACAGAGCCACTCGACGCCGTACAAGGTTCTCGTACGAAAATTCTCAACCTTGAAGAAGAATTTTCCTAATATGTGGTCGAATAAAAAGGGCTTTCTGATTCTGTCACCGGCGGGAGATAAGATACGTTCCGTTTCCGATATGTTCACATTTTCCAGGACGCTACAAAAATAAAAATAAATGCAGCATGCTCTCCGTGAATGCTCCCCTGCACTAACTAAATTAAAACACACGAAATTACTGATTTAAAGATGTCATGCTCGATAATTGATTCGCTGATACTGATATAAAGTCATCAATCCTCTCATTTACTTGCTCTGATAACATCTTCTCTGTGAGCCTTGCCTCCGTGAATTTCCGCGACTTTTCGACGTATATCATTATCATTCACCACATCTCATTGTATCGTCGATGTTCATCTCTATTTGGAATCTGTCATGATCCCGGGCTTTGATGTTCACGTACTGGAGCACGCAGTTGTATAGAAATTATTGACATTACATCACAATCGAAATTAAAGTTTAATATTTATATCAAAAAACTGAGCGGGCTGGTGACTACGGTTGGCGCCTCATCGTTGCTATTGCTGATCCCCCTTTCTGATCTGAACTTCATCTACTAACTTTGGAAGAGTAAATTGCAGCATGCGCTATACACTTTCCTACCATGCATAAGACCGCTTGTGCTGGTAGTTGTGCCGTGAAAAACTCAGCGGATCCGATTCTATGCACCGGCTGGAATCCACTGCGTTGATGCGTGTGTCATAGCTAATTAATTTGATCAATCAATTACAATAGGAATAGATCGTCCCAAAACAAATGAGTGTCTGTGTGCCTGATGCTGGGAAAAACGATCGCAAGATCAATGGCTCCGCAAGGTTGGTTACCGTAATTGCGGTACTAGTAGTCGTTCGATGAACCTAGCACGTCTGCGTCTGTTGACGACGAGAGGGAACTATACTACAGAGGCAGATATCACTTAATTACAAACTAAAAGTATTGGCTCTGTGTCTGACGAGTGAACTGTTTGAGAGAAGATGTTGTGCCAGTATCAACCACGAGAAATACTACATACATCAATGAGAGAGAGGTGTTCTCTATCCTTACTGAGCGTGTTGTCGTGAAAACAAAGATGACGGTATTGCAAGCAATTCCTTCGGCTGTGTGACGAGATGGAAGAAATCTGATTGAGGGTGTACTTATGTGTGAGCGTCTCGCTGTTTGCCTTCAGTATGTCATCACCCGAACCAACATCCGTAATCTAAACGTGCTCCCCCGTGAAGGAAGAAAAAGGCCCGGTGAGCTTTTCAGTTGACAAATCGTCGCGTATTTTTTCCGGTCTTTGCTTTGTTTTTTTAAGGACATATCTCTGTTGTCCAAGTAGTTGGCATTGTTCGTCGGTAATGATATTCGAACAAGATTCATAATATATTCGTCATTGAGTTGAAAAGTTCATCTGAAGAAGTATATAATGATTGGCTGTTTTCAACATCATCGACAAGAACGAATTCCGAAGATTAATTAGTTTTTTCCTTTTTTTTTCTTTTTTATCCCAACACTGAGTCTTTGGCATTCTTCCTGCTCTCGGACCGCATGGGCTGACGGTCTTGCGTCGGCGCCTCGTATGTTGTGTGTGGGTTGTGTTTGTTCGTCGTGGTCTTGTGCCTGTGCTTTCTCCTCCAATAAGAATGGGATGGGAAGGGTGAGTGGGTAGCTGAATTGATGATCTTGAGTTCTTCATCTAGAAAAGAATGGCAGTAGCGGCTGCGTCTGCGGCATCTCAACTAATAACTTTTTTCCCAACATAGTTTTGACCACGTTGATCTTAAATCTAGTTTGTAGTCCTAGTCATCTCCTAGTGCAGCTAGCACGTTGGATCCCTGGGAGGGGGGCTGACGCAGTCTCGCGTTCTGAACGCATTGCTCCACGCCAATTAGTTGCGAGCCATCTTCTTCTTCAGCCAGTGGCGACCACTGTGAAACTCTGTTTTGAAGATCGATAACCACATACAGCTCGGTAAGCTCTCGATTGATTCTGTCTTTGTCCTCAATGTGTCTTCGCCTGTGTCATTGTATTTCTGAGTTTTTGTGCTCTTTGAATTGAAGTTGAAGCAGGATTTTGCTACTTTTTTCGTATCTTCTATCTCGGACATGATACAAACATTTAGAAATGGAATCTTCATCATTTCAGTTTTTACCAAAAATCGCGATTATCTCTTACTTTGTGTTACCTTGTTTTTGACAGGACCACTCTTTCAAACAAAATATACATCCAAGCAATTATAGACTTCGAGGAATATTAAGTGAAGCAAGATGGACCCACCCCGAAAGCCTCGGGCCGAAGGGAAGCGACCAAGAAAGCAAGAACGGTCACCGGGCAGCCCGACCGCGCGACACCGCTACCCACGTCAGCCGCTACCCACAAACGCCGCCGGCTGCATAGCCAGACACACCAGGGCCGGCGGCGACGAGAAGGCTACGCGTGACCAACAATTCTAGCCGTAGCATAGTCGCAACGGCGACCATAGGCACACAATACGCGAAACCAAAGAAAATAAATCCGGCGAGATCAAAAGAAAGGGAAGCAAGATGTCTATCGTACAACTCGCTCCCCTCTGGCCGCAGACGCTGCGGCGTCTGACACTATGGGTATGAGGTCTCCCGCAAATTTTTTACCGCCTGTCAGTCCAACGAAAATCCTTTTTCGTGACCGAAAGATGTCCATCGTCTTCAATTCGGGGCTCCTCCCGAAGAAACGATCTTCGATGATTCTCCCAAGCAATGCTAGCACGACGTCGGGAGGGCGTGGGCACTCGTCGACATCGGGTGACAGCACGCCTGGCTTAAGCGACAATATTGATACTGCGCCAACTACTGCGACGAAAAATGAAGCTGGACAGACCGTAGCATTGATCCTGGACAGCTGGATGCTCAGCTACGGTGGGTCTGCACGTGCTTGGGTGTCCTTTTGGCAGCTGCGTCGTCGGACCCGACGACCGCCTGCTCAGCTGCTTTCACAACAGGACGGCCCTCTTGGAAAAAAACACGATTGGCCATGGCGAAATGAATGCCCTTCGCGTGGCAGCGAAAAGGTTGTATGCTGAGTTTAAAGCTGCTGCGCTGTGTGATGAAAATACGCTAAAGCAGGGAGATGAAAATACACGTGATCTGTCGCAGCGCAGATGAAAGGGTGGCAGATTACCTGCGCAAGTGTGATTTGTATACGACATGTGACCCATGCCCAATGAATGTGCTTAGGAGGTATTGAGCATGCAGGATTTCGGCGCATGTTTGTCGGCGTGGACCGCGTTACGGGTGCAAAAATTGGCTTTGATGATCGAGCGTTCTACGATGAAATTGATGGCGCGAAGAAATTTCTAAAACGCGCCTCTCAATTGCAATCAGGAGAGTGGCAGGGCCAATTTCTCAAAATTGCGGCAAGTCTGCAGGCGAATGAGCTTGGGAAGTTGAAGGGCGATGAGAAAAATGCTGCGGAAGGACGGAGCGAAATTTCGATGCTGCAGCGTTTATATGACAACCATATGGCTCCTGCAGCTTCCACCCCGTCGACGAAAGCTGTTCCCGAGTTCTGCGTTGTAGTTCATCAGCCGACCTGGAAGCTTGCCGGTCTTCCAGTGGCGCCATCTTCGTTTGATCCCACTGGCAGTGTAGTGGCAAAAGCGGTAGAGGCCGCGTGTCGGAGCTTGGACAGGTACGACCTCAGCGACTGCATTGCCTATTCCTTTGTGGCTGGCGGTGTCCAGCAGGACCACATGAGCATTGCCTTGTTGCTCTGGGCTCGCATTCCTTCACTCACGGTGGTTGTTCCTACAATAAATATGGCTGCACCATCGTCCAGTACAACTACTTCCCTCCAAAAGGTAAAGCAGGCGAGGAAGGACGGCGTGCTTGCGGAGGAATGTGCTGAAGTTTTTCGTCTGTGGCGGCGTATTGCAGGCATAGTTTACTACGAAAAACTCTAAGCGGTCGCAGTAACTGCTTCAATTGAGTATTTACTGAAGGTATTAAAAGTCTTAGGGAGGCCTGGCCAGCACGTGATCTACGCTGTTGCTAACCTTTTTAATTGTTTGAATTCCTGGCCTTTTTGGCTCTTCTCCAGTAAATTCTTTTTTCGATGAGCAGGCATGTCATACCCTTGCAGGTTGTAACACTTGCTTCCAGGGCCCTACATTGTTAGGCTGTGCCTTAGTTGTTCCTCAGAGGCTATTGTAATATAGTCCTCTCTGATAGTAGTAGTCTTTGGCCGTTGTGATACGGTTTTCTTGCTCTCCCGGTATGTCAGTTTTTATGTGGGCTTTTTTAAGTAGTTGAATGGGAGGCGGCATGTAGTGGTAGTCCTATGGAAAAAAAAATATAAACTATACCCCATACATAGGGAGTACAGGGCTAGTAGCAGACTGAATTGAAAAAATGCTCATCCATTGCTTGCGTGCCCGAGGATTATATATAAGGAAAAGTCTAATCGCATTGAATTGAATAGTAAGTCGTTGACTCTATCACTGTCTTAAGATAGGATGAGTTTTTTCATCAAGTAAGAATTATTTTTTTATGATCGTTAATTGATGATAATGATAATGATAAGAATGAAACACCTTGAAGATAACAGTTCTTTTGGAGCGCGTCACGTGTGAGACGGAAGGGTCGCGCGTGAACATAATAATAATATTAGAAATAATAATAACCTGATAATCGAATCAAACAACTGACTCATTGTCAAAGCTTTCATGTTTCGTGGCTGTCGCTCCCGTTCTTGTACTCCAGGGCGGGAACCGGACTGACAGCAGTGCCTTGGCGTGGCGGTCCGGCTCTCTACTAAAAAACTGCTGAGTTTTTGCCAACTACCAGCTCTACGCCGTGGAGGCGCTCCGGCCCTTGCGGTAGTCCTTAGGCTGGCCCTATGATCTTGCGCGAGATTGCGCGCGGAGTACTGTAGTGCACAGCCCGCACCACCCCGGGCTCTCCTCGCCCCCGCTAATGATAATAATGCTTCGTGGCTGCTACAAGATGCTTTGGCCCCATTCTGCTGCGTCGATCATATATGAAGATCCTTACAATAGTGGTCCATCCTGTCGCACCACACACAGTTGTCACCCGTGAGACAGTTTCATCTGATCTCTATCCTTGAATATCTAAAGATATGGGCGTCCTCTGCAGCTTGTGCGTAGTCTAACTTGTCGCACACTCTCAGCTTATTTAGTCTCTCCGGCTATCCGGAAAGATAGCAACAGGGGCGGATGCATGCGAGATATTTTTGAGATAGTCCCGCCCTTAGTCGGGTAAAGTGAAAATCATGCGAGAATCTTGTTGTAAAAGTCCACTTCGCGACGTTCCCGTACGCTTCGATTCGAACATCAATGGTTGAATGCAAAGGAGGAAAACATCTCGATGACTGAAAATGAATATCTTCGGATCTTCCTGAGTTTGAAATCGCTTGTTTGAAAGAAGAAAAAACGTGGTCCAGTCGAGGAATTTTAATGCTTTGGAGTTCTGCAGCTATTTTCGTGGCGCTTGATCTTTTCTTTCAGGAAACCAAGGACAGATCGGAAAGTACTTGAATTTTTTTTGTTCCGAACATCCTTGAGACGTTGGAGGAGGAACGTAATGTGAAACTTGCTGCCTTGGGGGCTCTTGATTTGATTTGAAGCACGTTGTATGCACGCGAGGACTAGACGAATGGGAATACAACAAGCAGGAAGCGTGTTATCGTAAGGAATTCTTGATCAAGATGGTACGCTTACTCTACTATTGCAGTAGCTGTTCTTGAGAACAAAATACTAATTGTTCCAGTAGACCGGCTTCATATGAAATCTTCGAAGAGTGAGGCTGGCATTGTTCGATGTAGAAGGTTGACGAGTTCATCAAGTAAGCGAGAGATTCGTTTTTAACCACGATAAGATAAACAGACATTGACTGTCATTGACTAAAAACTAAAGCAAGACCAACAGGATACCTTGAACCAACAAGCTTGCTTCATCTGCATTTCAATGCAAAGATCCATTCCTTTGGCACTGCCGTTTCTTGCATAGCTAAGAGTCCTGGTAGTTTCCTTGTCAAACTGAAGGTCCTTCCAGGTAGATAGTAGAGGCGATGTTTTTATGAAAACACATCACTAGATGAAATAGAATTTTCCTACTCCTCCACCCGAACCCGATATTAAATAGCCGTCCTCATTCACTCTTCATACAACACTGACTCGATTCTCGTCTACTTGTTAAGCACTTCGAGGAATAAATAGTTACTGCAAGAACTACAATCAAAGGAGTCGTTAGTACTAGAAAAAATGGCGAGCAAAAGGCTGAACAAGGAATTGCGGGATATCAGCAATGACCCGCCACCGAGGTGTGTAGCAGAACCAATAGGGGATGACCTTTTCCAGTGGAGGGCGTTTATCGAGGGGCCACCAGAAAGTCCGTACGAAGGCGGAAACTTCGAACTTAGTCTCCAGTTCCCAAATGACTACCCCTTCAAGCCCCCAAAAGTGCACTTTGTCACAAAAATCTACCATTGCAACATCAACAGCAATGGTACTAAAATTACTTTGATAATTCTGTGGTTCTTTAACTCCTGCATTTTGGTTTACTTTTTTATTCTCACTATGTATTGCAACGAACTCAACATCACTCTTTTTTCTTGAGAATTTATCAACGAAGGAACTGCATTTTGATTTTCGTTCTCAACATGAATTCGCACAACTCATCAATCTTTTGGTCCTCCTTCATTCATTCTCTGTGTAAAAAATGTTCTTCAGGTTCAATCTGCTTGGACATTTTAAAGGACCAGTGGAGCCCTGCGTTGAATGTAGGAAAGATTCTGTTGTCGATATCGAGCTTGCTCCATAGTTGCAATCCCAAGGACCCGCTGGTCCCCGAGATAGCGGATCTGTTCGAAAAAAATCCCGAGGAGCACGACCGAATTGCAAAGGAGTGGGTCAAAAAGCATGCCATGCCACAGAGGTAGTACTTGCTCGACTCTAACTTTTTCTCTGCTATTTTTTGGACTAGGTACCTACTAGAAATTTTCATTCATAGATAGATTATATATAAGATTTCAATTTTTTAAGAGATGAAAAATAGAGATTATTTGAAGATTGAGGACGAGGTTCTATTAAGCTACTTTGGCTTTGCTTGCCTCATTGGGGGGTAACTACTCAGAAAAATAGGGATCCACTTAGAATAGTTTTATTTCATTGATCGTCGTCCAATGAACTTACAGGTAATCTTTACGAAAGCGACACTAGTAGCCAGCGCGGTCACCAGGGATAAATAGGGAGGACACAATGTTGAATTTTAAGCCACGGTTTACAGTGAAGATTTCCAGAACAGCGGGAACAGGAAGCACAGCAGTGAGTCAGGTGAAGCAATGCACACCTGCACCTTTTTCTCTCCGGTTGTAAGCATGATGCCTGTTCTTTGTCCATCTACAACACTTCGTTTTGTACCAGCACAGGCAAGGCTTCCGCTCTTCGTTCCAGTGTCAGAAGGACGTGAGGCATCTACAACCAGGTCTTCCTCTTCTTGCTCTCTCTCTTTCATCATGCATGTGACGCTGCAGGAAATATAAATGCAACGTCCCCAAGTACTACGACGTAGAAAATAAGAGGAGAAATGTTTCGACATGAAAACATACTTGCAGATCACGTTCATTCTTGCTGTCGAAGAAACGTGATGCTTCAGAATCGACTCCTGTGCTGCTCGGGCGTCCTGTGTCTTGGTGCGACAAATAAAGCAAGATAAACAAAAGAAGAAGAAAAAGAAGAAGAAATTGCGGGCCGATAGCAAGCACGCTGAATAAACGCATGAACGACTTCATTTTACCACGAGCATGAAAATGATGAACAGGCGAAGATCACAACCTCCAACACGAACAACTACTTCTGCAGGAGGCTTCTAGTCGAACTTGATCGGGGACAAGGTGGAGCTATGATGTAGGAGAAAGCTAGAAAATCACCGCTGTTTAGATTCTTGTAAAAAACTTAGAAGTGACTTATTTTCATGTCGTTGTGTTTTTTGATGGCGCTCCCGCGATGCGTCATCAACATTTTCCTTTCTTCTACTTAAGTGACCGTTTTATGCCTGGCTCTAGTGTCTTATTATCGATATCGAACTACTTCGACAACGCACTAGCTACATCTACAAACCTCAATCGAAACCAACAGCACTGTGTCAGAAAGATCGATCCGATTTCTCAGCAATGTGGACATATCATATCATTCATGATCATGAAAAAAGCATCTACCTCTCGCCTCTACATTAGCACGGGGAGGGAGAGGAAGATATGCCCCCGACAGCATCCTTGTTAAGGAGGTGACTTGACTTCGAAGTTTTCTTTGTTCTTGTTCGTGGTCGTGAAATAGTTTCTGCATGCCCTAATTCAATTAACAGCGACCGTAAAGAAATGATGAGTATTCTCTTTGCACAACTATTGGCTGCTAGTAGAACGTTATCAACGCAATGAGAGGGAGGTGCATGTTCCTGCCGCAAAGAAAGAAATCGGAATTTTTGCCGTTGGTATCTATGTTTTACAGATTTTTCAGCAAGAAGCGTAGCTGGTCACTGCGAGGAGAATGATGATGAATACAAATCAACGACTCGCAAACAAGTAATTGATTCAATATACTGCAACATGGTGGAAATATAAGTAGCTCTTGGACGAATGACGAAGAAATACACTTGTTAACCTGGAATTCCTTTGTTTGTGAAAAATATCCTGCTTTGAAGCTAGTAAAAGTAACAAGAATCTAAACAGAGAATGATGTTTGTTCGAGAAAAAGTAACCCATTTTTTTATTAGTACAGTACATGCAGGAAGTTGTGCTCGTGAGGAGTTGATGTGAAGATTTATTTTGCAAGAGTCGGTCGGCGTGTCCGTTTGGTGCATGTGCATGAGAAGTTGCCGCTGGTAAGGCAGTTCACTGATTAATCGTTGTATTATTTGTTGGGAACAAGAACATGTTGAAGTGCACGACCCTGCTTATCACCAGCAGCAGAAAGTAAGTAGCAAGAACAGCGGGTGGTACATGAAAAGGTCAGAGCAGAAGGTGTGCGTGTGAAGCAACGCAAGCTGTGCCATTTTACGCTTGCCGCCCGCAGTAGGGAGAGGGGCTCCAGCTGAACGTGTCGTCTAGCGGCTAGGTGTTGCTGTCAGGATCGCTCTCATCGAATCCAAGACTCTCGAACGAGACAACTCTATTAAAGCGGACCACCACACAATCCTTGAGTAAACAAGGAGAAATTTTTGAATACGGCACTGTAGCAGCGACAGAAAACTAGAAGGAACGGTTCTTGACGAAGACATCAATAATCCACACGTTCTAGGGGACTTTCCAGTACGTAGTACACACAAAGAAGTCCTAGCAGACGCCCGGCGCGATTCTTCCCTGTACTAGTGCACGACAAAGGATTTTTGTGTGCCACAGCTGGACGACTGAGACAAAGTTTCTTGTAGCGTCTTTGGCAGTGCGATTCATAGACGAAGAAGAGTGCCGCTCTCTCAGCTTTGATTGTCGAACAAATATAGCTTGTTTGTAAATCGACGACTATTTACTTACATTCGACGCTTCTCTGCGGAAAATAATACGCAAAGATGGCGGGCGGCGGTGGTTTCAACCTGCAGCAGTTGCTGGGAAACATGGGCGGTGGAGGAGGCGGCATGGGAGCGCCAGCGCCGGAAGTTGCAAAGGCGGATACAAGCGAGCAGGTCTATGTTAGCTCCCTCGCGCTGCTAAAAATGCTTAGGCACGGACGAGCAGGAATACCTATGGAGGTATGGTTTTCGTAGAACGAAAAACATTAACATCTTGATTAGAGCAACAGCTGAACAAACTGAAGTTCCTTTCCTTCAATAGATCGATAAAAAACAAAATTTGTGGTCACGCAATTACATCGTCTCATGATCCACCGAACTACCTGCATTCCCTTTCAGGTTATGGGCCTAATGCTGGGGGAATTCGTAGACGACTACACAGTAAAAATAGTCGACGTTTTTTCAATGCCGCAGTCCGGTAATAGCGTTACAGTAGAAGCTGTTGATCCTGTTTTCCAGACGAAGATGTTGGATATGCTGAAACAAACCGGGAGACAAGAGATGGTACCACGGCACTTTTATGAAAATGTACACCACTTTAGTAACCCTAGGAAATAAGTGATTCCTTGAATAAGGTTTTCAGTTTTACCAGCTGCGCGTCCGGGTTCTTGTGTAATCGGTCTTACAACTAAGCAATGCGTCTCATGCACTAGATGGCGTCCTCCTCCTTCGGTCCTTATAAATATATAGCCACTGATTCATATATCGCAACGAACCCCACAACCGATTTTGTCAGGTTGTCGGTTGGTACCACTCTCACCCTGGTTTCGGTTGTTGGTTTTCCGGTACGGATATAAATACACAGCAGAGTTTCGAACAGCTAAACGCGCGAGCAGTCGGCATCGTCGTCGATCCAGTTCAGTCAGTTAGGGGAAAGGTACGAAAAAACTTAACTTCAGAAGTGAAAGGCTCAGCTGTCTATTCTTTTCCACAAGAGCTACCTGTTTTGTTGAATGTTCGATGTTATGCATGGTGCGCGTGACGCGTCAGTTGTCGTGTTGATAATTGCTTCACGGACTTTTCCCTCAACATCAAAATTATAGGTTGTAATCGATTGCTTCCGACTGATAAATCCGCAGCTCCTAATGCTGGGACAAGAGCCGCGACAGACGACTAGCAACGTTGGTAAAACTACTTTTGAACATTATTTCAAATTGTTTGACATGAAAATTATGTTTTGAATGGTAACTACCTGCTGTGGTGTACGGAACACAGACACACTCATCCTTCTAATTTGAGGCTTTGATAATGTTCCGGTAAAAACACAAAAATGGCCGTGCAAGGAACACCTTTTTGTTTTCGTTTCAACCTCGCTATCCCAGGTCATTTGAACAAGCCGTCTATCAGTGCAATAATACACGGCTTGAACCGACACTATTACAGTCTGGCTATAAACTACAAAAAGAATGAGTTAGAGCAAAAAATGTTGCTGCAGATAGGAAAGCAGGATTGGACAACGGGGCTGCGTGTGGAGTACTTAATTTGTTTCTTCTTGTTAAACTCGGCTTTTCTTTGAACATCATGAAAAATGGTTATGGTATCTGTATCATAACGACCACGAAAGGAACGAACTTCACCTCAAAACAATACCATGCTGTAGCTCAGTGGCCCTAATTCAGTATCCATTTTTCATTGTAACTTTCCTCGTTCGCGCAGTAGTCATTTTTCCAGAAAAATATCGCAGGAAATTCACGGACCAGCACGACCGCACTGATAAGAGCCTAGAGGAGACCGCGAAGCTCACGAAGGCATACAATGAGGCAATTTTGGACGAGATTAGCCTAACTGCAACCCAAATCGCAGTAAAAAGTGTAGGAAAAGTAGACGCCAAGAAGCGATTAGAATTGGAATCCGAATCCCTCGTAGCAACGAACGTCCTTGAAATCCTCGGCACTATGTTGGGAACCCTCGTTTTCTAGTCGCGTTGTCCTTTGCTCATGTTGCAGGTAGTGGCGGCTGATGCGAATCAAAAAAAGTGATTGGGTAAAGAATTGTGCGAGTTAGTTTTCCTGAATTTTTACTCGTACTTCAACATGATCAACATGATCAACTTCGACTTCTTGTTCCCTTACAACATCAACTTACGCGCACCTGCTACGCGAGCGAAAACTGTACGGCGCACTACCCTCTTCTAACCGAATTCTCAGCGGCCACTACACGACGACAACCCCGTAACATAGTACCTGCTCACCCCTCATCAAGCAGGCTCTGTGAAAGACGCCAAACGTGCGTCTTCTCCCTTTGAAGTAGCCTTTGACGCATGAATGATATCAATACGCAATACCCTGGTGATGTAAATCCTTCATTTTTTTTAACACAGAAACTAACAAACACAAATAACCCAGCATCACTCTTTCTTCGTTATTTCGTTTTCCGCCACAGAAACGGTGTGCAAACGCAAGAATCAGTCTGGTTTTTCTTGAATGTCAGGAAAAGTTGGGGATCGATGAAGTCTAGAGCGATGTCTGACCAACGAGGGAGGTATCTCATGTCTCTGTGTTTTGTTCCTGGTATCATGTGAGGATTACGATCGTGTGTGCTGAAAATGAAAACTTCGATTTCTGATTCTGTCTTCGAGAAAAATTTTCTGTTATGAGAGAGAGAGAGTTTTCGCAAATAGATTTTGTTCCTTCGAGATGAACTCTGGCACTACTTTCCGTGAACACATCTGTATTTCGAGCAACGACCTGTATCGTCGTCATTTTATTTGACGAGAAGTGAATATTTCCATTCTGTTCCCAATTAAAGCATTGATTATATGGATGCATATCAAGATCAACATACTCTCAATCCACAACCGCGCATCCACTTCTGTAACCATCTCACCCATCCCGCCACCTCGTCTGGTTTTTCCTCGATGGTTTTTGTTTATTTGCCTCATCACCGATAATGGTGCGACTGCGATCGATGTTTTCTTTATCATCTTTGTTGCTACAACTTCGATGTTTCTTTTCATTTCGACTTCTTGTTCTGTTATTTCCATAATTGTTTCTTTGCATTCGACGAATAGCTGAGAAATCGCAAGTCACGAGAGAGTGAGTAATTTTACTCTCAAGAGACTCTCCGGAACCAAAAGACAGCGTCTAACGCTACAACTTAGCGCCTCACAGAAGTTCTTCTTCGAAGACCAGACTCAAACACCTATCCATCGTAGTTTTCTTTGAAACTACACTACTAAAAACAAAATGGGAAAAGTCGATCTCCGTGCCTTGACGGCCAACGTCACCATGGCCATGTATGGCGCTTACGCCGTTCAGATGCTGGTTGGCGCTGACATGATGTTCGGTGCTAATTCTCCGATCGGCATGGTTTTCTGGCCGAGTGGTGTCACCCCCGTTGGCGAATGGTTCGCCCGTGCCTGCGGCCTGACCATCCTCACCGTCATCCTGGGTACAAGAAATACTAATACAGGTTTGTTGTAGTTGTAGATTCTTTTAGTATCTATTGAAAGTACTTGCTTCGGGTAGAAATTGTCAGGGAAATCTTATGCAACTTACCGAACAGATTCTGACTCACATCATCAAAGACGCTTGTTTTGCGAGTTTTCTCTCGAAGGATATAGTACGGAAAAAAATGATATTAATGATGTAAAACTAAAACAAGCTTGTTGAGTCATTCATTCTCTTTTGTATCTCTCCCTGTCCTCTACATAGGTCCTCTGTATTGCGGTGTGTCCCGTGACTCCTTCCTGAAGCAGGCTTTGTTTTTCAACGTGTGTGGCGTTTTCCTGGGCTCCTACGGATCGATGATGCCGGAAGCTGGTGGTGCCGTTATGTGGAAAGTTCAGACTGCCATCAACGTATTTTTGTTTTGCGTTTGTAGAATTTGATTTAGATGAGTAAGAGTTTTATGGGGATTACAAATTAGAAGATCAAGATAGTTTACACACAACAAGGTGGTCGTCACTTTTTCCAGCGACGGCATCATCACCTTTCAATATCTATGACTATCCATCCACATAAAAATCCATTCATTATGAAGTAGAATTTCCTTTTCCATGCCTCACCATATCTTTGCTTCACAGGTTATCGTCACGTTGCTGAACCTGTACGTTGTTCTGCAGAGCAAGGGTTTCATTGGCCGCGCTAAGACCCCGTCCAAGTCTCCGGCTCGCGGAAAGTCCCCGATGAAGAAGGGAAAGTAAATTCACCACGCACTGTACGTGTTGTGGAGTGAATTGAAGAGCTCTCAACAGGATAAAAATACTCTCACGACGGCTCGGTGAAAGCGGTATGGAGGTGCTGGTACAACGGGTGCTGATCGAGGAACAGTGGAGTTGTTCTGGGGTGGAGTGATTTTTTCGATCTATCATATTTTAGATGAATGAAGGTATTTCTTAGCTGTTCATAAGAATGCATCAGGTTTTATTCGCATCTCGACATCATCAAAATCAATCAAATGTAATAGGTAATCAACGCAACTCAAACAGGTTATGTCAATGGAAACGCAAAAATAAGTCAGTTCGTATACTTAGGTAAATATAATGAAAAGCAAAATTTTGTCATAGATATGTCAACATAATAGGATTTTTATGTTTGATATGCAGCTGTACTACGGGAAAATAAAATATGGCCTAAACAACCTCTTAGTCGAGATAGTAGTGCTCCTCACAGTCCATTGCAACACATGGATCGCAGCTACATAGTTCAAACAGCACAATGGGTGGTGCAACTTTCGAAGAATAGGAAGCGCGATCGGCTTGAACCGGATTACTTCTCGATGATGCGAGGTTCGAAAAACGATGCAGGAACATAGGAATTGTTATGTACAGAAAGGAAAGTAGAGAATCTCGTGAATGATGAACATAATATGAATGTTATACCTGGAAAGAAGTACTACTAGCATTATCCTCTACATGAACAATAGTTAGACCAATGTAATGGAGGTGGTGGTCTGCATAAAGGTTCAAGGAAAGGGTAATCAGTGGACTCTCTTCCTAGCCGCGCATCCGACGTGGACTGTGACTCCGGCCAGATCTGCACTATAACTCTCGTGAGGTCGGTGCACCTGGCACTCTGGCGCGATCGAGGTCCCTGAGCCTGAACCTAATGGATAAAGTTAAAGGCTGTCTATGCTCCTCCAATACAGACTTGTGCTATCGACCACGTTGGCCAGCCCGGAGAAGAATATCCATCGAGAAAAATGGAAAATAAATATGCTGTAAAGAAAGAGATTATCTTCATCAAAAAAATAGAAATGGTCTCTGTCGCTCCATACAAGTAGCATCTATGGGAAATGTAGTGGTTTTTGAATTCGTCTAGAAGATTGATATAGGAAAACGCGAATTGCGCTGGGTACGATGATTACCGGCGGACGGCGTGTAGGGCCTTCTACACGACTTGTGCGCTCACGTGTCTTTCTTATACAGCGCAAAAATATTGACAGGAGCCGAGGAACGCGATGAAATCAGTACTGCACTACTGCACTACAGGAGAGGACGGACATCAGATATATAACCATCCAGAGCGTCATCAATGGATGCAGCGACAATTCCGAAGGACAGTGTATCGACGGACTGATACACTGCCACGTAGTGGCTTCATGGCCTGAAGAAAGGACCCACTTCTGGATCTGTTCTACTCACTCCGATGTTGCTCTTTTTCTACTGTACTTGGAAGTCGATCATAAGAGATATTGATACGATTACCACGAGGGAGCACGAGTGCCTGACCGTTTCTGTAGGGAAAGCGACTTGGGGTTGCAATGTGTGCTATCACTTCTTGATTAAGTCATCTTCTACTCTAATCGCTTCCTATGAGGACTAATTTTGAGAGTAAGTAAGCTATGTAGTACACAGTCAAGATGTGACGTAATTTTGCGATTCTTATCTTCCTGTGTGAGTCAAGTGACCAACCATCTCTCTGTGAGTGAAGAGAGTACGTAGTGTGTCTGTCATTTCCACTTGCGAGGGTTATATACTGTGTTGGATTATGAAGATCACGCTATCTGTAGTGAGCATCTCTATGATTTTTTTCATGCGAAACTGCTGACTTACAGGAGCTTCACTATGCTGTACCCTTCCCATCCCGAAGGCCTAAATTGTACGCGTCAATTTTTTCCCTGAGCTACTTTTTTCGAACTACTACATGGATTCATCGAGGTAAATGATTCCTCCTTAGTATTACCATGAAGAACTTTTTTTCTGGGCCTCAGTGCCTGATATAGATTAACCTATGGTACGTAGTTCATTGGGTTTGCTGTTTTTGCTCATGATTCCTTCCATAGCCTTCTGATTATTACTTGTTTTGTCCGTCTTTTGTAATAGATAGGAGAAGGTGCTGATGATCATTAATGTGCGGTAAAGGTGAACGTCAATGTCCAGGTTGAGGAGGTAAATGATATAGTTTGTAACTTCTATTCTTGTTTTCACGATCATTATTCTTCATGTCGCTTGATCATGCTGCCTCGTAGCCCGACGACTCGTCTAAAGCAATTCCTGTTCAGGAGCGGGAGCAGTAACAAAAGCCTCGGCGATGGAGTGCGAGGTGGTGCGAGCGACTCGCTCAATGCTCTTAATGGTGATGATGTGAGCGGCCCACCGGGTGGGGGGGCGGGACGCCTCGATGTTAGCAGGGAGCGTATTGAGGACAATTCTGGCGAGGGCGACTCAGGAGAAGTTCCAGCCGATGAAGAACAGGAGACACCGTCGGGAGTTAACAACGAGAGCACGACAGCAGGCACCTACGACAATGAAGAAGAGACGAACAAGAATGAGCAGGATACGCGGACCAGTCCCAGAGGCAGAAAAGATAGAAAAGACACTGCGACAGATTGGTATAATCACGGCGCTCATCAAGAAGATGAAAATAATGGTCCTGAAGTCCTCGTCGAGTGCAAACTACAACAAATTGAAAGAGCTGGAAGACTATCGAACATTGAAAACGGAGCCAGAACAAAGTCTGCCCAAGAAGGTGACCCTGTAACTACTATTTCCACGTGCAGTTCTTCGAGCTCGCAGGTTCAGCAGCAGGAGGATGGCACACATGAGGAAAGCAGTAGCTCTGCTGCGTCTCGTGTAAACCAGGTTCGGGATTCTTCCTCTTCGTATGCGGATAAGCCGCGTCATGCTCTATCTGCGATGCTTCCGAGGCCTGGGAATGGTAGACGCAGTGGTCATGACGATCTTGTTCCCCCGAGAAAAAGCCGATCTCCGATGCGCGCCAGCGGTAAAAAGAAAAAGAGCAAAATGAAGGAACAACTTCGCGCACCAGTACCTGCAGCTGTAGATTTGTCGGAGCTAGGGCAATGGCGGCTACAAAGTCTTGCGGACGAGGATAGCTCCTCTGAAGATGAGAACGCTCACGCTGCTGCCAATGAAAGCTTAGATAACTCAGGAGGGGAAGCGGCTGTGGTCCGAGCTGCAGAGACACGGACGGAAGGAAATAATTCAGGTCAAGAACAGAGCGGTTTAGCTTTAGCGGGACTCGACCATATCATCGTTGGAAGTGAGCACCAGGAGTACTTGCAGCCAGGTTCATCTGTAAACACTAGAAGTGGAACAAGAGCTCATAGAGAACACCTGACCGGCCGCGGTGAAGAGGGAAGCTCTTCCCGGCACCCGCCCGCTCCCCTTGTGCCTCTGGACATGATCGAGACGAGTTTGGGAGTGGAAGCGGCGCGGCGGCTCAAGGAGGATGTCGAACAACAACAGCAGCGGATGAGTGCAGCGGCCTCGAGCTCTACACCAGGCGTGGCATCGGCACTGAGCTCAACTGCGAAAGAACTTATGCTTCTTCCCGCCCGCGTGAATTCCACTGTCGCTGCAACAGCTGCGTCGGGGAACAGCTCTCTGAATATGATCACCAGTTCCCTAGTGAGTAGCTGCTCAACGACCTTAAGCCAGCCGACTCTGCTTCTGATTGAATTTTGGCAACTTCCCATGTACCATTTGAGCGAATTTTTAGACATGCGTGACTCCGTAAGCCTGTCGCTCACGTGCAAAGAGTTCTACGAGAGTCGGCGTATAGCACACGTTCGGCTAAGTCCCCAATTGTTGAATCGACGTCAATTCGACCGCTGGCTGCCAGAGGATGCCCGTGACGGCGTTCTCTCCCTGGGTCTCAGCAACATTGTGCTCGATGTCCGTTCCTTTCGTTATCTGAAGCACTTCAAAATCAACCTCGACATGTCCAAAAAACTCCGCAGGAGTATCGTGCCAACGGTAACTAAAAACTACTTTGTCTTTCTTGTGCTAGGACTGAGATTTGACCCTTCTTACACAATTAGACTGACACTGAGTTCTCCTAATAAAGCAAATGCGATTAAATCTCTATAGCGTTTTCTTGCAACTCATCGTGTCTTGCAAGATACAAACACTATGAAAAATTTCAAAGGTAACAACGGACAGCATAGTCCCGCACCTCAACCTTCCTGTTTTGGAAGAACTTTGTATGGATTCGCTTACAAAGCTTCCCGATCTGACAGCAGCGCGAAATCTGAGGCATGTTTTCCTTGCTTTCCGATACGACACGACAGAATCTCCAGAGCCACTAAGGTACGAAGAAAATACACAGCCAAACTTTACACTGAGCACTTTCTAGAAATACAGCACGTTGAAGATGTTCTTGATATAATTGAATGACATTCGAAAGCATTCATTCTGATATCTGTGATTCGATAAAAATTGTATTAACTCATGAAGATAGACGAAGAAAACGATTTTGTTTCCATTGCAAGTCGTCGCAACATGTTGACTCAATTATCTAACACCGTATCCTTGATGAAGATATTGAGTTCCGTTTTTTATCACAGTTTCAAATGCGGCTCTACCAAGTTGCGGTCGATACAGCTGGCTTCCTGCAATGTCGCCCATGCCACAGCTCTAGACTTTCCACCTCTCTCCGCTGGTGACATATGCGCAGTGATCTCGCAGCTCGAGAGGCCAGATAAGCTTCTGCATCTGCGTTTGCGACGAATACGCATCACAGATAACGTACTGCTATCTTTTTTCCAGATGCAAAAATCAATGGCGTGTTGGTCCCGAAATTTTATTCGATTATGAGTTGCTTGCAAACTTACTAGATGCATGAATACTGTCAGACCACGTCTCTAAGGCAAGCATGAACGATGGTAACAGGGATAACAGCATGCGTGCCTGCATTGAACTACTCCTATACCTATCCTACTAAGAGACTTGATGTTACTTATTCAATCTTTATCTTTCGAAATTGAAATCTCATGCATTTTTATATCTCAGGTTCGTGAGCTGTGTGGTTTGGTAGCTTCCGAGTGCTCGCGCATCCGCATGTTTACGTTTACCACACAGCCTCTGGCGTTAAGTTTTGTTGACATGTTGCGTATAAGGCTTGAACTGGGTTTAGTCGCTTTCTCAGCTCGATCCAACGGTGCCGCGACAGCTGATGTGTGGCCAAATTTCTGGCCAAGCATGCGGTATTTTTGGCCGAAAGGCGTTGAAAGCATCACGCCCTTCACGGTTTTCTCGACCGATTTTGCCTTCGACGAGTTAAACATCAATGCAGAGGAAGAGTGGGACAGGCTCTCGCAGCGACAGCTTCTCCGGTACGAGGAAATCACCGCGGAAGTTCGAAGAATCTACAACGAAACCTATCCTCTGAAGCGGTACAAGCTTGTGGAGCGAGCGAAAGACATTGGTGGTCGTGTATTACGGGCTGTTACGGGTGTCCGCGCAGGTGTTCTCTCCGGAGCGTCGGCAATTCAGAATTCAGCTGCGTTCCAAAACATTGTCTCCACTGCAGCAGAGCGCACTTTGCTAGGGTACGGGCAAAATAACAGTAGTAGTACCACATCAGCAAACGAACTAGGGGTAGGGGAGGTGCCTGCACATTCTGAGACTACAACCGAGGTCGACCGAACGACTGCTGGAGAAAATGGAATGAGTGGAGTGGCAGCACCGGGCACCACTGGAGCAGTAGACCCGTCATGGCTAGTATCCGGACCGGCGTCTGGATGTGGGACAACAGGCACAAGTAGTCGCTCCGTATCAACAAACTTCTCAACCGGAGCTGGTAACTTTTCGCTTGCTTCCGGAGGAGCAGCAGGGGTTGTAGTGTCACCGTCGTCGCCAGAAGGAGCAACAGGGCAAGTCTTTAACTATAATCCTCGTCTAGAGAGTACGACGACGGTCGCAACAACTTCTGCGGCAGGTGATCCGACGCCAGCGACATCTGGATCGGCAGCCTTGGGACTAAGTGATGGGGCCGCATTCGCATCGAGACCTGGAGGAGATGCAGATCAGAATATCACTTACACTTACAGTAGCGGACTCCCAACGTCCATGACTTCTGCCTGTCCGTCCTTGCCTCTAACGGCTTCCCGGCGACGCCCCGTGCCAATAGTCGGTGGGCGGCCGCTTGACTACGCAACTGTTTTGCTCAATTCCCCAGAAACACACGAGCTCCTCGTTCATGATGCTAACACGGCCTTGCTTGAGGCCATCGACATGGTGCCAAGCGACGCGGCTCTGGCAGCGCGGGCGCTGGAGCCCGGTCTGGTTGGGGGGATCGCTTCAGAAGCAGCGCGGCGAGCAAGCGTGGCGGCTAACAGTAGGACGGGAGGAGTCTTCGTTGCAGGAGCAGACGCGGTGGAACACCGAGAAGCGGGGGCTCACCGCAGGAGCCCGTCAAGGCGTGGAATCGGGATCGCGCGTGCCCTCTTCGGAGGTTCGTGGCGCGCTGGCTCGGACAGTGCCCCTCCTACGAGGAGTCGTGGCAGCAACATCGTGGGTAGGGGAGCGGCCTGGAGCGCGGAAGCGGGGGCACTCATGCTTTCCGGAGCTACATCCGCTGTCCTAGGAACCACAATGCGGAGGGTAGAATCACGCGGGGGCTCGCCTTCAGCCAGGGCAGTCTTTGTGGATTCGCCACGGGCCGAAGCTGCTCGGCATGGTGCTGCTGCGCGGGCGCTGCTTGAGGCCAGGGGACGTGCCGCGGAAGCAAGGAACTCGCGGCTATTTAGGCCCCTGAGGTTCGCACTTTCGCTATCGCCAGCGCGGAAGCGGGCACTGCAGGGGCCAGCGACTGATAGCACCCGACGCCAGGCACGTGAAGAAGATGCCCCTCACGAGCAACAGAGAGAACAAGTTGTTGAGGAAACTTGTGGTATTGCGGGCAGACAGCCGGGTGCTGATGTTGGAAGTCCAATATTTAGCATAGCAAGTGGCGAGGCTATCGGGCGCAACGCGGATAGAGTGGGAGGATCGGGACAAGCAGGACAACAAGCAGAGAGAACAGCCGAAGCAGATTGCGGTACTCTAAGTGTAGTTGACCTGGCTCAAAATCAAGATACGACTGAACAAGATGCAGCGACAGGAAATGCAAATGGTTCCACCTTGCCGGCTCTTCCGCTTTTGCTGACACCCGGAGAGGAGGACAAAGCTCGTACTCTTTCTCCAGATCACAGTGCTGAGGTGATGCTCATTACGAATTGGTGCGAAAAAAAGCTAGGGTTGGAGGTAAATCGACCTCGTGACATTCGGAAGGAAATCTATGAGGACCTCCCAGAAAAGGCGCATGAGGAGCAGGACCCTAATACGGATAGCGACCTGGATTTTCTCTACGATGTCGAGCAGGAATATTTCCGAAAGAAGGGCGGGGGTGGCTGTGCTCAGCTTTTTCGGAGTTTCTTAGGGCCTTCAGCAGGAACCGGTAAAGATCTGTTGCAACGACGAGATCAGGTCTCTCGCACTGGTTTTCCTGCTTCTGGAGGAGCAGGTGAAGGAATAGCTGCAAATAGTAGAACGGCGGATGAGAATTTAGAAAGCGCACTTGCGATGCTGTCTCCGAACACGGCGGTGTGTGCCCTGCTAGATGCCAGGGATCAGGAGACGAAAATTTCTGGTTCATCTTCACTGGAGATTCAGCTAGACAGCAGCACCTCGACGACACGAACTGAGTCAAATCCCAAGAGCGCTGGAGAGTTGTTTCCTTCGTCAGATTTGACGAAATGCACCTCGGTGGAACGACATCAAGCGCCGTCCCTGGCTGGGTTGTCACTAGAGAACGGTATGAGTCCCCCGTATGTTTCTCCGCTGGAGCGAGAAGATGGCTCGGATGGCCAGTTCGATGAGTTGTGCGACGAAGCGCGGACAGCGACAGTCGTCTCTGAAAGGGGTGGAAGTAAGTATTCGAAGGTAGTATCGCCGTCGCATCATCTTCGAGGAGGGCAGGCTCGCGGCTTCCCCGGTCTCGCAGGGCCAAGCGCTCTGACATCGACAGCGGCACAGCAGGTGCTTTCTAGATCGCCTTCGGGCGCGAGCAGTCTCTACGGCATCTCGAGTTCGGGCAGCTCATCTTCTGGGGACGGCTTGCACCTGTCAGACGGAAGACCCTCGTCTTCATCATTTTCGTCGAGTGGAAGATCACATCTTCCTCAAGGAAGAGGTGAAGATCTTCATGCCTTGAATCCTCCCCACTCAGGATTAGATGCGAGAACAAGCAGAGCTTTTTTTGGAGGATCTTCTGCAGGCGTACCAGCTCCAAGTGCGTCGTCGTCGTCGTCAGCGCCTTTGGCAGTATTGCTACAACACGATACAACAACTACAACACCAACATCTCTACAACATGACGCTGGTGCAACCTCAAGTACTAGTGCAACAGTGACACCCAGCGGAAGCCGTCCAGTGTCGAGGGATCAACAGCAGCGACGAGATCAGCAGGTGCAGAATAGTCTATTGCGGCCGCTCGACTCAACCTCGCCCACTGCCAGAGGTGCTGCAGCCGATGACGATTTCCTATCAGTTGTGAGTGTGCGGGACCTCGCGGATCGGGACGAACAAGAATTGAATGAAGTTACTCCTGCGCAATCGAAGGGGACATCCTACTATCCGGACGATGGCGCGTGAACCCGTATGATGTCCCAAGCGTCACACCCCTCGTTTGCCTTTGACAAGATCCGTATCGCTGTCCTTCTTGTAGAAGTCAGTGTAGATGATGTACTTACTTATATATAATATGATGATACTCGGTTGGTTGAGGTAGCTAGGCGCATACACCCTGCTTCGGTGTAACAAATGGTATTTGATTTTAGCGGGGCGCTCTTCACACAAACATAGAGGACGCTCCCACTTAAGTAGCACATATGGGAGTGTTGTTCCTCATGTATTTATCTTCATAGCACATCCGCATACTGATTATACGACGTTGATTTAGATTTTCCCTATGCGCACGGTCATTATTCATAGCAGGTGTAGTACTTCCAGTTCCACGCGCACGCCGCGCGCGGCGCCGCTGCTAGTCTACGTAAACTGATATGGTTGTCTATCCTCATTCCAAAGGCTCTTCCTATTGTTCAGAGGAGAGTGAGTGTTGTAGTTCCGGGAGCTACGATGCGAATTAATCGCGGAACCATCTCCATCGGATTCCCTTTCCACTGTGTATATTTGTATCGACATGCTGGTTCTTCATTTGTGTAGTTGTAATTGTATTTCACTGCTGGGCAAGACGAGGACTAAAGCGTTTATCCATCTACACTTTTTTGACATCTTCTAGTTTGTACAAAACATCTGAACTACTATGGGGTACATGATATCTGTATAGACGTTTTGCGGAGACTAACTCACTGTATACCCATTTTTTAATCACTTTGTTGGTTTAGCTAACTTTTTATCTTATATTGACATAGTTAGAGGAATAGGTTTTTCTGCGACGTAAACGTATTAAGAGTGAGAGATGCAAAGAATCAGAGATGAACACATCTTCTTCATGGAATGGCAAGAAACTCACCTAATTACTAAGCGACTGACGCCTTTACGATGAAATGAATACAAAATCCGCGATAGCATCTGTGAAATCAGGACACAACTTGCCTCGAATGGAGAAACACGAGAGTATCCGACAATAATGCGTAATCCAAATCACGGAAGAGTTATATCAACATGAATGACAAGAACGGCAGACAAACACTGAAGCTGGTGTGGTCTGTTGAGCAGGTGATTGTCGTTGCTGAAAGTTTCAGAAGAAGTGGCAGGCACGATCCTTGAGAAGCAAGCGGGACGATGGATAGGTAATCGTGGAAGTAGATTTAATATTTGTTTCGCTGTTGTATATATTCATTTGCATACGTTTTCTTGTGGCAAGACTCACGGGGAAAATCGCTCCACGCCTATTTACAGCGTCCAGACGATGAGTGACTGAACAAACCGGTCAGTATTTCGTGCCTACTTCTCGTCCGCGTTCATCGGCAGCTAGGAAGTTGTCATCTTCTAAGTACCCACAAGCATAAGCCATCCTGTCGTATGTTCTATCTCAGCTCGGTTTCGCAGGTGTTTCCCTGGGGAGGCTGTTCCACTCGGTTTTCATGATCACCTGATTCGGTTGTGCTCGATATCGGCCAAGACAATTTGAAAAAAGGTCGATGTTGCACAACCACTCATTTTCAATCTAACTCTAAGGAGTCGAAAAGTCGGAGATTTTTTTGAATCTGTCCTCTTCAATCATGATTATCTGTCGTTGCATGTTCGTGAAGGTCCTTCATCTCTCGCATATCTATATCCGATTTCGTCTAGATAAAACGATTTTTTTCCTTCGGATCTCCTCGATCGATATCGGCGATAGATGAAACCCGGTAGAGAAACCAGAACTGGAGATAACTAGTTTTCTCGTGATCCCTACAGGGAAGATAGTCGATACAACCAGTATCTCTATCGCTCTGCTCCATCAAACTCACCACATCGCGTATTCCAACAAGGATAATTTTTTTTCGAGTTTACCTTCGGCTTCGGGGATTCCAGAGCACTCTGTGAACTCAATCATATTTTATCTATGTTCGTTGTAAGTATATTTGCTATGCAGCTTGGTACAACTGGTATTAACGTCATTATTTAGTTTCATTCGTCCACATGCATTGGCGTTCATCAGAGCTGGCATCTATGTATCAAGTCTCCAAAAAGTTTTTTTCTATCTATGCATGGTAGCGTACGGTTTATTTGTACTGAGTGCTATATTAATGTTTTGAACTACAGCTCAGGCTAGAATGACGCGTAGTAGTTAATGAATGCATATGCGTGCGGAGGCGGATATAGAAAATATGAAAGCAATTTAACGTCTATCAATCTACTTTGAGGTGGACATCAAAAAAAGTCACAAAAATGACGAGGTCTCCGACGGCTTATGCTACGCCGGAGCGGCCGAGGCAGGTCGACGGCGCCTTGGAGGACAGCAGCGAAGATGGCAGTAAGTATTCATATCCAGGCACGATCCTGAGTAAAGCGCCAAGCCCGGTTGCAACGCCAGACAGTCCTTGGGGAAGTCGCCTGTTCCAACTGCATGGAGGGAGTTTGGAACAAGAGGATGACGTTGAAATGGACGCTGAATTTTTCGGACGCGACGATGGCGTCAATCTTGTCGATCATGACGAGGATCAGGATGACGACAGAGAGCGGGCTAAAAAGATGGCAGAAACGGCAAGTTCCGACATCCTACTTCTCGATCGCGATGAGGAAGATGACGACGAGAAGAGGGAATTCAAGCGTAAAAGTTGTACGACGACGACGACGTGTTCCACTGCAGCACGAACTGCATCGATTGGCACGTCTTCTGGGGCTGCAAGGACTAGCAGCTCGTCTTCTACATCCAGAGTACAACGAGGCAGCGATGAACAACGTCAGTTCTTAAGCGCCCGCGAGCGCGTGAGAGCACTTGAATCTCGGAAGTTGGTGTCCGTGCTATTGCAGGTTTTTGATCAGTGGGCATCTTTCCGCGAGGTTGAGCTTGGTTGTCGTCTTCCGCCAACCTGGAGAAACGCAGCAGAGCAAGACTCGAAACGTGCAGCAGCGTCTTTTGATGCTGACGCTTTCCTAGCCGACCCTGGTCAATATGTGCGCGCTTGGCGTGTTCGTAATATCACGACCAGTGGGATGCAGAAGACTGCACCTGGTACTATTCTTTCACTTTTGCGTGATTTCGCAAGCACAGATCACGGGTGCGGTAAAAAAAATGGCGTGTTGTAGCTCACGGACTTGTTTATTTATTGATCTGGTGCGTCTAATATTATGAAAATTCGACCTTACTACAACTTATAACTTCAGGAGGCTTGCGTGCACCAGAGATGGGCCTGTTGCTTTCGTCGCTAAGTCGAGACTTGTTTGACTTGCTTCCCGCGTGTGCGGTCGAGTATGTGTTGGTAATTTTCGACGTCCTTACGGAGCGACTGCCGTCCGATTGGACCTTGCGTGAGGCGGTGTCTGCGACTGGTGTGCTGCAGTTTCTGGTCTACGCACTGAAGATGAAACTGCACGCAGTCAAGAGCATCTGGCGCATGCCTTTGTTGTACTTTCCCAACAAGTCTTCGGAAGGGTCATCTTTATCGTCCAGCAGCACTGCAGGTCGTAAAGGGGAAGTGGTAGATTCTAGCTCCTCCAGGAAGAAAATCAACTTGTTGTCTGGAGATGCTAGCCCGAGTAGACATGTAGTTCTTGGACCAAATGGTGTTTCCTCTTCGTGCATTGTTTCTCCGCGGATGACAAGAACACTCCATGGGCAAGATTCTGACGGAAAAGCGGGTGTGGCCAGTCGCGTATCCGCGCCAGCTGCTTTCAACGTCTCAGAGCCGCCAGTGGATATGGATCTCGAGGAAGCAGGCGTGAATGGGACAACTCGCGGCGAGGGAGCCCTTGCTGAACCCACCAGTACCAGTTGTAAAGTCACTGTCAAAAGGGTGTCCGCATCAAGCATTGATCATATCCAGCCGAAGGGTCTGGCCGGATCAACACGGAGAAACTCATTAGGGGGAACAACTTGCGGGAGAGCATCACGTGCTGCTTTCAATGTTGATCATGCTCACAGTTTTGGGGCAGGTGCAGGTTGTAGAAGTACGCTGTCCTCGAAACTTCGCGGCCTCTATCCTCTTGACTACCCTTTCGAGCGACCACTTCACGAGCTGCTTGCCGAAGAAGATTTAGGAGAGACGGCATCCATTTGTTGCACCCTTCTTGCGGGTTGCGATTTCTGTCTCACCCCGGTGCGCAGTCTGCTGCTCGTGCAACGCATACTGCGGTTCTTGCGCGAATTTTTTGACGAGATGACAATTTTTGCCGACGCCGGCTATGTTCCTGCGAAGTGCTTAGCGGACCTCCTCGGGCTGGTCTCGTCTCGAACTTACGTAACACCGAATCCTGGGATGAAAGAGTTGACGCGCTCTGCAAGCGAGCGACCAGCATCAAATGCAGCGCCGGTCCCCGCTTGGTTTGACCCGCCGCAACGTGTGCAGCAAAGTTTAGGGACGCAGGAGCATATGACAGGACCTCTTGCTTTACTACCAGGACGAGATGGTAGCTCATCCTCTACTTCTAGCAGGGCAGGAGGTGGAGGTCCGCTCGCTACCTCTGCGTCTGCAGCGATATGGAACGGCACGTCGTCCTCTTCATCGCGATCAACACTGCAGTATCCTGCGTCTGTAGTACCCCCTTCGCTGTCCAGCGGTTCTGCAACGCAGGAAGTTGACTTTTACCGTGGAAAAAAGTTTGGCAGAGCAGAAACCTTCGCTCCGGTTGGAGGACCTGCGTCCGCATCGTCTTTTGGCGCCACTCGTGGCGTGGTCTTGGAGAGTGAGAAACGCCCCATTCTATCAGGATTGGAGGTCCTCATTGAGTACGTGCGGGCGGCTTCTGGTCTCCGAGATCCGCAGGGGACAACTGGAGGTAAGGAACGAAGCACGTCCCGCAGTCGGAGGAGGAGAGACCGTACATCTTCAACTAGGCCAGATGGGGTAGCTGATGCTGTATCGAGAACTACGGCTGCGGATGCTATAGTTGCATCTGGCGGGACAGCCTCTCGAGGTCCAGGTAGGAACAGAAGCAATGTTGCTGTGGCGACTTCTTCTACTGGGGTCCCTCCCGAGGTTGGATCAATAACTGCAAGATCGCCGACTACATTAGCTGCGCATGCAGGTGGACATCCTCATGCGACAACTGCTGGAAGTGGCATAGAGCCGTCATCATTAGGACCCCTACCTCGCAATGCTGTCAGTGATCACTTGCAGTTGCTTTCTGCTTTATGTTTGAATGCCGGACGCACCGACAGTTCCCCTTCCCGCTTCCAGGACGTTACTATGGCGCCTGCAGCACGTACTGCTGGGGTATCGACAAAAACAAACAGTGGCAATCTGATCGCTGAGGAAGAAGAGCACCTTCGTTTCGTTTCGCGCCTTTCCCTTGTTCCTGCGCATGTCTGGCAGGAGGTGCGGTTTCGCGACAGCAACGGAACACTTGAGCGACCCTTCGAACAGCGCAAGCTGTTGTTGCCGTTTTTCACGACAGACGTGTGTTTGCAGCATTGCTGGGAGGACTGTCTGCAGCACGCGAATGCCTTGCTTCTGACACTTTTGGACCGAGGAACTCTTGCCTTCACGTCGAATCACTGCCAGAAAGATTTTCTTCTTTCTCAACAACATCAGCAGATCTTAGCAGACCCACCAGCAGCGCATCTGGCCGGAGGAGGCGTGAACCCCAACCTGACCGACAATGGAACAAACACAACGCCAGTAGGGACGAACCACGCTGTCTGGCGTGACGGGCTCAATTCGGAGACCGCTTTAGCGGAAGTCGCGCGTCTCTTCGCTGCAGGAGAAACACCGGAAGACGCTTTCGCCGCTGTTCTCGCCAATCCACGCACTGCACCTTCCAGAGAAGCACTCAGAGGGCGCACGGGTCGCCTGGAAAGAACCCGCGACATTGAACAAGAGGTATCCATGACATACCATCCATGCCTATGCACTTAAGTAGGACAAGATCTTTTTGTTTTTTTTTGATTTGGTTTACGTCTCTACCAATACGTTGTTTACCTAAAAACATTGTTATAAGATGAATGTGAAAATCAAGAATTGCGAAGATCATGGGTGTGCTAGTCCATTTCAATCTGATTGAATCACAACGAAACAGACTCCGGTTCGAGAAGACGGCTCCGAAACTGGTCTGCGAATACCTGCACCACGGGAGATGTTGGCAGAACTGTTGCCCGAGCGTGACCGGCTCATTGAGGCCTTGCAACCAGCACGTGAAGTATTGAATGAATTGGAGGCGCAAATCAGTCTTCATCAAGAACGCATTGAGCGTCGAATGGAACGCGTGAGAGGTCTCTTGCGACGAAATACGAGCACACACGACGCAATGATGCGCCAGGCGTCGCTGCTTGTAGAGGAGGTCGAGGACGATGAGGTCGTCGTTGTGGGAGAAACGCAGTCAACAACAGCTGCAGCAGGGGTTGGAACACAGGCTGATAGCGGAGCTGCTCCGACGCGGGATACCGCTGTCGGACCAGGCGCTCCGCCGGTACAACTGGTAGACACCGCGGTAGGACCGGGTGAAGAGGCAACGCCAGTTGCCGGCGCCGCACGTCGGGAAGACCTTGGACGAGATGAAACACCGTTGCCAGCGGCGATCTCGACAAGCACTAGTAGAAACGACGAAGAGGCACCACAGAGGACACAAAGAAACATCGAACAAGAACAAGTCAATAATCTTAATCAAAGAAGCAACTCCAATAGTTCATCTAGCAATGTGTCTTTCTCAACTGGAGATCTTGTTGGCGCAGGTGCATTCCAGAGCGGACACGAAAGAATCGGATTGCAAGGCACTGTTGAAGTGATGCCTGAGCAGCCTTATCAAGTTGCAAGTGTCGTTGGGGCTTCTAGAAGTGCAGCAGCGACCGGCGGAACGCAACCGCCTGCGGCCACTGCCAATGATGGAACTGTCACACCGGTCACGGCAGGACCAGCACGGCCTGACTGGTATTTAACCGGTTTCGACGATTTTTCTCAACCAGTTGATCCGGCTGAGTGGCCGGCATCACTGCGGGGCCGACCTCGCTCCGGTTTTACTTCTCTCGAAGAATCGTTGGACCTTGCAAATCTGGGTGTCACTGACATGAGTATTGGCGGAGCCACACCAACTGGAAGTGTCGAGTTGGAGGACAACATGATGACTTCTCATGTCGCAGGTGAAGCGCCCCAACCTCGGGCAGTACAGGAGCCAGGACGTGTGAGTGCGCTTGCCTCAGCGTTAGGAGCAGTAGCACGTGCTGCGGTGGAAGCAGATGCTTTGGCAACGTCGATGAACGCTTTATCGCAGCCGGGGCGAAGCTGGAGTGTCGGCCCAGCCGGACTCACCTCCGAGCCCGCAGACAACGGGCAAGCCGCTACTTCCCTTACGAGCTCGCTCAATCGCCTGCTCGGTATTGATAGCGAAAGTATGTTAGCGTCAATCGATGCAGGCGATGAGTCGCTCGTCCAGACTTTGTTGGACCTCGGCAATACAGCTTCTGAACGCCCTCCAGGCGCTATCGATATGCAGCGCGCGTACAGCCACGAAAGTGGCACCACCACTGACGACTCACTAGCTGTAACAAGAACACAGGGGGCAATTCTCTCTGCAGCAAGTGCGCTTGAGCAAGATATCGCTGCTCGTGGACTTCCTCCTAGCTCAACGACTGGCGCGCGCGATATGGTAGTGTCGAGCTCTGCAACTAGTAGCAACTCGCTCGCCGCTCTAGCAACATTATCTGAAGTTGATCAGGATCAGGCTGAAGAACAGCCAGTCGTAGGAGTAACAGAAGTGGGTACTGACGCACGAAGGTGGGATGACGCAAGAAGGGGGGATGTTACTGCTGGTGATCGCACGACGAGAGGACCTTCTTTGTCAGCGAGAGACCAAGGCGACCATACATCAAGCCTATTAGCGTCTTCCACGAAGAACGTAACCACGACGGATAGTTTAGAACGAGTAGAGAGTATCGTAGCGCCACTGCCAACGGAACCATCCGGTCCAAAGATCTCGTTCTCTACGAATGCGGTCGATATTGCTCAGTACACGCCAGGAGAAGTGCGAGCAATAAACGCTTGTTTTCCAGGTCGTCTAACAGAAGAACGACTCCGAAAACGGCGAAAGTCTTTGCAACGCTATCATTCGGTTGGTGACGAAAGGACAGGGAAGCGCAGTGGCTCACCCTTGGGCGACCGTGACAGTTTCCGGAGAGGCAGTGGTCCGTTCCGCAGGGGCGCTGATGTGGGATCAGGAGGATCACATTGCCACCCTCGAGAAAGTTGCGACCCTTTAAGCGCCTCACTGTCAAGTTTTAGATACCGTCGGAGTGCAGAGGACGACTCGTCAGCGGAGGAGGCGCTATCTTTTTCGCATAGCGCAGAAGACGAACCTATTGTCAGGGAAGCACAGCCTTCTCCTGCAGAAGTTCTAGGAGCAATGGCGGACGATCAGAGTCCTGGACAACACCACTTTCCAATAACTACGTCTTCAGCCGGAGCCTCCTCTGGCTCGCTTGGTTTCGATCATTTCTCTACAGCTACTTCTACGGCAGCAGGTCCACGGCCGGTCCCAAATACTGCGACTCCAGCGCCAGCATGGAACCGGAGAAGTAACCCGTCTCCCGCAGAGGACGCTCGAAAGTATCTGATGGGAGGAACTCCAGGAAGTCTCAACATTCAACCAGGCGGAGACGCTTCAAGCAGTAGCGAACGAATTGATGATGTGCAAGCAACAGGGCTTTCTTCAGGTTTTGATTTTGCCGAGTTAGCAGGCCAGCTTGGAATTTGTATCAGCGACATGAATGGTTTTGTGCGTACTGGTGGTAACGATGGAACTGCAAGAAGTCCCGGGGAAGAGAATGAGGACGCAAGTAGCCCACCATTGGTATCTGCGTCTTCGGCACCCCCACGTACTATGGCATCTTCGGGTCGAACCAACGCGATCGCACCAATCGGACGCGTCCGCTCTGTTCCGCCACCGCAGTTCTCTCCGATAGAAACCGTCAGCGTTGACGGAGCTGCACTAGGAAATAGAAGTGCTGCACCAGTTGAGGCTCCATTCTTTGGGATTTCACCTACCTATGACGCCGATGCAGCTAGCAGTCCGGCGAATCCGGTCCCTGATGGATCGATGTCGGCAAACGAAGGAACTCACACAGCTAGTGCTGCTAGCACATCTTCAGCAATCGATCCGCGCGAACGGGAGCAACGGTTGTTGTTCACGACGCCCGTCAACGAGTCACGTACGACCGCACTTGTCACGTCGCTCGAGATGGAGGGGAGCGCCGAAAGCAGCCGATTCGCAGACGCGGATAGCACTGGTGAACTTCGCGGCACCAGGAGCAGCACCCGTCGCAGTATGGCAGCTGCTGCTGTCTCTTCCGGCGGAGTAGTGGTTCCTCAGCGGGAGAACCTTCGCCAGCGGCGGCGCGAGGCTCGACGACGGGCATTGACAAGAAGCAGTGCGATTTACGCAGGCAGCACTGGAGAGCGAGAGCACACGCGGTCTTTTGGTGAAAATGGCAATCTCGACACCCCAGCTGCTGACTCGCCTGGTTTTTCGGAGATCAGTTACAATGTTTCTTCAAATAGTACATCAGGGGAAGGAGGAGCATCTCTCTCTGGTCGCCCCGAGAGTACTACTGGAGAAGACGCGAATACCACCATAAGAAGAGCTGTTGAAGAACGTTGGCGGAGGACACGGGCCGGATATTCTGCGGCGCACGCAGCCGAAAACTCGAGAATAGCCAGTAGTGGAAATACAATTGCTAGTCATACTCATACTAGTATCGGACATGCTGCGGTCGGCGCGGGCATCGGTGCAAGTGTATTGTCGAGCAGTAGTACAAGTCAGGCGTTAGTTCAGAGCCTGATGTTTGAGGACCGGAGATTGAGAGAAGCACTGTCGCGAGAGTTGGTGGCATCGCCAGATAACCCGGATAGGATTATGGGGTACACTCATGAACCACCTGACCGGGCGAATTATGCGAGACCATCACTTGGACCTTCAACGCTCCAGCAGGGGAGCCAAGATGAAGTTCAAGCATTAACATCACAACATCATCAACAACTGAATCAGACGTTGACCAATAGCAACAACTTGAGTCGTGCCGTGAACGAGCAGCATGAAGCCTACGCGCGCATGTGGAACTCACTGCAACAGTCGATGCCGACCAGTCTCGAACAGGTCCAAGAGAGCCTGAGCTATAACACCGCAGCTGAGGCGAACGCTTTCTCGTCGGCGCCAGGTCTACCTGGGACAAGCAGCTCGCCTCTACTAGCGACAGGAGGAGTCGGCGCAACGTCGCCCGCGGCGCCACGTAATATCAGCTCGTCAGCGCTGAGCTCTTTTTTTTCCGCTGAGGAGTTTTTTCCGAATGCGACTGCAGCAAATTTGTTGGGCGCTGCGGCCGCGGTGGATGCAGTAGGTGCAATGATGCCATCTCTTGGATCCGGGAGTTCACTTTTTGTCGCTTCTGGTGCTACCGGAGAGAACAGTGGCCCAGCTGTGGAAGTAGCAAGCCCACCAGACGGATCAGACGAGGCTGCTGCATCTGGAACATCTACGCACAGAATGTTGGAACAACAAGGTTTCTGGCGCTCGGCGGGTTCGGGTTATGCGGCCCCGTTAGGTACGGGAGAGGCGTTTTTGAACCAGTGGGCAGCGCTAAGCGAAGGAGGCTTTGCAGGCGGTGTTGGACTGCCCCACTACGAAATCGAGCAGGCACCGCGCCTGTTCGGTACAACGTCATCAGGAGGAGCAAACGAAGCAGCTGGGTCTGCATCCTCAAGCCATGGCGTTGCAGGGTACACAGGAGCGGCTGCTCCCGGTGAGGAGGGATTTTCGTCAAATGTAGGTGATCCGACAGCGCAGCAAAACACCCCTGCTGGTGCTGGTTTACTAAACGGACGCGCACAAGGCGTACCTACCGCACGGCCAGGCACGCTGCCGCTTCAAGCTGGAACTCTTCCCGGCCTGAACGATTTCGACCCTGCAGCACTCGTGGAGCACCACAGGATGATGTTGGAGCTTGGATTTGCGCAGAACGCGAATCTCAACCTTCTTGATAACGCAGGCTATCCTGGTATCGGAGGCGGAGGTCTAGAGGGAGCCGCGAGGGGTCTCTTTCCTGCAGCGACAGTCCAAAACGTTGGAGCTTTGTCGCATCCAGCCATGGCCGGCGCTGTTCGGCCGCGTCCGGGCCTCTTTGCACAGGCTCTCAACTCAGGAGCCTTCGGCGCAGTCATCGCGGTCCTCGCACGGGCGACCTCAAACCACAAGAGGTCTAAGGATGAAGCAGATGGAGGCGCATCGGCATCAACGTCATCTGGCGGAGACAGCAGTTCCTCCAGTAGTGAAGGTTCCACTTCTATCACGGCGGCGGCCGCTTCATCTGGTAGCGCTGATAAGATGGGAAGCCAAGTTGAGCCGCACTCGCGTGGCGGACACTGTGTGTGGTATCTAGGAGTTGCAGAGGATGAGACCAACAACAGCAATGACGCGATAGCGACAGGGGAGGGTACGGAACGACCTGATAATGATGAAGGTCTAAACGAGGCTGAGGTGGAGGCAGCTGCACAGCCGGACGACGAAAACGACGTCGATATGAACGAGACACCTGATCAAAGAGAAGGTTCACAGGATGATGACGATCACTTTCGCCAAAGCAGAAGCGATGGCGTGACAGGGGATGCGTCTAGCACTTCGACTCAAAAGCAAAACGCTGACGTTATTGCCGGCGGGTCTTCGTCGTTCTCTTCCTCTGGAAAAAGCAGAAGAACTGTGCTTCCAGCGGGTTCGTCTCAAATGAACTTGTCATTGGTGCTGCAGTGCAGCGAGGTAGCTGCGTTTCTGAGCTGTCCACGGCTAATCTACGCGGACAGACAAAACTTGACCACTCCTTTTAGTCGTGCGGTGGGGCAAGCAGGTAAAGGAACGGTGTGCACGCACCTTTTTGAAGCACTGGATGCACTAATGGCCTATCCACTCCTAGAGGAAAAGCCTGAAACCCGAACGCGCATGCAAGAGACACCGACAGTTGAAGATGATAGTAGTGTGCTCGACAAGAAGAAGGTTGATTCGGGTAGTTCAGCTTCGTCAAGTTCCTCTGTTTCATCGACAGTTTGGTCCAGACACAATGTAGAAGCGCTCCCGGGAGAGCCAGAATCGGAATCGCCGCGACGCGCTCCATGTTGGCACAAGAGGACGCGCTCTATAGAAATCGTGTCGCACACGGAGCACTTTCATCAGCAGATGGTCACCAAAAGCAGTACGGCGTCAACGAGCTTAGCCTTCTCGTCGTCGAAAGGAAAGCCTTGTGCGGAAGGTCCAACAAGAGGTCGAGGTGGTGCCTCTTCATCCACAAGCCTGTTCGCTAGCGCAAGTGAAGCTGCTGACAACACGAGGAGAGCGCTTCCTAAGAAAAGAATCCGTGGCACTAGCCGAGGAGATGAACTAGACGCTAAGGCGCTTTCGCATATTGCCAACTCGTGGATGCTTATCGTCGAGTGCCTTGGCAATGTCTGCACGGAACAGGGAGGCGCAGTAGCAAAAGGGACGTTGGTTGCTGACGAACACTCGCGACGGTTACTCTACATGATCGTGCGTGTCATTCGTGATGGGTACAGCCTGAGACGCTCTTTCGTCAAAAGCCTCGGGTCAGCACTGGGCCAACGCCTGGCGCATTTCGCTGCGGCACTACTAGTAGAATATCTGCGAAACGCGATGCTGCTACCAGTGACTCTAACGAAACCGGGCCCGCAAGGGCATGTACTTCAAACCTAACCTAACAGTGATTCTCGTGTCAGATTGCTATTATTTCTTGTTTCACTTGCTTCTTGTTGTTCAACTTCAAGGGCCTTCGTCCTCGTCCTAAGGTGAGGAAGTAAGTTGTAGATAAATAAAATGAACACTGCCAGTGCCACTGCGACCATGATTTTCACGAACTACAGGCTCGACAAGAACAAATGAAGGTTTCCAAATTATTTGCTGACACACTCTCGACAGGTAAAAGTCCTTCCCGCGGAGCGGAAGCCTCCGAGTCTCGCCAAACCTGACCCTATGCTGGCGAAGCTTTTTGAAGATGGTTGTTGGGCTGACTTCAGTATTTGGGCTGGTGAAGGTGACAACCAAAAGGAATTCAGGGTGCATCGATGCATTCTCTATGCCTACGTGCCGTATTTTCGGGGCATGTTCGGGCCGAGCCCGACGTACTACTCTTCGTCTGATTAGATCATGTTTTTAGCGCTAGTCATGTAGTACTGGAGCATTATTTTTGCACTTTTTCTTTTTCAATCATGTGAGAGTGAGACGTACACCGAACAGAAGGTTTGCCAATTTCTGCCTAGGAGTTCATCAATCCTCCAACTTCGCAGGTACACACCCGCAAGTGCTTCCGCTTCAGATGCGCAGACCGGTTCCTTGCAGCGCACCTCATCGCAGTTTTCCGAGAGCATGGGTGTCAAATTCCCAGACATCGAAGCTGATGTGATGCACACCTGGATCAAGTACGTTTACACCTTCGATCCCGCTTTGATTTCGAGTTTCGAGCTCGCGCAACAGCTGCTCCAACTGGCTGACCGCTTCTGTCAAGCGATTTTGCTTCGGGATTGTGAGATGTACCTCTTTGATCATCTGCACGCGGGTAACGTGGACTGCTTTTTAGATTTGTCGGTGCGATGCAACGCTAGCGCACTGCAGGACAACGCGAGCGAGTTGGCCTTGAAGATGCTACCTGATAAGCTGCAAAAGAACACGATTGGAGTGTGGTGGCTGCGTGGCCACGCCATGCTGAGCACTGAGAGCAAAAAGAAGAAGAGGAGGGATAAGGCAAGTGCTGCTGAACAGAAGACTGCTCCAACATTTGGGAATGGCACAGAAGATGGCCTCAACATCACAACGTCGGTTAGTTCTACACCTGCGGCACCTCAACTTGATGCTCAACACAACTCGCCGTCAATATCTGGCAACTTTTTAGGTTCTAGAAGTAGTACTGTCCAAGAAGATGGAGAAACAGAAACAGCCAATCAGGAGCATCAAAGTGATGTGGCCGAGGCTGGTGTTGTTTTGAATTCCACCTCGTCAAGGCGCGAAGGTATTGTTAAACAAGTTTCAGTGCAGGTCTACTACAGTGCTGACGATCCAGTCCGCATGTCTGGCGCTTCTTCGGTCTTGCATTCGAGCTCACTCGCAGACAGCCTTGTCCAGCTTGCTACATCACACGCTGAAGAAACTGGCGCCGATGACGACATGGAGCTTGTATCGTCAAGCGAGGAGGACGAGGAAGAGGGTGATGAAGATGACGACGAGCAGACGTCCTGTGATAATTTTTCAACTTCGAGTAGCACGAGATGTTGTAGAGAGCAGAATATCAACAGCAACAAGATGAAGACGAGGCAAAGGAAGTTTCGCAGAATCATCAAATATGATTCAGAGCAGCCGCTGTTGGCACTTAGCATGGCCCACCTCGACTTGGTTCTGGACCGGGCTGATCGTGTGATATTGCATGGTTTTCAGGAAGCCGCAACTACAGGAACTAATGAAGGAGAAGCTGCCGGAGGCTTAACAAGCCTCAACATCGCGGGCGATACTCCAACTGCGCTGACATGATCAAAAAATTGATAGCGGCTGGAATAGAACCGTCTGCTCGTTGTGTGATGTGCGGTCGTGCTGGCACCCATATTTAATATTCTAAGTCAGAGTTTTCGGTTTTTCCGATGAATAGACTGTTTGTGTAGTTTGATTTTGTCAATTTGATCCCTTGAAAGATTCTTGCATGCTTTGATTAATGAATTCAGATTCAGTGAGCTTACTTTCGGTCCACTTCGAAGGCCCTCAGATGGTACTGGGACGAGGAAACATAAAACTAACATGTGTTTACACAAATATATAATGAACCTAGGTAGATAAAAGATCATCTACGTACCTGAACTCGGATTTATGTTATGTACTCAGGTCTTTAGGACGAGCCAATAACCGAAACCGTGGACATCCGGTGGGCAACCTGAACTTTCTGCACAAGAACGAATCAATATATCATCTACTACCGAGTTAGTGCCACTTTATAAATATATGCCTATAGTTATGTAGAAGACGCAATTTTATTGACGTTGGGCAAGTTGTTTCAGAATTAAGTTAGTTGTCTGCACAGAAAATGAAAATAGACGCAAAAATCGCTGAACTGAATGAATGAGTTAAATCATAGAAGAATCTTGCTTCTCGTACCGATAAAATGGCATCTGTTGAAAGTAAAATGTAGTTTGTACTTGTGGGTACTTGATGTTCGGTATCTTAGGTTTTTGAGTTGCATAGTCTGTCAAGAAAGATTAATTGATGAATAAATCAAAAAGGCAAGGGCGGTAAAATCGAAAATTTGATCTTGTTGAAGGTGAAGAACTTTTTTTCATGAGTTTAGTGGCTGTAATCAGTTTTGTACTCGTCGTGCTTACCCAAGAACTCCTACGCCACTGATCGTACCGTTGCCCTGATCGGAAAAGACTTCCTAATGCCTATGGGTGTGTCGTTGACATGCCCATGACCACCCGTTGTAGGTAATGACTTTCTCTTGGTTTCTGCCTATTCTTGCAACATCCCCGCTGCGTCATCCCCTTCCCCTGGCGTTCCCCTCTCGCGAGTCCTAGTTTGTTGGAAATCTCGTCGGGTATCAACTTTCACCGTGGTTGCGTCAACCCACAGGGTCTCCTAGTACTAGTACGTCTATATCGAATTCGAAGCATTTGCTTTGTGAATCATGAAATTACAAGGACGAAAACATCCCTGAGCATTGATTTACGTAGGTAACTGAACAAGAATGGCAATAGTTGTATAGGCTGCTTTCGCGAGCGAGCACTTGTGCAACACTTTGCATGTTGTCAAGCGCAATACTGCCTGGATTTTTTTACGAAGAAATAACGCATGGAATTAGTGAGTGCAGGATGAACATGAAGGGACGTGTCCTCAAGTATCGCCTTGCATGCAATACCACCTGCTTCTACTTCTACTTGAATTCCATGCCTTTGTTGAAGTTGGATACCTTCATATCCATGCTGCACTTTTCATGATGCACCATTCGTACTAGCTATTATCTACTAGATGGACACGGTTGTATTTGCTGCAAGCAAGCAGATTATAATAAGCAGAAGATTTTTGTGAGTGGTCATGGTTCTTGCAGAGAACTTTTAAGGACGGGAATGTGGAGGTCGTAGGGTAGTCGTGATCGCTTCCTGACTTCTACACCCAGATGATAATGACAGACCGAAATTTTTTCTAGTCAAAGAATCTATCAATGTAAATCTAGAAAATGCTCCTGAACACAACCAGACGAAGATTCGATGGTAAAAACCATCTTGCACAGCAGAAGTAGAACTTAACCGGGATTATCTATTATTTCATGGGGCTTCCACACATGTATTGGTTGAAGGATGCAAAGCAGCGTCATTCCGACATTCAGCGTCATGATTCGAAACTTCGGTTGAGCAACAACCACCTAGAAAGATTGATCGCACCTGCCACCTGGTCAACAAATAGCACAGACATGATGTTCTTTTGTAAGGCATCGATACGCATGAAACGATTATTACATGCGCAATTTTCACAGTTGCACGTAGATCTGAGCTTCGAACACTAGTCACGACAGCACTGGATTTTGACTCACGTGCTGTATTGCATGCTTCCCCGCCCTTGAATTCTACCTGCTGCCGAGCTGCCAAGATCCCTAACCCTACCCGAAGTTGCAAAGTACATGATTGTGAATTTTCAACTGTGTCTACGATAACTTCTCTTCTTGCGTCGTTTTTGTTTTTCGTTCTTCATCTCTGTTAGTTGTGATCCTACTGTATCATGCAAGAAGTCAACTCAAACAAGAAAAAGCCCAAGTCAACGTGTTAGCTGTCGTGTTCTGCGACTCTGCAGTAGGCATCTACAAGACAGGGTCAGAGGTCCACGCCTTGATGTTCGGTCATTCGGTCATGGTCGTCTTTAAGGTTGGAGAGATTTCTAAATCTGAGAACAAAAGATCAATCTGTGAGAGAGAAGTCCATGAATCATGACGAAAACGAAGTCACCATCTGTTTCATGACGGAAATATGAACGAGAGAAGAGAGATTCGTGTGTTCGGCGTGTGCTTGATTCACACAGTGCTAAAGTTATCAGTCAGCCTGAGGAGATTTCGCTAAAAGGGCCTTTGTAGGAGAATCAGATCCAACTAGATGAATGGAGCGGCTGAGTCGAAACTCTGTTCCCGAGAGAAATGAGGTCACAAAATGCGACGTAGAAAGCGCCCGCTGCTATGTCCGTTGTGAGTTGTAAAGGCTTAGTATGCCTATGCATTTCGCAAAAATTATTTGCCGTCGTCCCATAGATAGAGACTTCCCAACATGACGAGTGATACTGACCGATCGGATTTGAGCCCAATTCATCGTGTAGGAGAGGAGAGAAGATTCATCTCGCATGTTGTGATTTCCAAATGAATGTCTTGAACGACAACGACATCTCCAATGATTCGTGATTTCTCATCATCAACATGATGTCTTTCTCCTATCTTCTGCAGGCCAATTTGGTCGCTCTATTCTAACGCTCCCCCATTTTTTAACACAATTCTGTGCCCAGTTGTTTATCTGTTTTAAATTGACTTCTTTTGCAGGAGTTGTATGACATGTTTTCCTCCATCATGATATCATGATTTAAGATTAAGTCCTCGGGTGCGTACGAGGAAGGTCTGATGTTTTAGTTGTGCATTCATGTGCGAGTAAAAGAGAAAGACATCATTTGTCGTGAGCGGAGACTACAACTATACAATATTATTTTTGGCAACAAAACAATCTTTTGTCGTGTGTAGATTTTTGTTGTCGTTGTTGAACATATTTCTACCCGCTCGCTCGTGACTTCGTGATGGTGTTTTAGAAGAAATTTTAAGTTATAGGTACCTAGTCTTAGACATATCCTCGCAATATTTCTAAGAGTTAATTTTTACGCTTGACGTTGACGCAATTTACAGTTTTTTCATTTCCTAACAAACACCGGGCCTTTTTGCGCTCATATTATCTTTGATATTTTTTTTCCTCTCCGAAGTCTATGTTCGGGTTCTCAATATAACTTTAACTTTCGCTCGATGTTTTTTTCTTTCTCGTTCGATCGTTTCTGCATGCGAGAAAATTCGTTACCGTCTTGGTGTGAATTTATGAAAATTAATCTTGTCTCGAACTACATCAATCAATACCAATGTGAAACAACATCAATTTCAATAAAACTCTGAATCGAATTTTTAATATCACTATTAGTTCTTTCAGTTCTCGTGTTAAGTGTACTATAGTAGATTGAGTCAAGTAGTACAACATCATGTAAACTCCATGACCTCCTAGAAGACTCTTCTGCTTGGTGACGTGCTAGCAGAGGAAAGGCTAGCAGCGGCGCGATGCGCGCGACGCTTGAAAACACGATTGAAGGACGCTCTCGAAGCTCCGACAGAAGCTCCGACGAGGATGCTGGCACTGCCACGAGGAGATCGGATGTTCATGTTGACGGACGATCCTCGTCATCAACATTGTCGATATCTTCTACTACAACAACATCGCACTGTCCACGAACGAGTACTCACCATGAAGGGGGAGACGTTAAACTTAGCAGTGCCTCCGACAGCGATACTACAACAAGGAGAGCTTTCAAGTTAGGAGGAGGAGAGGCGTCTACCCTTCGGGCCGGCACGACGACAAGCACTAGAAGTACTAGAAGTGTGATGAATGAACAAGTCGGCGGCGCCGAGTCGTCTTCGCGACGTGCTGATGGAGGAGATCAATCTGTAGTCAGCCGAAGGCGTTCAGGAGATCGAGCGCTTCTGTACCAAGTACCGACAAGCGCAGCAGATGATGGACAAACGTCGACGCTACAGAATGATAAAGATAGTTGTACCGCTGAAACGGGTTCAGCTTTAGAACCACGAGGAGGACGAGGTAGGACAAAGCACGCATCTAAAACTACGTCAAAAGTAACAGGTGGAGGATCCAACTCTAGGACTCTATCGAGTGCAGCAGCAAAGGATGTAGGAGTCGGTGCAAGAAATACATACGCGAAAGTGGAGGCGACACAGCCGACGGACGACGGCATTCGGCCGTCGTCCAGCGCGAACATCCTGAGGCTTGGCGGCACGGAAGTGAAGAGCGAAGCTGTAGGGGACCCTTCACGCCAAAGCATCAGGGAGAAACGAGCAGGCTCGAAAAATATCGCCATAGAGCCCTTTCCCGCTCTCATAGAGCAGCCTACGGTACCAATGCAGTCACAAGCGAGCTTGTCGCTCCCCTCCAGGAGACTTGGAAACGAGCAAGACTGCCTGTCAGGCGTTAGTAGAAACGTGGATGAACAGGAAATAATTGATAGGAAAGTAGTAAATGTTCGTGGTCGTGCACAACGACCGTCTTTGAGCGGTAGAAGCGCCGCTTGTTCTAGCAGCAGCTCGGCTGCACTTCTGTATCAGCGCGAGCAGAGGTATTTAGAAGGCGTCCATGCCATGCAAGCCGAAGGAGAGGGCGAGGAGCGGTATTACCCGGAACAGGAGGAGACAGGGGCTGGCGAAGAGGGGAGAGAGTATGCCTACGCTGAGGACCCACACGCTGTGCAGCATCCCACACGAGATGAAGAGGCTGACGTCGCAGCAGTGGAATTTCATCCGGCACCGGAATCTATAGAGTACACGCCGGGTTCTCCGATAAAAGCCCGAGGCTCCGGTAACGGAAGCAATGGATCAGACCACATGAGCGATGGCTCCCCAGGAGGAGGCAACGTGTCGGAATCAGGATCAGTACCAAAGAAAAGGCCGTCCGTGGTCTCCGTCGCCATGTTGAAAATGAGCGACAGTGCACGAAAAAGTGTGGCCCAGAATTTAACGCGGAAGAAGAAGTACGGCGACGATCTGATCGAATGGTCGCTGAATATGTTCCACATCGGCGGTTGGTTCCGTAGTCGGTGTTTGTACACCGTTGAAACTCCCCTCTTCGACAAAGTCATCCTCCTTCTTATCCTTCTCAATTCTGCTGCCATGGCGGCTTACCGCCACCGCGAAGTCTACAATAAACCCATGACACACAAAGACTGCATCAGTTCCAACGGTACCGCCTACGGATGCGGCCGTGACGAGGACAGCCTCAACAAAGTACTTTTAATTACCAAATGAAATGTTTAAGTACCCACGGGGCTCAATTTTCAATCAGTCTCGATGCTCTTTATTTTCAACCTCCAAAATAAACATTTTCGCATATTATCTCCACACCCTTTTTTCTCATCATCAAGATCAACTACAATCCGTTTCAACCATACGTACGATCATGAGCATGATTATTATATGTACGCTCCGACTCTCAAGAACATCATCTTCATCAACACCACTTCTCACTCCAACACGCACTTACAGATGATCGACATAGCGGACCCTATCTTCCTCCTTATTTTTATCATGGAGAGTCTCCTGAAAATCATCGCATACGGGTTTTGCCAAGGTAAGAAGACGTACCTGCGGGACACATGGAACTGGCTCGATTTCATCGTTGTGCTCACTGGTACTGCAATACTGAAGACATTTTTATCGACAAGTTTTCGATAGTTTTTTTTTTCGATGAGTGTTTACTTAGGTTTTCCTCGACTGTGATTCCTGCATCTGCTATCTCCAAGCAGATCACTTGAGGACAAGAAATATTCATTATGCCTCCCACGACTGCTCAGGTGTTATTTCTTGGTGTCTCGAGAATATGGGGAGCGGTGACGGCGAGAGCAATGCCGGTTCAACGATCAAGATGTTGCGTGTCTTCCGAGTCATGCGACCGCTTCGTTCTCTTACAACTTTACCAGAGCTTAAGGTTCTGGTGAACACAGTGCTGCAATCGATTCCTCGTTTAGGATCTGTGCTGAGCATGACCGTCTTCTTGCTCGTCATATTTGGTATAGAAAATTCAATCTGTGATTCGACTTTTGTCATGCGTACAAGAATAAAGATGTAGTTTGTCAAATTCCAGATCCATTTATTTGGCTATAATTATGTATGCGCATTATATATAATTCCCGATAGGATTTCGCTAGCACTTACATCAATTGAATTCGTCCAAGCTGCAGGTATTCTCGGATTGAACTTGTGGATGGGTGTGTTTGACCGTCGGTGCCGCACCTTAGGCGACGTCCGATGGGTCACGACACCTCACGCGAGTTGTCCTTTTAGCGCCGACGAACCTGGTCGCTGGGAGTGGCCTCTCGCCACGGATGATGATGGCCCGCTGAGCCGGCCATGCGGCGGGCGATATATGTGTGAAGATACCATCCATTGGCAATACTTCGGCGACAGCGTTTGCGGTAGTCTCAGCGTTTTCGACCTCGAAGACGGGTACCAACCATCATTCCCCAAAAGCGTGGTAACAGCGCAGGGATCCAGTATAACCTTCGGCGATAAGTACGAAGCGGCGAAGTTCGGAAAGTGGTGCGAGAACAGCATTCTCGACTCGGATATCGTATCAGGCTGAGAATTTTTATTATGCATACATTATGCATGAGTCCAGCACCCATGATCATCGTGAATTACTAACAACGGATGTACTACGACCATAACTCGACATCATTCCTCTATCATCTTCTTCCTCATTGATTTACATACAACAGCCTGGGAATTATAGGCAGCTCAACGATGCGAACTACGGTTTCGGATTGACGAATTTCAACAACATTCTGAACGCCGTGATCGTCATTTTCCAATGCATCACCCTAGAGGGATGGACCGATATCATGTACATGGGACAAGACGCACACTCCAACGATTTCGCTTTCATCTACTTCATCTTCCTTGTGGTACGCATCTTTGATTTTTAGATGTCTGGCGCTTGATGTTTGAATAGGAGGACTGTGGCTGTCATTGTAGGAACTAGCGTGAAGTAGATCTTTTCGACTTGTTGAACTTGATGCAAATGCACGGCCTTCTTGTGATGTCGATTTATTGTTCGCAACATTGAATGTGTACCTTCCACCCACCGCATCTCCTAGCATCATTCAGTACTGTCCACGACCACCTTTCTCTCCATCTCAGATCATCGGTTCGTTTTTCCTGTTGAACGTTGCTCTCGCAGTGGTGTGGGACGCTTTCCAGGAATTGAGCGGGGAAAATGGCGCAAACGATGTTGAGCTTGATGATGAGGGTGAAAACAACGAAGAGGAGAACGAAGACGAGGGAAATCGTGACTCGGGAAAAGTGTCTCCCGAACAGGACACCGCAGATGATTCGGCGAATGACGAGGAGAGAAAAACGAAACGCGGCGCGAGGCGGGTCAAATCAGCGGCTCTACTCATCTACGAAGACGAGAAAAAATTCAAATTCTTCTTCGATTTAGCGAGCACGGCGTTCTTCCAGAACTTTGTCATGGGATGCATCATCTTGAACATTATCATCATGATGATGGACTCCTACCCGCCAATAAAACCGCCACTCAGTACTACAGTTTTTTCATTTTACAGTTTTAGATGACCAGAAACAACATGATTGTGATGCAACAAAATTAGTCATTTATAGTCTGTCTCCGTAAAGCTTGTGTAGAAGTCCTAGTATACAGTACGCTCCCGACGATAGTCGGATCGTATAGTATAGTATCTCTTGAACATCCGTGATTTTTTGAAGTTTCGAATCTAGTCAATATCACTTCAACATCCTCCCTTCACCTCCTTCAGACGTCGTCCTGGATCACATGGACACGGTTTTCTCGATTATCTTCGGAATTGAGATGATGATAGTGCTTTTGGCGATCGGGCCTTTGAACTACGTAAAGGAGCGATGGCATCTTCTTGATGGTGTAATCGTGGTGGTGTCGTTGATCGAGCTCGGGGAGAAGCTGTCCGGATCCGGTGCTGGTGGCGGTGCGCTGAAATCCTTGCGTTTGCTGCGTATCATTAAGCTGGCAAAGAAGTGGGCGAGTTTCCGGTTACTGCTGCAAGCAGTGATTCACACGGTGATGTCTATGGGAAACTTTACGATTTTGCTCGTGTTGATGATGTTCGTGTTTGCCTTGATGGGTAGCTTGATCTTCGCGAACAAGTTCAAATTTCACCCGGACACGGACGAGCCCATCGCTGAGGACCAGCCTTGCCCCGGAAGCGACCGGCACGGATGTGTGCGGAGAGCGCACTTTGACTACTTCTTATGGTCAATCGTGACGGTGTTCCAGTGCTTGACGGGTGAGAACTGGAACATGGTGATGTATGACGGCATGCGCGGCGCGGGCTTCTTCTATTTCCTGTTCTTCTTCGCGATGGTGGTGCTGGGTATGTGCATCATTTTCAACTTGTTCCTGGCGATCTTGATGGCGAACTTTCAGGACGCCAGTGAGGCCATTCGAGCGTCCGAAGAAGCGCGAAAAGAGCGCGAGCTCATGGCCGGAGAGGACTGGGAGGACGAGGAAGAGGGCATGGAGGAAGGCGGTAATGGAGACGGCGAACCGGTCCAGTCAGAGGCCATCGCCAATGCTCCTGAAGACTCCACTCAAAATCCGGCACCAGGCGGCGCCACGAAGAACAAGGCCGGCGGCTTCATCGGGGCGTACATTGACAGAGGAGAGACTGTGAGGGCCCGAGTTCGCACACCAGACGGATCAAAGGAACGACCAGGAGGTGCTGCCCCGGATTCTAGTGATAAACCGGGAGACAACAGCATTCCAACGCAGCCACCAGAAGGCGTGAGCCCCTTCTCACACGTCAGTTTAGATAGCAAGGGCCAACCAAGAAAACGCGGCGCGAAGAGAAGGCAAGTAGACAAGAGCAAGGGAACCTACAAAGACATCACAAATGAGAAGAGCGTTCTCGTTAGGCAGTGCGTGCTCATATGCCAGCATCAAATGTACTGATCTTTTTAAGCGCTTGAATATTCGATGAAGAGCCGTACATCGTTTTGCAATTTGTACAACAAGCTGCACTACGTTAGAACTTAACCACGTGATAATATTACTTCCTTTTCACATGAAAAAACTCAAAACCATATCAAACTAACACCAGATTCGAGAATTTTATTCTCGTGATGATCATCGTTTCATCAATGTGCATGGCTTTTGACGATCCGATATTGAACCCGCAGCATCCTTTGCAGGTCGCCTTGCAGTACCTGAATATCTGCTTCACGACTATCTTCACATTGGAGATGATCATGAAGCACGTTGCTATGGGAGTCGGAAACTACTGGTACACCTTCTGCGATACTACAGAAATTTGAAATATCAACTAGAGACAGCAGGTGTAGTGTGGCTCGTGGCAGAGACAAAAATTATATTGATGTATTAATGACTCTGTCCCCGAGTAAGGGTCTACTACGTCGACTCATTTCTACATTTTTACTTTCCTACGTATCGGTATCTATTGCGCGATGGATGAGTATGATTTTTGGCGGCTCAATAAGGCTAAACTTTAACACATGATCACGACAGGTCCAACGGCTGGAACATTCTCGATGGTGCAGTCGTGATGGTGTCCGTAATCGATTTAGTCTTCTGGATTATAGCAGAAAGTAGTGGAGAAGAAGGCGGCGCAGATATTTCATTCTTGAAAACATTGCGTATTCTACGAGCGTTGCGTCCACTGCGTGTGATCGCGCGTAACCCCAACCTCAAACTCGTGGTCAACACTATCTTTGCATCGTTGCCGCAGCTCCGAACATTGATGGTCCTCATGATGCTCTTCTTCCTCATTGTGGGTCTAGTGGCCCTCAACTATCTCAAGGGAGCATTTTCGCAGTGTGGCGAGTACTAAAATCTTTTTCACAATTCGTCTAGAAGAGTTGCATTTTCTATATCTCTGGAGGAAAATACGAGTACTAGCATTAATTTCTGAACAGTGAACGGTAATGAAAATGATCAAGATCTACCTTAACAGAAGCACAAAGGTTAAGAATTGGCTACGTAGGATATCATGATACAACCTTCTGGTTCATATGCCTGCAACGTAATTTCAGCATTCATACTTCCATGATCCGACAGGAATGCAAATTCATCTCATTTTCCCGCCATCTCAGCTTCAACATTCTCGAACTCCGGAATCAAGTAGAGAAAGATGGCGGCATACCAACGACAGAGATGTGTCTCTACGATTGTGCTGCAGCTGAAACTTGCTCACAAGGCAGCCGATTAATCAAGAGGCAGGGCGCGACGTGTCCTGCAGGCATGGCATCATATAGGAGAATGCTGCCTGATCATCCTGTACTCCTACTTCATCTTTCATCCGAACTTTATTCTACTTAGTGAATTCTTGCTGCTTCAAATGATGATATCAAAATTATCACAAGAAAAGAGAAGATGATCATAGCACATTCTATTTGTTGAGACAAGAGAGAGGGCTGCTTATTTACAATTGATTCGTAAATGTAGTCATGATCATCGTATCAATCTTGTTTGATGAAACTTTCTTCATTTTCATTGCACTTTGTTCTATCAGATTTGTATCGGCAAGTGTCCGCTAGACGAGACAGGCAGTGGCGTATGCCAAGGCTACCAAGCGCTGGATAAGCCCACACGGACAGAGAACGGCGTAACTGTGTCCGATCTTCCCAATATGTGCGCCAAACCCGGCGTCGGCAGTACCCCGGACAACCCTATCAATGTGCCGGCTTTCACCGCCGACAGCCCGCTGACAAACCGTTGGCGATCTGCGCTCGAGTACAACTTGATGCAGTGTACAGCGTGCAAGGAACGCTATTGCCCCAACGACGAAATCTCAAAACAGTGCGTAGATTTCTGTGAGGATATCCTGCTTATTGGCAACTGCGTAGAGTCGTGTACAAGCCCGTACACCGAAAGCTCGCCGCAGTGCGTCACCTGTCGACAGGAGTGCGCCGCAGCTTGTTCCTGCGAAGACAACTGCGAAGCCATGCACGAGGACGCGGCGATGTGCATCGAGGAGGGGTCCAGCACAGCGGGGCAAGAGTAACTCTACAGAATACTATATCTGCTTAGGATTTTTTCAAAGTCCTCTACCTTAATCTGCCTGACAGTAAGGACTAGGAATAGGATTCCCCCTCGCGGAACTCACTAGCTAGCCCTGCTGTGAAAAGAAGATCATACTCCCACAGCATCAGGATCAAAGGATAATCTCCGACTCTCCGTCCTAGTTCTATGCGTGAGCTTATCCTTGCTCTTACGTGACTACACCCCACAGGTATAAATGGGTACCGGGAATATCACAAAGTTTCGATAACATCGGCTTTGCAATGATCACCCTTCTGGAGATCTCAACAACGGAGGGTTGGGTCGACGTGATGTACGCTGCAGTAGATGCTCGTGGTGTGCATAAACAACCAGAGCGAGATCACACCGAGATATGGAGTACTCAAGCCTCTAAGATGATTTGCTTTTCTGCGTTTTCTTTACTCATGATCGTGCTCTTTCTATAGATTATTTAAGATTTTTTAGCACACTCTCTCTTCTTTTTCAGCCAAAATCATTTGAAAAAAGCTAGTACCTAGTCAACATATTACAACATCAACAAGACTGACAAGATAGCCCGTGACGACTATGATCTTGTGCACAACCCACTCAATATCTCACTCCAGGTCTTTTCTTCGTGTTTTTCATGCTTGTTGGTTGTTTCCTGATTCTCAACTTGTGCGTCGGTGTGATTGTGGACAACTTTGCTGAGATGAAGAAGGCACAGACCAACCCGGGAAGCTCACTTCTAGTTACCCCAGCGCAGCAAAAGTGGATCAATAGTCAGAAGAACCTAGCAACGCGACGTATGTTCTTGTCGCTGAAAAATTTGGAGCACTACGACAAACAGAGGAGAAACATGTTCTTCTTCGTCAACGACGACAGATTCGAGGGCATGATCATGATCTGCATCGTCTTGAACGCGGTACTACTTGTTATCTGCTTTCTAGTAACTTCAACTTCTCAATCAGACTAACTTACCGCTAGGTAGTACGTAGAGTTTTGTTAATACCTTACTTGTAGTTACTAAGACGTTCTTTGTTTTTGTCATGCAGCACAAGGACTTCACTTCGCAAATCCTTACATTTTTCATCAAATATTCCAGGTTATCATGGCGATGAAGGTGTATCCTTCGGAACCGGATGGTGGGGATTTCGACTGGGTGAACTACGAAATGGGACTGGACATCGTCAACTATATCTTTGCCACAATATTCCTTGTCGAGGCGATTCTCAAACTCTACGCCTACCGGCTATGGTACTGCTAATTTTTTTGAATACCTATGTATTTAAGTATCTATTACGATTAAGTAATCTTCATAGGTTTAATGCACCATTTCGAAGTCAGTCGTGTGTATTTCTGAATACATCCTACTTTCTTGGTAGCTCCTTGCTTCTTCATCAAGATTTGTTGACTCTCCAGCGGAACCTTGTTGAGAAAGGACGTAGTACGACTTGAAGCAGGCCTCATCACCTTGTTACAACACTCCGTACTCTTCCACCACCAGGTACTTCTCCGACGGGTGGAACATGTTCGATTTTAGTTGCGTGATGGCGACTTTGGTCGGTATTTTGCTGGACTTTGTTTTCGAAGTGAAGGTCGGCGCATTGATGAGCTCAGTGCGTCTGTTCCGTATTGCGCGGTTACTTCGATTACTGAGGTTCGCGAAAGGTCTGAATAAGATCTTCAACGCATTCTTGCTCTCGATTCCCAAGTTGTTCAATGTCGCTTGCATCCTCTTCTTGCTAATGTTCTTGTACGCAGTGATGGGCGTGCAGATGTTCGGAAAGGTGCAATTCCACGACACACATAGCGAGCGCGGAAACTTCCGAACATTCTACAGGGCTTTCATGACACTGGTACTACCCCCTATGCATTTCTTTGATTTCGATTCGTCAACATTCATTTACATTTCTCTGATTTTGATTTCGATTCGTCATATCGCTTCATCTTTCACCAGTACCTGCTTCATTCGTCCTGTATCTTTACCAGTAGCGCGAGGTATACGCATTGATTTAGTAAAGTTTCATTGTATGTAACCATATTAGACGGTGCATGCTGGAATCAATATTTATATAATAAATTATTTGCTCGTCGTCGTCCTCATCTTATTCACTCAGAAACTCGAATTCCTTTTCCTTGTCTTCATCTTCTTTTCAGGTTCGTTCAATGACGGGTGAAGCATGGAACGAGCTGATGCACGAACTCGGTAGAGGCCCGGAGGCATTTGGCCGATTGGACGGGAAGCCGTGCGTCTTAGATTTCGATGTGCCAACACAGGCTTCCTACGATCTTCTCGATGAGAAATGCCTTATCGACACGCCAATACAATGCGGCACAGCGGTACTGATATACTAGAAGAAGAACTAGTGGTTGTTACAGTAAAAGGTTGAGTTGTGTTCAAGAGAGCTCTTGTTAAAACGACGAGCATCTTGTGGCTATCTGATGAGTAAAAAGGGTAACTAGAAGAAAGTAAATCGCCACGTCTTTATCTCAAGTAGTTAGAGTCGTATCAAACCTTCCTTATAGAAATTGGTGATCATCAATATTCTTCACCAAAAATACAGGGCATGAGTTACTTTTATTGGGTGACGTACACGATGTTTATCACTTTCGTCGTCTTCAACTTGGTGGTCGCGGTCATTCTCGAGGGTTTCGAAGATTCCACCCAGAAGTCGGAGGATGAAGTGGTAAATCTCGCTATTGATAGCTGGAAAAAGTACGACCCAGACTACAAACTCAAGTTGCCAGCAGACAGGGCACAAGACTTCATCAACGAGCTCCAACTCGAGATGATGGAACCGGACGAGCGAGAACGATCAAAATCACTAGACCTGACAGACGCTGAAAAAGAATTCCTAGAGCTCAAGGTTGGACCTGACGGACAGCTAACCTTCGTAGGCGTAGTGCAGGGCGCACTCAGACAGGTAAAAAATTTGAATTATTCTGATTTGCGATTACTGTTTACCCTCTCCCTCCTATTCAATATGTTTAGATACATGCATGTTTCTGACTTTCATCAATCATACTCCCTCACTGGGTGTACTGCCCGCAACTACTTACGACTACTCTTACCATTGGAGATTTCTTTCAATTTTAAATCCTTTTTACGTTCTGTGCTCACGACTTACTTTTGTCTCATCAACATGCAGATCATGTTGTTCGTGGTCGAATCGCGAGAAGAGCGTGCGAAATTAATGGACGAAATTAAGACCGTGGAGACGTCACTAAAGGACCCAACGGACGCGCGCACGCAGTTGTCCTCAAATATTCTGGGAACGCTAGGCTATGTCTCCAACTCGGACCCCAACCCACCTCCGGAATCCGGCCCAATTTCGAATTGACTATAGAATATGTTACTGTATCAAGCTTCAGCTTGATCAAATACAACAAGAACAACTAACTGCAGAGTTGGTGGTAGCTAGAGTATTGAAAATGATCAGAGGTATCACTAGTATCATGGTAATTTATTTACACTTTAGTCACTAACAGCATGATATTAAGAGCTAGGGAAGATTGATTCCCAGCAGCATATAGTTATACTGACGCTATTCTCAAACAACTTTTTCTCTAGAACAACATTCAACATTGCGATACATAGATGATATGATATCGTTCTGTCCAGGATCGACGATTGCTTAGGCAATGTAACAATTTCCTGTGTGTGTAATGAAACTGCTAACTCAGAGCTTCATCTGTCTATCTGAGAGAATGAAATAATGTATGGAATGAAAGTACACGAAACTTCAAACTGAAACTAATCAAACAACAAGAAGGGGCGGGACGATTCAGATTTTCTGACAAAATTATGCACTATCGATATCGTTCATCAATCATCTCTACAGTGTGATACTTCTGATATCATCCAGTACTGATTTTCGAATAGATTACAACTACCATCGAAATTTTTTCTCAACTTAGTTCTATTTACTTTGACGCATGTTATGATAATTGAAATGATAGAATACTACTCATTATAGCAGAGAGCTACTTACATAAACGATCACCATGTTTTGTTTATTATGTCGACGAGAAAGAAAATGATCGCCAAAGAGCTGTAATTGACTACAATTGTCAAAATCTTCTCCATGAGAATCACAAATACTAATTACGCGATACGGTTACCGACTTAAGAGTTTAGCTACAACAATTAAGATGGGTTTAGAAATATATAAGGAATTCGATTTGGTGAAAATTAGACGGAGATCAAAATCAAATGATACCAACAAGTCGCATGTGATGTAAAAAACAAAAACTCGAGCTAGATCTACATACTTTGTTTTGGGTGAATTAAGAAATATGCGATGAGTTGTTTTGACTCAAATAAGATGGTCCTGTTTTGTCGTTTGTTGTTCTTGTTTTCGGTCGGTTACGTTTCGCGCGGTATGCATTCATTGCTAAGCAAACACAAAGAACTGCAACAAGCACAGAGAACTACAACGAACACTCTCACGACTAGCACCTACTACATACTACAATACTAGGTACACCCACTTTTCGGTCGCGACAAGTTACGACTTCGCATTGTCAGATGTAATTGCATCTGAAATCTAGGGAATCATCCAAATATAACTCAGTGGCTGAGCCTGAGATGCGTCGTCTTTCGGCGATTTTTACAACTGCAGTGTCTGGATCTGCAAGCATGATGCTATGAGGCTTCGAAATAGATGTAGAACAGTTCTTTAAGAAGCTCACTCTTAAGAACTTCTACAACTTGGTAGTCTTCCGCGGAAGCGAATGTTTGCGTGGTTGTGTCGTGCTCATTCATGAACCCCGTAGGCCGTCTAGGTGTTTCAATAATACTGAACTGCGTATGTGAGTATTTGAAATTTATTTCATAACTTTTATTTAACACATCACGAGTAGTTAAGAAGATTAAGGGCTGAAAATGAAAAAAGAAGTGGAAGTAGGGGAAACACAGGAAGACAAGTTTCGCAGCAAGGTAAGACGAAAATGGCAGGCAGGTAAGGGCAGTGTCGTATCAGTACAGCAAAGACACCGCGCGACAACTGCGAGGTCTGGGCTGCACTTGTGATCGACAGCTGCCAGCTCAGTTGATATTGTAGGAGTTCCGTGAATTAAAAAAGAAAGATACAGATAGCGAAAGAAGCAAGCTCGATAGTCTGAAAATATATAATCGCCGCATGCCTTGACCTTGAGTAACATCCGAAGTGACGGCTCTCGAAGGAAATCCAGAAACAATAGCATGTCTGAGTCAGTTGGTTGCTCGAGTTTTTCGCTTACAACTAGTGTGGTGGTAGCTTCTTCGAAGCGGACGATAGTAGAAAAAGGTTTAACATAACTGGCGCTGGTTCATCCTCTAATGACCGGGCAGCAGATCCGACGGCCAGGATACCCGCACAGACCTACTTGCGGTACTGCTATTTGAGTGAAAGAACAAGAGCGATAGAACAAATTCCAAAACTTGCGTTATTATCTCAGTAACTAACGCTCTACCTTATTATTTAAACGCAGCGTAAACGACTATATTAAGCTGCATCCACTTGATGCAGCGACTGTGTTTCATTGTAGTTTACGAGTAGAGCTGGTTTATTAGGTTGCGTAGTATTGTTGCAGTATTTTAGGTATTTCCTAGACAGATCGGCCCTCGCGTGCGGCTCAAGCACAGCTCGGTCTAGTGAAGTAGATTCTTTTCTTTTTCGGCGTTTTCATACTCGTGAACGCTCACCTCTCCGAGGCGAGCCAAATCCTATCCTATCGTATCCAACTTGAAGATCTTGTGGAAATATACTTACTTAGTAACTAAAGTAAGAAAGTAAGACAGGAGGAGCAAGAGGAACAACAGAAGAAGTATTTCTTCATCGTTATGAGTAGAGGCGGGACGTTGAAAAGATAAAGAAAGAGGAAGACTAAGGCGGACGAATTGAAGAAGTTAGTAGCTGCTCATACCATTCTTTTTTTCAGATGAACACGTACTGACACTACTACTATTCACTTACACAAATAACGGCCTCTCTCTACTTATTTCTACGAACAAGGAGGTTTCTAGAGCTTTCTAGCCATCCCAGGGGCTGCGTCTGGCAAAGTAGATACTTAACATCCTGTTAGCGCTGGCTGTGCCTGTGCGCAGATTGATAGATACGATGGAACAGGCTAGTGAAAATGAACAGAGTACACTTACATGTTTGCATTTCTTTGCAATCAGAAATCGCCTTCGGCGTGAACAGATATGTAGTCTTTCAATGAACAGAATGAACCCTTCCCATCAAACAAAATGCAATGTAACTAACACTTGATAGTCTATCACCCGGTCTTCTTGCGCTTCTATTTCAGAAGGTACAAGTTGGCTGGACGACCTCAAATCCATTTGACCATATACAGCACGAGGTGACATGACATGACATACGTTAGACTTAGAGTAGAATATCTGCGTTATTATCACTTATCTTCGTCCATGAAAGCGAAAAAAGAAAAAGATAAAGAAGTAACGTGAAGGTGTACCGCGTCGATGCCTACCAGTAAAATGCACCAAGACGACTAACGCAATTATATTGTGAGTTGACTACACCGATTGCCGCTAACAGACAATCCAGATTTCGATTTGGCAAGAATGACCAGTGCTGAACAACAGCAATAAGCACGTCTAACATTGAGCGAAATAAAAGAGCAATTTAGACAGTCCCAGTAGATGTAGAAGTACGATCTTACTCAGCAGCTGATCGAGGAAAAAATCTTCTTGAATGATAAGAAGAACATTCAGATTTTCATCGCGCCCTCTCGCGGAGGAGCAGCCCACAAATTTGGCGCCGAAGCCAACGCAGCGGGCGTGGTGAAAACATATCCCAACCACGTGGATATCCTAAATAGCTCGACTAGAGTAATCCCGCGTCGCAGAATCTACGTAATATGCCGCGTCGAAGTCGTGGCTCTTCGGTCTCGGTCTGCAGTCAGCCTGAAAGACGTCGGTGTCTGTGAGTGATCGGTTCAAACAGGCAGGTCAGGACGTCTGTTCTCAAGTAGGAGTTGCTGTCTTGTTCCTTCCACAGCGCTTGTCAATTTGTATTTAGCTAAGTCGACTTGCTTGTGCCCCAGTCCTATGCCCCAATTCAGTTTCATTGAGCACAAAGTAAAATGACGAGTTTCGGGCTAGATTGACATGTCTGAAATCTGGTTTTCACTAGTAAAAGCCCGGTCAGTACAACTAGCCGCACGCGCGCCTAGAATTTTTTGACCTCATCAGGCTTCTGTCGCTTACCACGCTTTGTTAATGTGTATGTGGTTTAGAGGAATAGTGCTCATCTCTCTTGACGCGCGGGAATATGTTATCGTTCAGCACCTTCGTTGAGCCATATTTTGGCGTGTGCCCTGGGCGGCAAGCAACGAGCAGAGCTGCTACGACCTCCTCGCTGAGGCAACCAGAAGTGGCAGGGAGAGGACCTTCGAGTTTTGCCAGCCTTGGAGCTGAAAATTTCCGAGGCACTGAGGATATCGTGGCTCGATTTCCAACGGTGGAACAGCGTAACGAAGTCAAAATGCGGTATCCTATGCGCCACGCGTTCGGTGCAGACGGAAGCCAGTTCTACTGCCCGCCAGGCTATCAATATGTGGCGCGGCAAAAAACTTCGCTTCATCCGGGCATGGCGACGTCGTCCAGTACATCGAATGTACCTGGCGCTACAACAGCTGCGTCAAGCAGAGAAGTAGAGAGTTTCTGGTGTGGGATAGATGGGGTCGAGCAACAGCAGTTCATACCACACCTCCGAGGAAGAGCGATGCGTCGATGGCCAGCATTCGTGGAGAGGCCCCGAGATTTTAAGGCAGAGGATCAAGCTTGTGGGGAAGCTCTGGAACTCATGACATGCAAAGACGCGGATGTTGGTAGAAGTACTAATCATGGTAGCGGTACTAGAACAAGAAGTAGGGGTGGAGGTGGAATTTGTGGGGGAGCAGCAAATGTTACCAAGAGTAGTCCTCAAGTGTGTTACCCGATTCCCATGGATGCCGCATCACGCATGCGAGATGACCTTCAAAGGACACTCACAAGAATGTTCGGAAGTATGCCGAAGGAGTTAGCAAGAGCTAAGCATCTCATGCTGCCGCCGGCGGTTGGAGAACGCTGACTAGGTCTTCCTTCGCCTAAGCGCCAAGATGAAAATCCAAATAGTCTAGCGACCGGGCCGATAGCCTCTGCTTTGTCCTGGTACTGAATCCATGTTTATCGGTGGTGTTCTACAACTACCGGATCGGGATGCATTGTAGATGCCTTCCTGGTTATCGGCTTAATACGGTACGGTCGATGTTTGTTGGAGTAAGTCGCTGGGGGTCATCGTCACGAATGCTTAGCCTCTTGTCTGTCTCTCTGTCAGTAAAGAAGATCATAAAAACGGTTCCAGTGTCTTTCTGAGTTTTGATCTTGTTGATATGGCGGCAAGCCTGAGAGGCGAGTTTATTTAGGTCGCGCAATGTGAGAGATCGAGATCTTCTCGCAAGAGTGGTGATGTATTTGATTCATTCGAGAAATGTCTTTGTGTAGCAGGCCTAGTCCTTCGTGCTCGTGGAGCAAAGAAGGGGAACAAGCGGACACAACGGCAACTACTGCCATGGAAAGAACTCCCCCGTCGTGTGCAGCGTCAACCTCCTCCACGTCCACTACCGAGACATCGAAAATGCAGTCCGTCTTGCAGGAGCATGGGCTGAGAGCGTTCCGCAGGATAATACTACTAGTACCAGGACGAGGACGCGCAGATACCCATACCTGGAGGATAGAGCGGAACATGGATTCGCGGAACCGGACTGCTTTTGACGTAAAACCACATCAAGGTACTAGCGGGGTTCTGGAACCTGAAGCAAGAATACCGGAAGCAAGAATGAGGGAGGGGACTGGGACGGAGTGTGAAGATGATGGATGTGATGCAGTAAATCATGCAGGTGTGAAGGCTAGGAAAAGACAGCGAGATGGTGGAACATGCATGTTTTTAGAAAACTACGTCTCTGGCCTGACCACGACTGTGTACGATGGCAAAAGGCGAAGCCATTTGATGTCCTTCCTTTCTTGCATGCTGGCAGCGGTTTTCGCTATACGGACCGCCCTCGCAGGGGATGCGGACATGTCGCATTCCTTTGATATGACGCATCATATCGAGGATAACATCATGGCAGTTCGTGATAGTGACCTTGTCGACGATGGGGCCGAAGCACGTAGCTACAACCTGCCGTCACTTACACAACTCGAGTGCCGAAATGAGGACCATGCTGAATTCATGGAACTGAAAAACATGCTGTTGTCCGGCGACCTGGAAGCGAATGCTGGAAAAGTCATCGAGGCTGCAAATTTATGAACAACAGGACTACTTATACTTTACTATGTATGGTGTATGACTAACTAAGTAGGGCGGAAACAACGTTCGAAATGTGCGTTTTCGAGATAGGAGAGTCGCATGTATCAATGTAGCGTAGTTCCCATTATAGTTCCCATTATAATATAGTTCCCATTATATACCATACATTACGAGTATGAGTAACAACTTTGCTCGTGCACCATCTCGATCTCAATAATATGTAGATTCCTGCTTTCTGTGAGCATTTTTTTGTCAATCCCCAAGTTGTATAGATGCTCACTTTTCTCTGCCTTTATTTATACACGCGGCTTGCAGAGACCAGTTTCGCGGACGAGATGGGGCTTTACAAAGGCGTGGACGATTTCTTCCATGACATTTGCGATTTGAACCTGAAAACAACTCAAGTGTGTCTGTACGGTCTCTTCAATGCGCTGGTAGTCCTTGCGCTCGCGGGCGATACGGAATTCGCCAGGCCCGGGCTCCGCATGTTGGGAAATTTGCAGTGTCTCGACTACCTCGAGAGCTCTTCCTGGCGCTTCAAGAGTGCTGACCTCCAAGCAGTTTTGCAGAATTCCACGTTATGGAAAGTGGGGGAAAAGCAGGCTGCTCCTCACCAAGTCATGCTGACCGGGAAGAACAAAATAGATGCGGAGTATTTTGCCAAGTGCGACGTCTCTGCGTGGATGTTGTCACGGAAAGCAGAGCAAATGCTTATGGCGAGAAGCAGCGGACAACCTACGAACGAGCCCGAAGCTAAAAAGAGTGTTCGTATGCTGCTCTTCGGAACGCATCCTACACTGACGCTTGAGCCCTACACGATGATCGCTGATCACGTTTTTCCGCAGGACAAATTCGATCTAGACCTTCAGGGCGTCTTTGGCATTAGCTACAAGTGTCACATTTATCCTCTTTTGTGCAATGACAATGACCCAATAGCTACTTTGCTCGGTGCCTTCGACAAAGCTGACGAAACGTACACAACGGACAAAGCGCTTCTCACTTTGGAGGCCGTCTTCGAAAGTCTCAAGGACACCGCGGATGTTTTCATTTGCACGTCGCCCTTCTTCCTGTGCGCGGTGATGGCAGCGGTACTAACACTAAGTACGTGAATACAACACATCACTACAGAATTAGGCGTTTTTTAGCTACAACAGTTCCAGTTGGGAATTCTTGCATTGTTTCTCTCAAAAACTTTCCGATCCGCTTCTTCCACGACTACCAATCAACTCAGCTCCTCCCTGCAGAAACACTGCAGTTCAACTTTATGGGCTTACCAGCATTGTGGAAAGCGCCTCACGACGTAGCTGATAATATGGAGACGTTTTGGGAGTACGGGCATAAGTTCTTCCGAAGGGAGAACTCAGTGCATGTCACGAACAATTTCTTATTGTTCGAGCAACTGCGGTACATGTTTGGGGAGCAGGACACCACGAAACTGAGGGTTTTGCGACCGCACAACAGATACATGAATGTAAATGATATATAATATTATAAGAATATTATGTATCCTGAACATATTCATGAGGATTTCGGTTACGACGATCTGCGCTGGTGCTCTGCTTCAGTCGTCGAAGCCGAGTCCTCTCAATGTTCATTGACGTAGAAACGAAATAATCTATCACAAATGTGTAGCGCACATGCTAAAGGTGGGTTTCTTATTCTTGCTCTTTCATTCATATATTGTGCATTAAGGTAGGTGTCACAATCACTCACACTCATCAATCTTACAGGCATACTACGTACCGCGAAAGCACTTGATTGCGACAGCCGAGAGGAAGAAGAACCTATCACTTGAAGAACTAAGGAACAAGGAAGCGCCGGCTCCTTTGGTCCACTACGTAGGCCTGGTATCGCGTACCAAATTTCAGTGGGTGACGTTTGAGTGCCTCTTCAAACGGCTTATCCATGAGGGCAACCTTCCATTCGATTTCGAAGTTTTGAATACCGATAGCAAGCTTTCTTTTCAAGAGATGGGCACGTTTACCGCGATGATCCTCGTACCGTGGGAGGCGGCATTGATGGCTTTTTACGAGTTTTACAGCATGAATATGCCTCTGTTTGTCCCGTCACGGGATATGCTGTATCGCACCGTGTATCATGCGGAGGGTAACCTCGGAACGACGAAGAACATTTACCATGTACGCTCGCCGCGGTTGGCTGGAGCTGATGCAGAATCAATTCACTTATGATGCACGACCCTTTAGCTACATGCAAATCTTTGTAGTACGTTCTCAGCTAGAGCGTGCTTTCATTGAATGAAGAATTGGAGATTTATGTAAAGCAACTGGGCGATTTCCGCTTTCTGTTTTCTGCGTCAACAGTAATAGTAAAGACTTCCTTCTATTAGCTGCCTTCATTCCTTCCGTATCCGCCGTTCGCTTTCGAGAAGCTTGATGCGCGCATTTACTGGTTGGAGTTTTCCGACTTCGTGCGATGGCCAGGAATCCGACAATTTTTTCACCTTCAGGAGCTGGTGAAGCTGCTCTTACAAGAAGACGCTCCTGCTATGGCCGCTGAGATGAAACTGTATAACGACAAAACGTTTGCGAGTAGTGTCGCATTCTATCGCAGAGCGTTCGGACGGTTCTTCGCGTAGTGCGGAGAGTGGGCTTCTTTGGCGCATCGCTGTCCGTATCGCCAACGATAGTAGTTCTTTGTAGTACACCGGACGGACCTGTCCCTAGGAAACGAATACGGATGATATCTAATGATTGCAACTCACTTTCTGATCGTGTAATATCGACGACATGATCATTTTCATGAATTATAGTTCTTGTTCTCATTCACACTCTCAGTCGTCTCGTAGAATGGTTAGCTCTTAGGTGGCAAGAATAATGAAATCCAGAACTTAGACCAGCGAGTCTATGTCACCGGTACAGCGATATTGTCAGTCGAAAACATTTAGAGAATATGGAGAAGATCTAGTTGCGTGGTTTGGTCATGTTTATATATTTCGATGAAAGCTACCTCTGCCAGCTTTGTCGTGATACTACTCCCATGCTGTGTGAAGATACCCGCTCTCGAGAAGTAAGGACAATAGATTAGAGTTAGACATCATGTTGAAGCGGATTCTGTCTTCTTCGTTAAGCAGGAAATCGGTGCATTCGGCATGTTCATCTGTCGCTAGTTCGGAGTCAGTCCCTTTGTTTCGGGCTCTTACGTTCGGTGCTCATCGTTGTTCCAATATTGTCTTACAGATTCGTATCGAAGATTTTGTTTCGTCTGTGTTACTACAAATTCCTCCCTTTGTTCGTCCCTTGATTTTCACCAGCCATTTCCCTGATCAGACTAAAAGATTAGTTCGAGCTTCTACAAGGACGAAGACGAACAGGATGCAAGTTCGAATTCAGAATCTAGGTTCATTTTCTTCAAATCTGAGAGTCAGGTATGAAGATAAAAATGACATGTTGCAACGGCTCATTATGGTCAGATCCTGGTGATCGACAAAGGTAGGCTTAGAAGATGTTATGATGCAGATATAGGAGACTCAGAAAGATGGACTTTCTTCGCGAGCTCCTTGCTGAAGGCGAGGCCGAGGAAAACTGGGAGGAAACCAAGGCTGTCCAAAATCATGTACGATTTCACAGCTTTTGCGACTCCATCTCGCAAATTTTGGCACGGCGTGGCCGATGTGGGGACGGTCTCGTGGCTCTGGGTCTTGCACGTGACCCGTTTAGCTCAGTGAAGATCAAGAAAACTGCTTGTGGAATTAACAACGAGGATGAAACTGACGTGAATGTTGAAGAAGCTGACGCCGGTAATAATGCGGAGCGAAGTACTAGTAGAGCGAAATCGACGGAAGGTGCAAGAGGACGCGGTAAAAAAGTAAATGCCACGACAAAGAGAAAGCGTGGAGAACCAGTCCGTGTTTGGGCCAGGATCGGGAAGCGGCCTGTAGAATGCAAGATTGACAAGAAAGAGGGACTGCGTGTAGTGCAACTCCAGGGTGCAGTTGAATATCGATTGCGTGAGCTAGTGCCCTATTTCCGTTGTATCGACGACCATCACGATGAAGAGGATTTCCCACATCATGATCCTGATGCGAAGTCGGAGGCGGCGGCAACAAGTGCAGCTAGTACAAAAGCCTCTATTAGTAGTTGTAGTTCAGCATCTACTTCTACTGGATTTTCGAAGGGTGCTAGGAAAGGAGCAGGGAAGAAAGGTAGCAAGAGGCAACGCAAAAATAGCGGAGTACTAGATCATGAAGGTAGTAGTTTTGGAGGGAAGCGTGAAAAGGCGTCGAATGGGGGAGACCACCTTGGAGATGAAATAGATGATGACGTGGACGAGCAGAATGAGAATTTGCAGCATTTCGAAGCTGAGGTGCAGGGCGTTGGTGATATAGATATGCATCGCAACGTGTATGCCAACCAGCATCCCTTTTATCAAGAAGATGATCGTCCATTTGCGCCGCACGGGCACGAATTTGACGGGTCTGGGCATGATCCGTCACTACCACTTTTCCTTCCTTCTTCGTCCGTCGTCGGACATCAGTCTAGCCACGGAGAGTTCATCACCAACCACTTTGGTTCGTATGGCGGCGACAACATGCTACCTCCGCATGAACAGAATAGTTTTCATGCCCAAGCTCAACAAGACAGCGGCATGCCTTCTGGTTTCGCACCTGCAGAGGATGCAGCTGGTAGTGGGAATGGCGCTTTCGACGCGCCTGGAAATCAGGATGCAGCAGTGTCAGACTTTGATGTTCGATCGTTTATGCCCGTAGGCCTCAATTTTGCGTACAACTCTGAGGGTATTCAAGAGATTGGGGGACCGAGTACAGAGCCTGAAGTTTTCTCCCAGCAGCAACCTTCATTTTTCGGAAACGGGATTTTTCAGCCTCCGCCTTTTGTCAATCTCTATGATGTTGGGGGAGGGCTTTTCGACGAGCCGGAGGAGGGCACAGATGCTGTGCCAGAAGTGGAGAACGACCCTCCCGCCGAATTTGTTGATCACGAGTTGCAGGACGATTTCGCACCGGAGGCGGAAGTACTAGAGCAAGACCCATTCCCAGACAATGAGAATGATGACGCACATGACCACCACGACGCCGAAGGTGTTGAGCTCGAAGACAACGTCAAAGCCCAGGATGTGAATGATCATGAGCTAGGACAGGACGATGAGGAGCAGAACATTGAAGGAGTAGAGAGCCTTCGCCTGCCTTTTCCGTCGGATGAGATAGTCTCCAGTTTCGTTGTCGATGACAGTTTTTCGCTGACTCCTGCTTGCAGCTATGAACCTCCCGAATACTACCCATTTCCGGAGCCTCTGCCGGCGATGATGTATCAGCCTCAATTTCCGATTCATGAAGATGAATTTGCATCCGGAGCTGGCCTTCACCAGGAGGAGGCCAACCTCCATCAGGAAGAAGTCAATGAGGCTGAGGATTTCCCTGACCTGGCGGAGGATGAGTCTATTTTCATGGATCATGGAGTAGATCTCAATGACTATCGTGATGCTGGTGCGCTCTCGTCTCAAGACGAGGAAGTGTTACCAGAAGACGAGCAAGTAGGAGAGGCTTTCGATCACCAGCCACACCAGTATGATCCATTTCTTGATGAAGGACACCCCCACCAACAGATCATCAACAGCGAAAGAGAACCGCACGACTCACAACTAGTGCAAATGGAGGACAATGGCCTATTTGAGGAGTACGTTGAAGCGGGTAGTGCATTACCAGAAACATCACAAGAAGAGTACATCGATGCGGCAGATGCTGAAATGGTGAGTGGCGAAGAGGATGGAGGAGAAGGAGAAAACAACAGTAGAGAGCTAGCATGAATGAGGTCATGATCTGCATGTAATGGATTCGATCCATTTCAAAACCATTCCAAAGTTTTTAAGGCCATCAACATAAGAAACTAGTTCGTAAAAAGTGATTGACGTCGTTGGATGAAAAAATTTTGCAAAGATAGTGTACTTAATTGCTTACGAAGAAGGATAAGCGACGATGGAAGTGTAGTAAAGAAAACTATCCATGAATACTTGTTTTTTGAGAAGGATGGAAGTAGAACTTTATTTGTTCCCAAGTGCTGCTTCCACGAAGTCGAAGTAAGTTGCACTAAAAGTTTTCTCGTTTTTGACAAATTTTCCTGCGCGTGCACAGTTTCTTTTAGGAACAGCCCGCTGATACGAGGACGTGTGAACTAGACCACAAAATGCCAAGCCTGCGATAGTCGACACCCCCTGCGAACCGACAAATGTACCTCCATGATTTCTTAAACGAAAAACTTGTCTTCAGTTTTGAAAAATCCAGCTTGGAAAAGGAAGCGATCATAAGGATGTCAACTTTCGTAGTTCGACCGCTGTTCAGACAGAACTAGATGGCTGTAGCATGTTGTTGACTAATAAATTGAAAGAGCGGAAAACGGAAAAGGAGGAAGCAACGAGCTACTAACGGGGCACACTCTACTAGGCCAAAATAATGCACCAGAAAAGAGAAATCTAGGTGATGAATTGCAAGAGAGGGCGAGATAAGCGGTGTGGAGCAGAGATGATGTACGTGCTATGTATCTATCCTTTGAAGAACTAATTCTTCTATATTTATTAAGAACCTTCACTGATCACTAGATACTACTTTTGCTTCCAGCTGCAAAATCAATTCAAGGATGCCTTCGAATTCTCGCCGGAGACGCCGGCTTTCGCGGCGCTCGTGGCTGCTGCGAAAGCGGCGGGGCCTCGTTGCCTTACTCGGTGTGCATACTGCGAATGTCGCAGCTGATGCGCCAAATCGTTTGCGGCGGGAAAGACCTCGTAGACGCGCGGACGCAAATACAGACCGGGAAGTCGGAGAAGACGACCTCAAGGAGGATCAGGCTTACCACGTTACCGTTGATGGCGCGGCACAGGAATTCGAGGACGAAGAGGGCCAACATGATAGTACCTCCTGCATATAGAATATCTAGAGGAAGTCGGGGGCCAATGCTATCATGCGAATGATTCTGGACTTCTCTTCTCGCCTGTTCATAGTTACTCAGTACAGGTGATGTTCCATCAACTACAACATTGATTCTCATCGAGACATTTTGTTATCTTGAAGAAACAAACAGAGAGGTGCTGTCGATAATGGTGCACAACGTGATCGAAGTATCGCCGACCCTGTGTCGTTTTCAGAAAGAGCAACGTCAGACGAATTAGGCCCTCGCAGGGGACGTCGTCATTCCTCGCATCGTGGGCGACGCAAGAAGAGGAAACGCCGCTCCACCCAGGATGTTGAGCATTGGCGTAGCGACCACGAGAGGCACCCAGCCCAGCGCGTTTCGGCAGGGGCAGAGAACGGCAGCGATGTTGGGAATAACGAGCTTGTTTTTCAGGACGAGGACAAGAACTATGATGGTTTTGAAGATGGTGAAGACGCTGAGTTTCTTTCGGATGATGGAAGTGGAAATGAAGAGCAAGGACGTGAGGGTGTGGAGGGTGACATCGCCTCATCGCACGCCGACGAGCGGATCCTCGACCGCGCTAGTAATGAGACAGATGATCATAGCAATGCCATAGCGTCTTCTCACCACTACCGAAGTCATGCAGCTTCTGGCACTCCTGGTGTTGGCACATCTGTTCTCCAGCAGGATGCGACGCCAGAATACACCTCTTCAAGCGCAGCAAAGACAAAGATAGAGCACGTCCCAAATATGGTAGGTCATCGCCATCACGCTCCCAGAAGTCGTCGACGGAGTACGGTTGCTACAGAATCTTCTTCCAAAACGATCTCAGGTCGAGCAGCCAGAGAATTTATTCAACAGCATGACGAGACGCATCTTTTTGAAGAAGGCAATAGGGACGTCGATAACGATCATGCGGTAGCAAATAAAGATTCATCTGATTCCAGATCTCACAGTCGAGCTACGGCGGCAGAAATAAGATCACAACTACATAAGGAAGTACAACCAGCATATCTTCGAGAAGAGGAGAGCAGTGGCACTGGAATTCATCAACAACCTCATCAGCATCTTCTTCATCAGAGTGGAAAAGAGTCTGTGTTACAACAGAAGCGAAAAGTACCATCTGACTTTGGTAAAGTTGTGTACACAGTAGAGGACCACGAGCTGCTGATGGCGAAATATATAGAAGAGGCGACCGAGAAAAAATTTCTGATGCGGTATATGAAGCCAGTGCCTTCAAGCGAAAGCACCATCACGACGTTCCCTCTCTAGTATGGCACAAACGAAATCAGAAACCAGATTCTCATTGGAAATCTTACCTCATCTAGGATTGCAACTACTAAATACTAGATAAGCTCCTGCTGCGGGCAGCTTCGTTTCTCCTTTGCTTTTTGCCCCCTTCATCTTTCCATGTTGTTGACCACTTCCTGCCAGCACATTTCATTTTTCCATGTTAATCCCATCTGCAGGCGATGAGTTTTGGTCACCGTTGGCTCAGGAGTTCGTATTTCAGATGGCGCAACGAGGATTCGTGGCTGCAGAGATAGGTTATGATCGCTCGTGGGCACAGTGGGATGCGAGTGATGTTAAGGCTTATTCGTTGAGGATCTCTTTCTTCTATGTATGTGAGTATCTGTATGTTCCGAATCAACCTTGATCTTAAGTGAGAAACTTAGCATGTTGAATCTTCCATAATATTAAGAACCCACTCAGGCTGTACTTAAAAAACTTCTTCTCGTCTGGGGGCATGAGCCAGATGAGTCTTCAATCATTTTCAGATTGTTGCTGCATCTTCCAACATCATATTGATCATCCGTTGCATCAAGTGCTAATCATATGTGCAAGGCCGAGTTACGGGCAGCCGATCTATTTGTGGAAAAAGAGGGCAGCGCGTTGAGCACACTTTGTGCCATGACGAGTTTCGTAGATTGCTCAAAAGGTGTAGCCGTCCATGGCATCGGGCAAGGAGCCTACATGACACACTGGGCAAAAGCTATGGTATCTGCAATACAAGTAGTACCAGTTAATGCAGTTTTCTTTACAAGAACGATGTGTTAAGTTTCCTTTTGAGAATGATGAATAGACACTTCCAAGTACTTTCCGATACTTTCTTGACATACTTGACAGAGTTCTCTAGTGACGGCCGCCTTATTCTTTTCTATGGGAGACGGGCGACATACCAAATGGCCGACAACTGAGTGGGGCGACTCATCTGCTGGATCTGCCAATCCGGATTGCTACAGCAACCGCGAAAATAAGCTGGACGCAAAGAATCGACGTTATCTCGCAGGTGAAGACGATCAGTACATCGCAGGGACGCCCCGGAGAAATCTGAACGCGCTGAAAGGTCTCAGTGGATACGACTGTGCGGACTATTCCGACTGCCTGCAGATAGATGGAAGCGGTTATTTCCTCGTTTCGAAAGAATTTTACCATGACAGCTCATGCAAGCAGGCGCCGCATTACTTCTTCCAGGTACCTGGTTTTTTGTATGGTTGTTTGCGGGTCATCTTGAGTCGCCGGGTGATCCTTTTTGTAGAACTGAAAACTGATAATATGCTCACTCGTTACAGCCATTGCCACTGTAACGATTGCTGCACATGATGTATCAGGTGAGGAGGTCTGTTCTTCGATGCAATTGACCACATTTATCAATCATTATTCCAGGAGCACTATGCGCTGAAGGACGGGCATATACCTGTGTGTCAGTTTCTCGGCAAGGGACGATGGATGCTCGAGGCGAATATGGAATGGTTAGCGCAGCGATCACAGTTTGCCTATACGGAAGTTGCTGCATACACGATGCCTCTCTACCCGAAGAAAATCGGTAGATAGAATCAATTGTTTTCACTTGCACAGTAGCGAAGCTGTTCCTCCTGCTAGGCCGCTCAGACTCAACGTGGATACTGGTTGTTTCGTTTATTTTACACATTCCAGTAAATCTTCATCTTAATTCCTTCAACGAACCACAGAGCTTAAGTGTGCGCTGTGCCCAGCTGCCGAGGAGGATCTGTTTTTCCGGACGATCGCGAAAATAATTGTGATGGTTACTTATGGTGTCATCGCTCTCATTGCGGTGCTTGGAATCGTGGCCAAGAAATTGCGGTCACGACGATTCTCAAAACTTATAGGCAATTCTGGATTGCCTCCGATACCCTTTCACAATCACGAGATCCCGGTCATGCAAGTCGCAGCAGCGCAAGGCGCGACTACGTCGAGTCAAGCTCGCCTAGTCGACCGCCGGGAGGTACCAGAACCGCAGACACTGGAAGGGCAGAAACGCGTCTCGTTCAACGGCGGACCCGATGAGGTATTTAGAAGCTATTGAGGGTGCTATTAGAAGCAGCTAATTTAGATTTACCTCAAATAGACAACAATTTTACCATCGGTGAGGAGAGCGGTAAAAATATCTATGCCAAACCAATTAAGTACAAGAACAGTGGAAAAATGTTGCAAGAAGAGGGGCCTCGTCCACAACTCTATCCAGGTTCGTGCTTATCCGGACCCTGAACTGTCGGAGCAAATGCGTCTGCAGTTGCAACAGCAGCAAGAAATCAAGGACCAGCTGGCGAAACAGACAGAGATGTTAGGGCTTGAATTCTGAACCAAAAGCAAGGGAAGTTTCTAAGTATATACCAGAGGAATCGTTGTGCTTGTTCTTGTTTGTAAGCCGTGTCAGCTCTAGCGTGCCGACTGATTATCGATTTTCGTTCCACGATGTCGTAGCTCTAATCATGCAGGAGAAGTTGCAAACGCAGCAGGCGGAAGAATTAGAGAAACAGCAGCGGGAGATCCAGGAGAAGCTGAAGCAGCAACAAGAAGCGGAAGAGGAGCGGCAAAAAAAAATGCAGGAGGAAATGAAGAAGCAAGAGGAGCTGCAAGCGCAGATGCGGGAACAGCAGAAAAAACTGCAAGAACAACAAGAAGAGGCTCTGAAGGCGGCGCAGGCAGCCGCCGCCGCAAAAGCGCAAGCAGAAGCTCTGGCAGAAGCGGCGGAAGAGAAAGAGCAAGCTTACGAACCAAGTACAGCTACGGTCTACTTCGGGAACGACGAGGACGGAGCTAGTAGCGGAGGCCTCCAGGGAAGTTTCAACCTTGCGGGAGGTAACGCCGATGCTGGAAATATGTTCGGATCTATGGGCGGTCAAGTGGTGGTGGATCCTGGAGGCTTTGGTTCGGCAGCGGGTGGTGGTTTTGCTCCTGATGCAGGCTTTGGGTTCGGCAATGCGGACCAGGGAACCTCGCGTGGCTCGGTCGCGATCGGTCAAGGCATGCCTGGTAGTATGATGGGAGGCTTCGGCAACGTTAGCCCTCGTGACTTTGGCAGTCCTGGGGATGCCTCTTTCGGAACTCCTCTGGACGAAGGACAGCAAATCGTGGTAAGCTCGCAATTCAGTCTTTTGAATTATGCAGCAGTTTCTTATGGAATTCGAATTCCTCGTTTATTGATATCCACATCTGATCTGACTATCGTTTTTCAGCTTAACCAATCTCATACAACTTAATACAGTTTCATAGAGGATTTCACTTTAATTACGACTACCGTTCTAAGAGTATCATTAATTTTCCTTTCATCTACTTCGTTCCACAGTCGTTGTCTGAAGTCCGATACTTATAAAACAAAATCAACAGCGTACAATGATGCAAATATTTGCTCCGGATGGAAGCAGCCGGAGTGCAGGTCTCGATTTCGCCAAAGACTGGTCAGTAAAAAGCGTTGAAGCCGGAGGCCAGGCAGCCGAGCTTGGTATTCAGGTGGGTTGGCAAATGCTCGAATTCAACAAGGTTCCCGTGGAAAAGGGATTCAAACTCAAGACTGTCAAGCGCGCATTGATTGAGAGTGGGGCCAACGAGTACGAAATTGTTTGGAACCCAGCACGGCCTGGGACAACGTGAAGGTCCATTTTGGGCTACTGAAAACAAAAATTCGATGAAAACTTTCCAATCGTACATCCAGATTAAGTTTAGTTTCGTGTTGTAGTTGAGGTATTCCCATGACAAGAACGTCTTTTGAAGCGTAGCTTACAATGCGGAGGAAAGAGAGAGACAAATGAGCAACTTCCTGCGTAAATAGTTGTACAGCGTAAATTGTTGTACACTAGAAGCACGCAGCATGAGCCGCGCGTTGAGCAGTATTGTCTAAATCGAATCACAACGAAACGGTGGAGAAAATTGAATAGTTCAAAAGCTAGCACTTGCAAAGAAGTAAAGCCACGAAATATTTCCAAGAAACCACGCAAAGCAGGTCCGTCGACGGAATCGTTTACATCTGATGTCAATTCTGAAAAACAGACAAGAGGAATAGAAGACGTTATATATAAAAGCACCATAGGTTTCTGGTTTGGTGATATTGGAAGAAAAATGAGAACTGGTAAAGCTACGTTACCCTCGTTCATAAACTTCGATTAAACGATCATGATGTTGATCAACTCTACAAGTATCTGAAAGTGTTCATTATCGCCGAGTAGAGGTCATGATATTGAAGACGAGAGTTTGACAAATGATTTTTGAAGATGTTGTTATTTTCACTAGAAGGCCAGCAAAAATGTTTCCTTTCTGTCTCCTATCTGATTAACAGACTGATAGGTGGATCCCTCAGGCAGCTGCTAATGGTTGGTCAACCAAATTTTTGATTTAGAAGTTCTATGGCTATGCCCATTTTTTTGTAATCCTTTTTGCGTTATCGGCGCGCTCCCGAAAAATCTGCAAACAGGCTGAGAAAGACAAAGACTTTAATGTAACGATGCAAGAACTACCCCTCCCCCGTGATTCCATCAGTTCTTGTTTCTCTCTTTTTTTTTGCTCGATAATTCTCTAAGGCGGCTTTTCTTTAGGTCCCTCCACAAGAACTCTTGTTGGTAAAATGTTTCCCCGACTAAATTTGCATTTAGCAAGGCAAACAAGTTGCAGTCCTTGGTGAGCTTTTCAAAGAAAGTGAAAATGTAGTATGGTGATGCCCTTGCAGGTGTGCGAAGCAGTGCGTACTGTGTAAACCGAAGCAAGATGCTAGGAGTACAGATCGATCATCCGAACGCGAGCATCACTGCGCACAGAGCAGGTCATTGTTTGACTCGATTATCCTCCGAAATTTAGAGAACTCAAGCTAGCGATTGTAGTGCCGACGTTCTGCAGATCACCGTCATTCAAATACTGACGATTTACTCTCGTCCAGATCGCAATCTGCAACTTAATACCTACGGAAGTCGGAGCTCAAATCCGAGTCGGCTAACATCATCATCCACAGAGACCAAAAGAAGCGACAAAATGAAGCTGAATATCAAGGCAGTTCGAAGCGGGCAGATTAATCTGCACTCAAAAGAGGTGGCTGATACATCAGCGCTGACGGTCATGGAGTTCAAGCAAGAAATCAGTTCCATTGTATTAAGCACTTACGGCTTTCCGATTCCGTATAGTAACGGAAACGGGATTTGATAATAGGCATCTATCGACATACGGATCCTTGAGCAACATAGAAGACGTAGATAATTCAAATTCTGGATGAAAATAGGCATACGAAATGTCTTTTGACACGCAACCTTCACTCCAATTTTTTCTTTAGTAACACGACATCATAGAAGCTTCCTGGTTTTTATAATGATCAGGTTTCTCTTCCTGCGGAGAATATTCGTCTCGTCTGCGAAGGCCGTGTCCTCGAGAATCAGTACGCTCTCTCCCACTACAATCTCGTGGATGATTGTACCATCCACTGTCTCGAATATGTTCAGCAACAAGCACCTAGCAGCGCCTCGCAGGTCCTCGACCCGAATCCGCAGAGCCAACAAGAGGAGATGATGGCCAGCTTGATGAACGATCCCATGATCGAAAGCATGATGTCGTCACCCGAAATGATGCAGATGATGATCCAGATGAATCCGCAACTGCAGCAGATGTGCGAACAAAATCCCGACGTGCGGAGGATATTGGAGGACCCGGAAACGATGCAACAGAGCATGCGGGCTATGCGGAATCCACAATTGATGCGTGAGATGATGCGGAACGCGGATAGAGGAATGGCAAACCTGAATACTATTCCAGGAGGCGAGGACGCGCTCAGGAGGTACATGAGAAATTTAGTAGCAGGTGCTCAAGAAATGCAACTACAAGTGAGGTTGAGGACTCTAGTGCTACAGTAATATATGAGAATGAGGGATAAACCTGCAAATAGATTTTCAAGAGATGGAATCAATCGGAAAGCTGGAGATTTAGATTTAGAGGGGCTCCCGCCTCAGTCCTGCTTTTTTTTGTATGCCAAGATCGCCGACAGGGTGATCCCAGTGATATCCGGCGTGCCTGCCGGAGCACTAAGACCAGCGCCACCAAGGCAAAAACTGACAATTCAGGTTACACAATGAGATCGTCGATCCTCTAACAGACGCAATGGCTTCAGGCAGAGAGGGTGGCGCGAGTGCGGAAAGCGCAGCCGACAGATACTCGCAGAATGAAATACCAACGGCGCCCTTGGCGAATCCTTTTGATCAGTCACGGAACCAGCCGGCGGGCGGAGCGGGCGCGGGTGCAGGGAGTACTTGCTATTTTACATTTATCGGATGACTTTTTTGATGAAAAATTAGAGATTTGCTAATCTTTGTTTTTTTGTCTTCGTTGTCTGGTCTCCGCGCCTTTCAAATTCAGAATAGAGTCCTTATGTTTATGATCTTATTCTAACTTTAACTATGAATTTTTATCGTGTTTCAGGACCAGGCGCTGCGGCACCAGGTATGGGTGGAGCGAATCCATTTATGGGCATGGGCATGGGTGGAGGCCTCAGTGGTATGGGTGGCGCAGGTACGTCCCCATTCGGAGGATTGGGTGGCGGCGGTCTCTTCGGCATGCCACCTCCACCTGCAGGTGGTGCAGCTCCTGGCGCGCCAGGTGCAGGCGCTATGCCTTTTGGGAACCTGGCAAGTCTTTTCGGAAGTCTGTCAGGAGGTGCAACATCGAGCACAGCTAGTAGGGCTCCGGCAGGGGATGAATTCAAAATCGAATTCAAGTACTCACTTACGCGTTACGTATCATCTCGTTTGAAAAACTCAAGATCAAGATGAAACAAAACTACAGGACCTTTCCATGCCATCGCTCTTAGTTACTTTTCTGAGATAATTCATTGTTCTTTTGCAGAATTTATTAGAGTACCTACACCTAGCATGTCCATGTTGATGTTTTGAGCTTGACCACTTAGTTACACACATTCGAAGCAAGTGAGGCCTCATTTCGTGCAACAATGAATCTTCGGTTCCATTTCGATCTTACCCGTGGCATCAAAAATTTCCTATTTCCTTCCTTTCCAGGTACCAACAACGCAGAATTACGCATATCTGTAAGAAGAGTTGTACTGTCCGGGATCTGAAGGGAGAGCTAGAGCCGCTAGTCAATTTTCGTCGAGTGTATGTGCGGTTGATCAAAGACGGCACTGTGTGGGACAACGAAAAAGTAGTATCCGATTATTTGCCGGCGTCATCCGCCACCACTGATACCCACACGGTCTACGTACTGAAAAACGTGGAAACCGGACAGCGGGAAGTGCCTTTATTACCCACTTCTCCAGCAGGACTAGCCGGGGGGCCGTTTGGCGGCGCACTTGGGGGAAGTGCGGGTGGTGCTCCCGGCACAGGTGGAAATGCCGATCTTCTCAATCTTTTGCTCGGGGGTGGTGCCGCAGGTGGTGCGGCAGGGGCGAGTCCTTTCCTGTTTCCACCGCAGCAGGCGGGCGTCGCTGGTTTGAACCCTTTCCCGGCTGGCGGTGGTGGAGGTTTGGGAACGATGGCCGCAGCCTTGGGGAACCCGAGGGACCGATTCTCGACGCAACTAGGCCAACTGCGGGCCATGGGCTTTGAAGACGAAGACCAATGTCTCAGAATACTAGCTGAAGTCGACGGCGACGTCTCAAGAGCCTTAGACAGGCTGTTCGGGTCTTGAAAAATCGTTCGTAGTCCCATGTTCAGTCTCAGATGGTCGTCATGGCAAAGTTGACTTACAAGTACGGGTCAAAATGATAACGAATACAACTACACCTAATATTTTTAAGAACTTAGTGTGTGTGTGTGGATGACACCAGTAGACACAATAAATATCTTCTAAGAAAGTATTGGTGCCCTGAAATTTTAGTTTTTGGGTTTGCGTCGAATGTTCTTCCTTTTGAGCAACAAGTTGGCAACCTCTCTGCTCGCCACAGCAGAGCTAAGTGGCCACAGTCGCAGCACCCGCACCACCTCAATTAGGTGCTTTATCAAGTAAATATTAACGCTTGTTCAGGAGGTCGCTTGTGTGCAGGTGGGTGACCATTTATTTGCCGAAACCGAAGGATACACCTAAAAACCTTTGTTCACATCGCTGGTTTACAAGAAAGAATGCAGTTCGTCGTGTGTGGAGAGAAGATATGAAAAAAAATGTTTGATAAGAATGGCACGGAATGAGTCATTTTGTTTGTCACAGTGCTTGTGCATGTTTCCGTCTCTTCGACGGACGTCATCTGGGTGTTCTGTTGGCGCCTGTAGGGAATTTTGAGTGACCGTTTCAGCGAAAGACCGAATGAAAAAAGCTATGTCCATTGGGACAGAATCTATGTATCGGAATTTGATTCTTCTGCAACGATGAATACGTGAGGAAAGGGGGATCGTCACCCACTTTGACCGATGATGATAAATTTCACATTCAATTAAGAGATAAATCAATGGCTACAAGCGTTTTGAAAATCAAAAATGTCGTTTGCTATAGATGATCCGTCCGATCAGCTCCAGCAAGAGGTTGGCAGTAGTACTGGTTCTGCGTCACACAACATATTCTTGCCGTCAAGATCATCGGCGAAGGCCTTCGGACCAGCTACGTCTGTCTCTGGAGCGCGCGATGTCAGTTCGCAACTGCCGAAACGGGTATCAGTAAAGAATTTTGAAAAAAGTAGCTTTCGAACAAGTAGCTTGTCGAGATCACCGGGCGTACGGAATATACGATCGTCGCCGGCTTCGTCGAGGCGCTCGTCGTTGACCTATCGGAGCAGTATGGCTTCTTCCGGTGTCACGAGCCTGACATATGAGAGCAGCATGGACGATGGTGATCCTGGAGGCGGAGCAACGGGGTCGTGTGCGACAGATGGGATGGACGTAGGGGACGACGACGGCAGCAAGGAGAATGAAGCCAACAAGACGGAGTCGCATGATGGTAGGTTAAGGAAGGGCTGTGATGCCGACGCGGCGCGCGAGATAGGCGGCGCCTTATGCAGTGAACGTGGGAAAAAGCGTTCGAGAGGCCGCAACGGGGGTCCAAAAGCGCGGTCTGAGGAAACGCCGCCAACGAATTCACTGTGGTCTGCGTGTTTTTCCCGCTGTTTTCAAAGATGCATGCCGGCCGATGTCGATGACGTGGCCGAAAAGAAAAATCGAGGAGAACACGGCGAAGACGCCACTCAGGAGCCGCTTCTTGCTGATGAAGCAGGTTTGTCACCGTTCCTTTGCATTTCTAGTCCATTCGACGTAGCAACATCAATGGAAATCAAGGGATGATTTTGACTTTCGTAGCACGTACAACTCCTGATCAAGAACAATTAGTACATTTCTGCAGAACCTCGGTTATCCATTTAGATCAAGTCTGTCAACGCGAGCGAGAATCGAGAGTATGAGAGAGAGAAAGAGAGAAACACAGAGAAGTGAGAGAACGCAAATCAGCCTGAAAAACGTGTTTGTTTACTCTTATCGCTATCAGGAGAGGGTCATGAAAAGAAAAAGGGCGCAAAACGAAATCCCTCTACGCACGACGATAGGTGCTCAAGAAGGCGGCGCATCAGTAGCGGCACGGGTAAACGAAATATCAGGCGGAAGCTTAGCGGAGTCTCAGACAACCGTTGCTCTGGAAAGCTCTCTCCAGACAGTGAGGCCAGGGACTTTTCGGGTGGCGAGCCAAGTCGTGGAGCATCTCAAGCAACAACCAACGTAGTGATGTCATCAAGCAGCTACTTTCTGCTCTGCGTCGCCCTGACCTTCGTGCATACGCGTATCCTTTTCGCCAAAGACCGCCTGCTGCTTTACCGTGAGCGTCCACAGGGTTTCTGGAGAGCGCAGTGCGTCCTCTACCTGCTACTTCCACTACTGGCTCTCGTCGTTATCGGTGCTGGACGAAGAATACCATGGGTGCGTGTTCACGCGCCAAAAACGTTTTTCTTAGAAGGAAACCGGGAGGAAGTTGACGCGCGTCTTCGAAAAGCCTTGATCGACATTCTCACCAGTCCTGACGCGATTACAGACAACGGAGTTCCGTTGGAGCAACAAAGAATTGGTATAGATACTAGTAAAAGAAGATTTGGATTTCGTTACATTCTAAGCAATAATTACAGTTCGTAGCTCTGAATGTGAATCGGAAATAACGTCGATATAATTTGATTGTACTTGCTGTTGCGCTTGCCATCTTCAGCAGCACTTCTCTTAGACTAAGCAAGGCACGAAGATGAGATGCAAGAACAAAAGGAATTCAGCATTGATTTGGGCACGGCGCCTTTATCTTGATTATTCGAAGCACAAATTTTAGTTTGGGTGACCTCAAGCTCAACTACACTATTAGTTTTTAGAAAGCCATCAGGCTCCACGTCTATCATTTGAAGTTTGCACGACAGGTTCCGAAGCAACACCAGCTCAGAGTGGACAGCTCCAGTCCTTACAGCTGGACCTGCATGCATCGACTTTCGGAACGTGGCGTCATTGGGTGAGCCTTTTGTTAAAAATGATCACCATGTACGTTGCAGAGCGCGATGACACACTGCTGATGAATTTCGTTCTTACGCTCGGCTTTGCCTTAGGATACCGTTTTTTTCGAAGGTTGCAGGCTGATTCTGCGAGTGGTAGGAAATTGTATGTTTTGAAAGTGCTAGGCGCGCGTCCGTGGGCGTACTACCTGAGTGCGCTTGGCGCTTGGGGAATCTTTGCGAACGTGGTCTTTGTTTGCACGCTGCCGGTTTTACTTTACTGTGGCAACTACCTTCCGCAGCCATGGCAGAATTACATTGAGACACCAGGCGAACTGCGATACCCTGCGCGCGTGCGAGCACTTTTGGCACAGGAGTCGCATTTCCTGCATCAGGAGGTTCGCTGTCGCGACTTGCTCTCTGTGCTTAGGGAAGGCGGAACAACGACTCAGCCGGCTGGCGCCGCCAACAATGCCACTGAAGCATTTTTATGGTGTGCTAATTATCTGAAAGGACGAGATCATGGAACACTGCTTGATTCTGAGACACTGTCGGAAATTGCGTTTCAACGTCTGCGGGACCTCGATAGCTTTGTAGTGGAGTACACAAATAGCTTGGGCACCAGATCCCATGGAATAGTCGAGGAGTACGACGATGAGGCTGCCGGCTACTGGTTTCTGTTTTGGAGCTGGCGACGACATTGTTGTTGGCGCAACATTCAAAATTTCGTTATCGGCACGCTACCCCGACTACTTCTACTCGTCACAGCGTCTTTGCTTTTCTTGCTGCAATGCAATCTCATTTTTGGCGCGATTTTTTCTCTCTTCTTCCCAAAAAAAGTGGGTCCAACCCGACTACTGCTTTTGACGATCGTCTTCGTCAGTTTCGCCTTCCTCAGCTTCGATGGCCAGAACAGAAGTCCGATGGATGCCAGTGTGCGTGATGATGGGTATGCTGAGTTCTATCCGCCCGCATTGACGGAATCTTGCTTAGAAGCCACGACTCTCGATGACGGACATGGCGAGCAAGATGGACGGTTGCTTCACCCGGCGCTGGAGATGAGTCGTGGTGCTGATGCCGCCACATCTGGAAGGGCCACGGCCTCCGTAACGCTGCAAACGCTGCCACGAAATTTGAATGCGATACTGTTCCCGCGTCGGCACATGCTATTTGGTGAAGAGTTGCAGGAATATGATCTCTACAGCGAGTTCCTTGATCGCGTACAAGAAGAACGAGAGCGCCTGGCGCCCTCCCTGGGTGACATGGCGTGGACTTTTTTCGGTAAAAACATCGAACGTGTTCTCCGGTGGATTGTCGACGACCTCGCTACAACGGTGACGGGGTATGATTTCTTGGACGAGGAGATTGACGTCCTCGGAGACGTGCAGCGATCGCGGAATCAGATAGGCGGTGCACAAGCTAATTCGTCGTCAGCGTCACAGAATAGAACTACGACTGAGAGTACAACCGGGAAAATCGGACCTGAGCTCCCACCTCCGTTTTCGTCGTCCGCGCCACGGCGTGCGCAGAGAGCTTTTCTTCGTTGCGAAAGGCGGGAGAGATTGCGATGGCTCTCAAGTTTCGATATTCAACCTCAACCTGCGTCACGACGAGAGTTTGTCGATGGACGGTTGTGGTGGTGGAAAGTGCAATACCTGGCGCGGATGGTATTCTGGCCACATTCCTGCCTTTTTCAGATTGTCACGCAGGTTGTCGCAAGCGAGCCTCCTAAGCAGCTTGTTTTGCTGCAGAGTGCGTTACGAAACGCGAAGCGCCGTGAAATTGAGGAAATCCTGCGTCGTACTTCATCGTCGTTTGCGTTACTGGCGCAAGCCTTCTCTAAAACCAGTCTCACTCGCCGTCAACTAAACACCACCAGCATCGCGGACCAGAGCTCGCTTGATCCAGCTGGCGGTCCCGGAACCAATGGCGCAGATGGCGGTGCTGCGTCTGCAGAGAACGTGGCAATCAAAGAAGAGATTCAGTTGCCAACTTTTTTCAACTTTTTTTGGAGCGATTGGGCCATGGTTCTGAACGGATCAGCGTATTTGAACTTGCAGGTGCTTCCACACGATGGGATGTATTTGTATGGACTGTTTTTCGCACAGATTCTTTCAGTTGTCGTTTGGCTGTTTGTTTGGCGCGCGGTTGATTGGTACTTGGACTTTCGCCGTTCCCGTGCGACTGTAGTTATGGGCCAACGCGAATTACCATCGGCGAAAACACGTGCAGTGGGGATGAAACGTCCTCGTAACAATAGCTGTGTTCAACAGCTTCCACCGTTTAATTATTCCGGACGACGTTCTTCAGGGACGGCTACGCCAGAGAATGCACCCAAAAATAGTAGAATTGAAGTGCGTGATTTGTGTGTGACCTTTCGCGAAGAAGGCGACTTACTCGTGCCAGCGGTTGAAGGAATCGATTTCGAAATCCAGGAAGGGGAGCTTTTCTGTCTCCTTGGACACAACGGCGCAGGCAAGAGCACGACTATTCAGGTGCTCAGTGGCTTGTTAGAGCCTTCTGCTGGATCGGTGTCGATTTTCGGAAGGCATATTTTCAAAAACAGGCGATCTAGAAGTTCTCGAAGGCGACATTTGGAGCTTCATGAAGACGAAACCAGCATAGATGCGATGCGATGCGCGTTGTCGACCCACGACGCTGCTGGCGGTGAACGCCTTACCCCTGCGCACCAATTAGTCGGCCTGTGTCCGCAGAACAACTTGCTTTTCGATGACCTTACTGTACGCGAAGCCCTTACCGTCTGCTTCGAGCTCCGAAACTGGCAAATACAAATGGTTGATGATGTTCTTGCACCAGGTGACTACGTCAATGATAAGAAAAGTAAAGTGCTGTTAGAGCAAGGGGAGACCACTAGGAATGTCGACAATCAGCAGCAAAAAACTTCTAGAGGTCGAAAGCGGAAGCAGAAGACGGACAATGCACTGTTGTCGTTTTCCCTCGTCCGCCTTTTCGACGACGTGGACAAAGAAGTTGGTCGCCTGATCGCGGAAGGCGACTTCCGTGAGCCAGACTCGAAGCTATGCGGCCAACTGTCAGGTGGATGGAAACGCAAACTGTGCTGCGTGATTGCCTTCTGCGGAAATCCTGAACTAGTTATTCTGGATGAACCAACGTCGGGGATGGACCCTGCGAACCGACGAGCAACGTGGGACTTCTTGTTGCGTCGCAAACGGAAAAGCCTGAAAAATTCGTGCTCTATTCTCTTGACGACGCACCACATGGATGAGGCGGATGTGTTATCTGATAGAATCTGCATCTTGAAGGACGGGGCAGTCGAATGTCTGGGAACTACGCGGTTCCTGAAAGAAAAATACGATTGCGGATACGAACTGACAGTGATTCTCCAGGATGGCACTGCTGTGAAAAAACCCAGCACAACTGGAGATCGAAGTACTTCAAGTTGTGCCAGGAACAAGTTGCTGGAGCGTCGTGAAGTGAGCCCGGGACATCTTGTAGTAGAGGAAGGTCGCAAAGGGAGACGGGCATCGTCTGTTTCTCCGCGTCAGTATCATGAAATCGAGCGACGAGACCAAACAACGCGTCGCGCCAGCCATGATATTTTTTTCCATGAGCACACTTCTCCAGCAGCTCGAGGTGGAGTCACGCTGCACGAGAAATTTCAGAGATGGACAGCTTTCTCTTCTGAACAAAAGAACGCTTCGCGAGATACTCGGAGGTCATTCGCCGAAGTTGGGAGGTGCAAGGAAAGCCTTGACGACTCTACGGAATGTACCGGGGTCTCTTCGGTTACAGAATCCTCACTAAAAGGGGCGAGGACGCCCGGTCTTTCCTCAACAAGTTTTGCAGATTTGTTTACGGACGCCTTGTTGCTAACTCTTTACCGTCACGTTCCGCGGCAAAGCGTCTCTCTTCTCATCGTGCGGCCAGATCGTGAGTTCCGTATGAAATTCCCAGTCCCAAAAGATATTTCAGCTCTGTTGGACGATCTGGATCGCGTCAGCGGGAAGCTTCTGAGAGGGGCCCGGAGAAACGTCGACTTCTCACTCGATACGGTGACTATTGAAGACGTTTTCCTCAAGGTTGCGGAGCGACGGCGCAAGGAGAGAGATGATAGCAAGTTGAAGCAAGAAAGCGATGGAGGTCAAGAACACGCGTCGGAAGTAGAGCAGGCACTGGAGGAACCCTTGTCTAGTTCATCGTGTTCACGAAAAGACAGAGACGATATGAGGAGGAATGGCCTGATGGTTCAGCGTGTCACTAGAGAAGTCGGTTCTTTCGTTTTCGAGGTGGACCGAAGTACGAAGAGAATTAAAAGCAAGCGCGAGCCAGCGTTGCGGAACTGCGCCGAGTCGTGCTTTTGCGCCGCCTCTAGGGCGTTTTCCTGGGCCTTCGAACGCCCGGCAGTGGATCAGTTCCGATGCATTTTTGGTCGTAGATGCCGAGTTCTTCTGGCGCAAAGAGGCGCTCTATTTGGGCTGTATTTTTCCTCACTTGTGATGGTACTTTTCTCGACGTACACGCTTTGGGTAGTGACTAGAATTTTTACTCTACCCGATGAAAGCGGGACGCTGCGATTGTTGGAGCCGGGGGTAGATCAAGCCGCGCCAATACAACTACACGGTGGGGCAGCTGTCGAACCAAGCGCAGGATCGTCTGGCTCTGCTCCATCTAGTGTTTCGAGTAGCTTTTCTGGTCGTGACTGGCAAACGAGAGTAGCTGAAGAGCATCTGCGAAGACTCTTTGGCGACTCGGAAACGCTGGAGAGGTTACTCGCGGTTCGCCTCCAGAATCCCGCTTTGCTGAAATTTGCGAATCGTGTAGCCTCTTTCATTTCGTCCTATTTCGTCATCATCTCAGTCGGAGTTTTCATGCTTTTTGCACAGGGCAACTTGGTGAACGTTTTGTGTTTTCGGTATGTGCGACTTTCTCTGGCTGTGCTGCGAGATGATTCTCGGAGTGGTTTGCGCGAGTTTTTTTTCGTGAACGGATGTCAACCCTGGGTTTATTGGACTGCAAATCTGGCTTTTGACTTTTTGTTTCTCACTTTGAGTGTCTTTGTATTTTTCTTGCTCTTCCACTTCGTGCCGATGGCGTTTCTTTTCCTGGGGGAGGACCGCATGGCCGATCCCTACGATGGTTGGAGGTTTTCGACGCCGTTTCTTGGATTTCAAGTCTTCTTCAATTTCAATGCGGAGCTGTACAAAGGAGCGGTGATCAGCCTCTGCGCTTTCCTGGCGTACCTGTATGCTCTTCACGTGCTCCTCTGCGAGTATCATCATCTGCGTCCTCGTTGTTGTGGTCGAAACGACCGGAAAAACGGGCCGGGATTCATACTGAGTTCATTGACGTCAAGCGCCACGTCCAAGGTGGGGCTTCGAAGATCGAAAGCGCGGAGGCGTTCCTACAAGCGCGGAAGACGCACCAGTTCGCACATTAGTTTTGATAAGGAACGACAGGGATGGCTGAAGGACAAACTCAGCTATGACCAAGACGATGATGAAGGTACCAGGTCAGCTTCAAGGAAAGAAAGCGGCTCGATTGCGCGAAACTCTGACGGATTAGATTTTCTGGACCAACGGCCGTGGCTAGAGGATTTGCTTTTGCCTGATGAAGCTCTGTCTGCACCTGACGAACAGACGAGCACGAAGAACACTGACCAGGGTGACTTCGACATTGAAGATCATGGTGACTCTCTGTCCTTGTCCTTAGCGTTCTTGAGCGAAGATGATGAAGAACGTCTTGTGGCCAAAGGCAAGGAAAGTGACGGTCCCCGCGGTGCTGCTTCGATATATCCCAGTCGAGCTGGAGGTCGACGCAAGTCAACATCCACTCGGGAAAAGCAATGCGCTTCTCAACGACGAACTGGGAGATGTGTTGACCGCACGTACAAGTATATTGTCAACTTTTTCAAGGGGTTTTTGCGATGCTTTGGTCGTTGTGTGGGTCGCATTTGCTGCCATCCACGGCATTTGACGCAAATGCAACGGTGGTGGCACCGGAGAAAAGTCGAGAGACGGAGTAAACAGAAGCTAGACGCAAAGAGAATGGCCAGACCAGACGGCAGTACCAGGAAGGTCAATAATATTGGCAGCATATCCATATGGCGTAGGTGTACGCGTAGTACCGAACAGAGCAGAAGGCAAGCTCATTTGGCAGACTACAAACAGTTCTTCTCGATCAAGGAGAGCAGAAGAGCTGATCACGAATATGACCATGACGTCGCTGACGTCTATCCAATTGCGAAACACCAGCCAGTTCGTGAGATTGTCAGACGCGACGCACTCGCAACAACGCGGCGCAATGGCGGGAAGTTCGGCTCTTGGACCGATTCTGAGCTGGACTACGTTGTCAAAGTCGTTTTTTTCGTGCACTATATTATTTTTTTCGTCATGGTGCTAGTCGAAGTAGTTGGAACTACACGTCGTGGTGCTAGCAGTACTACTGCGCCAGAGGATGGGGCGGGAGATTCCACGTACACCCGACGCTTAGAGATGAGTCGTTACGTGGAATCCCTCTACGCCGCGCTCGTAGGCGGAAGCGATACTGCCACGTATGCAGCCCGATCCTTGGGCGTCGGAGTATTGCATCCGAGTATCGCCGTTATGGGAAAGGCAATTTACTACGTCTGCTGTGCGTTGTTTCCGGTTTTTTACATCGTCAAGATTTGGATTTCTTGTGTGCTGTGGAACATTCTCACATACCAGTGCGAGATTTGCTCGCGTGTTGTGGATTTAGATTATACTACTATGGCAAACACTGTTGTTCATGAAGAGAAGACGCATACTTCTCCTCTGCCTAAGCGCTTCACTGTCCTCCAGCGCAAGACCCTGAGCGTCCTTGACCTGTTCGCTGGACGAGTATTACCCGAGGTCTGTTTTCAAAAGCCACTGCGCGTGCTGGGCAGGATTGACAGTGAGTACACGCGCGCGCGCCGTGACGCCTACAAGATTCGTGCAGTTCAAAAATACTTGCTCGGCGATCAGATCACGCTCCCTGAATTGCTAGATATACTGTTGCAGTCTGGATCATTGGACATCGGAGTAGTGGATTTTTTCCGATATGCTTTTCGCTGTTCGGCATTGCACTTTGAGCAAATGCGCACGGAGGAAACTTTGCTAACCGTTCAGACGACAAGCACCTCCAACGATGGTAGACGAGGACAACACGTACACGTAGTAGAACTGGGGGAACAGAAGGACAACCTGCGTCGCCAAATGTTCGCGGAGAGGCACAGGGCTTTGAGGACTAGCGATGATCGTGTAGACTTGACAACTGGTTCGTCGTCTGGTAGCGGACATCTTCCAGCAGGAGAAGATCACGTTGTAGCGGGAGAACTTGCGCAACGAGTACAGCAGGTTGTTTACGGCGGTCCCGCAACTCACTGGAGTGAATGGAGTTTTCGTTTGCGTAGTAGTGTAGATTTCTGGAGTCTTTTTCAAAGAAAATTCTATGCTCTCGACGGTGTGGGGAAGTGGCTTCTTCCGTCACTGCGAGGTAACAATCAAGTTTTTCGTACAAGCACTTCGCCGTCATCACAGCTTGAGTTTTTAGCGACGATGTCAAGGTTGCCTCGCTTCGCTCAACAGCGAACTGACGCTTTTGTATTCGCAAGAAGAAGGTCACCTCATAATCCATTTTCTGCAGGACACCGAGGTTCTCGTGGTGCGCCGGGTGTCTCCGTCTATGTTTTGCGAAAACAGTGCGTAGAGTTTTCAGGCCTAAATGATGTGGGGTTCAATGTTCTTACCACTGGGTCAACTGTTTCTGGAGAGTTTCGGTTTCGAGACACCTTATTCTTTCCATTTCGAAATGAGGCAGTCGTTCGACAACTTTGGCAGTTGCATCGCGTACTGCAGCAGCAGCAGCTGCAGCGCGGTCGCTGTGTGGGGGCGCGTTCTCCGCCGACTGAGCCGGCCTACTTGGCACAGAATGGCCCAGCTACAAATGGAACAGAGGTACATGCCCCAATATCAGCTGGAGCGACCGTCGATTCTTTCACCGAGATAGCAAGAGGACGAAGACAGCAAGTTAGTTACAACTCTCCTCAGGCTAGTGCTGTTCCTGTTGCTGCTCGAAGTTTTCGTAGCTATGAGCAGATAGAAACACCACTGAGAGACATGAGCTTTGGTGCAGAGTTTCAGAGATTTCGCAACAGGTGGTGGAATTCAGCTGTCCTGGCTCCGTGGAGTGAATTGCAAGACTACTCGGCTGAGTACTTGATCCAGAAAGAGACGGCAGTGCGGAAACACAAGAAGATGATATCCACACGAGGTAGTGAGACGAGTGGTCATGACGGAATCTGGTCCTGGCTTTGGCCGTGGGGAGCGGATAGGAATAGCAACTCTTCCGATGCAGCTCGTGCAGAAGAAGATATCGCGGAAGCCTGGCGTGTGCGACAGCGCCTTTTTGATACGATGCATCAGGAAGGCACGGTGGGAATGCGCAATAGCGGTCACTCATCAGCGGGGATGAGCGTGTTTGGCGGTTCTGACTACGGTATGCAAAAATGCTTGGAGGGTGATGGTGATGCGCGACCAGAGGGATCGGAAGAGAGCGCGTTGCGAGGAGCAAGCGGTAGCAGGCCAGAAGCTGTTAGAACCCTTACGACGCTAGGAGATTACTTGACCTTTTTAGCCGCGAACGAGGCCATGGACGGTATGAGGGCGCGACATACCCGCGACGACAAACGCGACCCTATCGGCAGCGATCTGGTGCCGGCGCCTGCGCAGCATGTCGATGCAGGTTCGCCAGAAATGCTTGCAGCAAAAGGAAGCAGTGAGCACGATCGACTGGCCGCCACAACAGACGGACAAGAGAGTATGCTTGCTGATTCCTACGGCTATGGCTTGGAGATTGATCACGTGAGGATAGCTGCCACATTGGCAAGCCAGCCTCATCCAGGCGCGGACAGGGAGCCACAGCAACGTCCAACGTTTACATCATTAGACCGAGAAAATACGGCAGGGGTAACGCCATTTTTGCAAGCTACAATGCAAACGCCCGAAGGTGGTCGAAGTGTCCGTGTCGATCCGCATAACGGAGCTCCTACACGGTTGTTAAAACAGCACGTGATTAGCCGAACCATTTCCGATTTCTTGGATGGGTTTGCCTTCATAGACCAAAAAGCACACATGCGAGCACATAATGTTCGATCCGGCGGACTGCTGACATACGAAACGAACGTCGTTTTCCTAGACGTGACTTCGACACTCAAGCAGGTCGTGCCTTCACTTCTGAAGCTGTACACGTGGATGCATCTCGTCCTAGTCGAGCATCTGCATTGCAACGGTCGTATATTTGATATCGTGGAAGCTGGAGCGACGCTCTCTGGAGGAAAGCCACTGGACGGGGCCCGCCGAATACTCGAACATGTTGTGGTCCCTGCACTTTTGTCTCACGAGCAGAAAAAAGACAGAAGTCAGGCACCAGCAGATCATCATGTGGTGCGCTTCCAAGAAAACGACGGGAAAAATCGCCAGGGATCGACTCCTAGAGGTGGCGCTTTGGTGCTCGAGCAACAGAGTCAAGAAACGGCGACTGTTGATGTGCAGCCAGGATTCATCACAGACGCGCCAGCACTTGCTACTGTAGAGTCAGGGAGCTTACTGCGGGGTGCAGCAGAACGAGATGGAGGTCTCCGAGCTTTAGGCATGTTCGACGCAGCGCATTGGGAAAACGCAAGCACACGTGAAGAACCATCGATCACCCGACTCTCGGACGATGAACTAGTTGACGTGGCTACTCATACAGCTTGGGCCAGTATGCAGTTCGGCGAGCATTTTGTGCCTTTCCACTACGCGACGAAGAGTGCGAGACTAAAGAGCGAGAGCCTCACCTGGCTTCTGACTATCGGGGAACAGGTGGATTTTGCGTGGGCGCATTTGGCAATATGTTCTGTCTTGATTTTCCTGCTGCAAGGACTCGCGATTCGACGAGCTTCCAGATTGCGTCCGGAAACGGAGTTTTTTCGATCCTTGACAACGAAAAGAAGCGATGTTGATGTTGATAGGAATGATACAGGGGACACAGCAGATCATGACTTTATCCCAGGACCAGGGGGCAGAGAGGCCGCATTTGATATTTCATCTATAAGAACAAGATCATCTGGCCATCGCAGCAGAAGTCAGGACAGAAAGATAGCTCAAGAAAGAAAGTCGAGGGTTTCTCCGTCTTGTCTACGTACCGCAGCAGCGTCTGATGCGAGACGAAAACTCGATCGGGAACGAGATGTAAGCAGGAAATTCACAGAGAATGTGGGCGGCCATGAAGATGAACGCTTCGCTGGGGAAGGCGACAACATCCAGAGATTTGATCCTGGGTACTCACCTACACCTTCGTCTGATGAAGACACGGATGATACCTTAACCTTGAAAAAAGAACCCCCTGATGATAGTCTTCGCTGTATGGAGCTTTGTCCCTCGTTTGGATCACGGCGGAATAAACGATCATCCTTGCGGAAACAGGCTACAAGGGTAAGCGCGGGATCCTCACGTCCATCTCGAAGTGCTGGCACAACTGCACTCAGTTTAGAAAATGTGCACAAGGTCTACGAAGGACGTTTACATGCAGTGCGCGGCGTTTCTTGGTCCTTGGATAGAGAAACAGGCGTCTTTGGTTTTCTCGGAACGAATGGTTGTGGGAAAAGCTCTGTGTTTCGAATGATTATGGGTCTCGAGCCTTTATCCAGCGGTCGCATCTCAGTCTGCGGCCGAGACACAACCCGGGAAATGTCGGAGATTCGCAAACTGATCGGTTACTGCCCGCAAACAAACTCGCTTCGCGGAGACTTAACAGTGTGGGACACTGCGGTCCTGTTCGCGCATTTGCGATTCCGCGACTTGCAGCAATGGGCGTGTGATCAAAATGACACTTTCACGAGGACGGATCCAGTGGCGTTTTTTAGGTCATCGTCTATTTCCCCAAGTAGCACCACCTGTAGAACTTGGAGGATGAAAAATGCTATCGAGCACGAAGTTGAGAAGAAGCTCCAAGAGTTAGATCTGGCTGATGTGCGTGAGCGCCGGTTTAAAACACTCTCGGGTGGAACGCAGCGTCGTGTGATGCTCTTACTCGCACTACTTTTTGAGCCACCGCTGGTTTTACTTGATGAACCAACTGCGGGTGTGGATCCACTGGGAAGGCAAGTGGTGTGGCGGGTCTTGCGCGCTATCTCTCATAATCGAAGTAGTTCGACGAATGCGAACTCTTACGATCCTCAGAACCGTCAAAGTAGTCAGTTCGTTTTGACATCGCATGCGATGGAGGAGGTCGAAGCACTTTGTGACAAGGTGGCGCTACAACATGCAGGTGAGCTTCGAGCGATCGGCACCGTGTCGGAAATGCGGAGCCAGTACAAACTCGGTTACGAGATACGAGTGAAGTTTCGAGACGACTACAAGTGCGAAGACCAGGACGTCGAAGATCATAGTAAAACTCCTTGCACGTCCACGTGGACGAAGCTCGAGCAGAGAGTTCTACGTGAACATGATATCTTCTTCGCCTCCACATTTTTCCAGGGATTCGACGATGGTAGTGCTAAACAGTCCGCTTTGCACAAGAAGCTCGTGCGGACAAAGTCTTTGTCTCCAAAAACAAGCTATGGCGGGAAAAATCCCGACTCGGATCCGGAGGAAGGTTTATACCGCGAGGCGAAACCACTACTGTCGGAGAAGAAGAATCTTCGTAATGCCGAAAGCCGGGAGCAGGACTCCAAGTACTCTGCGACCACCTCTAGTACAGATTCCTCGTCGTCGTCAAGCTCGACGATAGAAGACTCCTCGGAAAGAGAACAAAGCGCAGGTCGCAATAATGCGAACAATGATTCTTCATCAGCAACCGAGCCAGACGACGTCGGCGAGGATCTACACCGTTCTGCAATTCTTTTTCCGTTCGCGATTTTTTCCTGGGTCCTTGCGCCTGCCTTCGATGATTTGGGAGTATCCAAACACGGGAGAGAAGTTGACACCTACTCTAAGAAAACGAACTATAGATCTACTGCAGACCAGGAAGTGGCTCGGAGGTTGTCTTTGAAGCGGCGCAATAGTGCAGCTAAAACACGCGTTCAATCTAGCGAGGACGATTGTCTAGAGGACGAAATCGTTCGTGTAGCTCTGAAGGACGACCGAAAAATATCGTTTAAGAACAAAAGAATTGTCGACGATTTGTGCCAAAGCTCTAGTTGGCTGCGGGCTTTCACGCTCTGCTGCCGGCGACGAAGGGCGGAAAAATCAAAGTCGTCAGCAGGTGGGAGCGAACCGGAGCTATTCTCTTCGCCTCGACTTCTTCCGCTGCATACTAACGCTTATGTTGATCGCCACAGTCCAGGCATCGGGGATGCAAATAGTGTCGGTTGCGGGGTCGCATCTTTGAGGCAGTGTCTTGCCATGCCAGATGGCAAGAAATCCCTAGAAAACTTTTTGGAAGAGGCCGGATTGCTTTCTGAGTTTTGCGCAGAACTTGCACAGCGTGTAAACCACCAGCGTCGCTGCGAGTTGGTTCTTGCGTTTGTCAGAAATGCCCTCCAGCTGCAGGATGGTTCCGGAGGCTCATATACGGTTGTCCCACTTTCGAACGCGGGTAACAATTTTTCATTCACGGTTTCGAGAAAGGATGGCTTTCGCCTGTGCGATGTTCGTCGAATGATGGAGGCCCTCGCGGAGTTGAAGAATGTAGATAGTAGAGGCCCCCAATTTCTAGTAGATGAGGTCAGCTTTTGCAAAATCGGGCTGGACGTGGTGTTTCAGAAGTTGGAGCAACATTGAGAGTCAAGATTTTTGGATTTCATTTTACTTGAGTGGTTGCATAACAGTCGTTTTCTACAGAGTGCTTGTGTGCCTGGTAATCCGCACGTGGAAGCAATACCATGGACGCGAACTCGTAGTGTCTGTCTCACTGACTGTTGCAGTTTTTTGTCGGCCCTTGTCCCTCAGCATGGCGAAAGTACCTCCCTTGACTGAGCCTAAGAATATGTTGCGTGACGCCAATACCAACACACTCATTTTGTCATTCTCTTGTCGCCTGCTTAGCGTGAACAAGAAAGCCTATTCACACGGCTAACTAGATCTCTAGGGAAAGGCTCGGATGATCCCTATGTATACTGAAGAAAGCGGGGCGTTGCTTTCGCGTCTCTCAAGAGAGAACTTGAGAATAAGGAGAGAAGCGGGGGAAGACACTGACTGAAAATGTAATTGCGAAGAAGTCATTTGTTTTGCGGCTGGAGGGCGCGGAAAGCGAGTTGAGAAATACAATTAGATACGTGCGCTTACAAATGATATTGAAACACCATAGATTGGGGCGCACTTTTTTTATTGAACAAGTAATGACTAATGTATTGTGCTGTGATTGTGAACAAAAGCGGAATTCGATAGTAGCAGCATTTATCGACTATTTCCAACGTTTTTCTTGTTGACATAGAAGGTTGTATCAAGAAAAATGTCCACAATATCAGGGAATACGCTTTCAATGAGTCGTGCCTTGAGAAGGCGGGCGTGCCGCATGAATGTTTGGCAACCTTCGTGTTCCGTGTGGATGTCGGTGTTGATGCGCGTTGGCGTGTTGCTTTCCAAGTCGACAAAAGGGCTAGGTGTAGTAGCTACTGGCGAGCCACCAAAGACCAGCGCTGCTGCGCCTCGACCCATTCAAGGTGACGAAAAAATGGATGGGGACAGTGCTTCTACTAAGACAGACGATCATAGTGGTTCATCATCTTCTGGTAGCCCGCCGCCAGAAGTTAACCATGATAACTCGCCTTATATGGTTCGGCTCACGAGTGAGGACTTCGACATTGCCGTGTCATCGCAACTAGCGGAGGTGAGCACGTTTGTCATGTTTTACGCACCCTGGTGTGGCCACTGTGGCGCCTTGAGGCCTGCATGGGATCGCGTAGCGGAGGTCTGGGACCCAGATCGCTCAGTGCAGATTGCCGATGTGAATTGCGAGGACGAGGGCGAACTTTGTGTCCGTTTCAAAGTCACGGGCTATCCGTCATTGTTGTACTTCACAAAGGAGACAGGTATGAACATGATCAAGGCACAGCCATGCTGCATTTCGTTTTCAGTAGAAGTACTTCTGCAGTATGTGTATTTCCGAGCTCTGTGTGGGCTAATACACGACGAGGGGCCGTGAGATTAAAAAATATGACTTTATCCTGATTAAAAATTTCGAATTGGTGATTGAAAAATTGTGTACATGTACCTGTACGCCTGCTGGTTCCCCTTTTGGAACTAAGTACTTGTTCGATTGCAACTACAGGTAATATCAACCATGCTTTTCAGGTCCAAAGGGTGCAGAGTACACGTTCCAGCGCGATGAATTCATGTTGAAAAAATGGGTCTCGACAAAGCTGGCGCTTCCTTGTTCAGTCACCACACCACGCGGATGCTCGAAACTTAAGGCCCGTTTATCACTATCCCACGTAGACTAGGCTAAGTGGAGTCCCCCTTTTTTTATTTGAAGGGGAAGCTAAGGGGGAACGAACTCGAACACGGATAGCGAAAAACTACCTCCAAGAAACGCGAGAAGCTTTTCATCAAGAAAGTTTTGCGGAAAAGTCGCTTACAACTCCAAGAGCTGTTAGGTGAGCTTGAATCTGCGCTCGACGACTACAATGACGCACGCCAAGCTGCAAGAGACGCTGTTTTGGGTGCGAGCAATCAACCCCTAGAAATAAAATCACCAAGTGTAGTGGGAGAAATCAAGAATCTAGCTGATGCTGCCTGGGCGGAAAAGCGAAAAACTATTATAACAAGGTATTTGACAGAAGAAACCAGTAGTGCAACAATGAATAAAGACGCGTCATCTAGTGCAGGAGCGACGCCAGAAGGTGAAGGAGCGAAGAAAAAGGTTGCCGATGTAAGGCAGAAAGCCAGGAAAGCGAAAGGAGACAATGCTAAGGAGGATCTCTAGGTAGAGGATTTCAAGGTTGCATAATCGCGTTAAATCGATTTTGGTGCCTCGCTGGCAGAAAGGAGATCAGCGTCGCGCTAAAGTTAACATGTCAGTGCCGTCGAATGCTTATCCGGGAGAGTCTGTGTGCGCGTACATCGCCAATCAGTATGGAACAACCGGTACAAGGACACCATCAGGATCATGTACGGCATCGGACTAGAAGAACAATGAGAATGATCTTGGTGGGTGCTAATGAAAAGTGATCTTGCGTGGTGTTTCTCGCTTGAAACCTGCTCCACATGCAACATGCTATGACCACGTGCAACATTGCGTTATTTCCAAAAAGACTATCCCGATATGAACAAATTCTGATGGTCTTCTGGGCAGTCTTCATTATCCACGGACAAGTAGGAGTCGACGCTTGTGAATTTGAGAATCTTCCTCTCATTTGGACTCGTTTCATGGTCGATGCAGACACTGTTCCTCATGGTTGCCAAGAACAAGGATGATGAGTGTGCCCACTCTGATCATGGACACCTGCACTGGATTTTATCTCTATCGTGGTACTTTTACATCGGGAAAACATGCAACGTTGTACTCCTCAAAAAAGTCCAACGAAGGATCTTCTGACCAAACGAACAAATCTTCAAGCTAAGCAAACAGATCGATCATGCTGTTGGGGTTGGTGCGCTGTATCGATCGGTCAAAGCTGTTCTGTGGTGGTTGTGAAAGGATCCAGTAAAAAGAGACCAGATGCTCGATTTTCTGCGCGTGGGGATCCTTGCAAGATCATAACGAGTGCCCACATGATGCTAGTCGCGAGACATACTTCTTGAGCTTGATTCCGTTATTGTATTATACAACTTGAATTCGCGAACGCGAATCGACGGAAACGAGACCACAGTGCCGTCATGCTATCTGAGTAGGTAGAAGATATACAGATATCAATGCCGATACAACAAAAGTAGTACCAGGAGTACAGATTTTTTATTTTTTTGTATCAGAAAACATTTATTCCTTGATATACAAATTCAAACTTAATAGTCACAGGGAGCCGCTGACGTATCCTCTGGCGAGGATGGCTTAAATATACAGTGAGCTCATTCATCGTCTGCAGATTCTGCTTTTAATAATGTACTTAGCTGCTACTTATATTTATGCATGAACCAATCTGAATGGCGAAATTATCAGACGAACGAGCGTAAATATATAATGTTGAGTGGTTGATCTTGATATGGTTGTTGGGTCCAACTTACTGGAGAAATTGCTACGTATGTGAGATTTGATTGCTATGCAAATAAAGTTGTCTTTGATGAAAAAATATGAAGACCATCTAAGTTTTAACTAGAATTACCACTATTGTTGATGATCATGATAGAAGATGAAGTAAGTAAACTTTTTCTTTTGGTTTATTTTGAAAAGGATATCAAAATGGGCTTCACCTTGTGGGGCAGGTAATCGGCATAATAAATTTCGAAGACTGAAAATAATGTGGTCTATTCGCAGCGAACATTTGCGTGGTGCAGGAACTTTTACGTCGCATGCAGTGCTATGGAGCAAAGCAGAACTGGCGACCGTTTTTCGATAATGTGGATATCGATATACTTCAGTCTAGGGACTAGATTCCCCTTCGTTGTATCGAAAACTGGTGAGTGTGTTTTGTTGAGGAGATAAGGTGGAATTTTTCGGGAAGTGGATCGATGTGCCTCCTATTAGTTTCGGGATCACTTAATTGAGAACTTTTAGTCTCACTAAACGGGTTCCTGCTGTATGTAGTTTGCTAGTTCTGGCACATGATGCATGCTTGTATCGTTTATACTTAGAACTATTTAAGATTGAGGTACATCGAGGGTCCTGCAGTATCAATTACCTAACAAAAAATGAACAACAAAAATGAACATGATTGACTGTTGAAGAAATAAATGAATATACTCGCATATCACAATACTCGTATTTGTAGTAGATTACACCACGGTACTCAGTTTCAGTAAAATGCGTAGCGCCAATTTGCGACAAGCAGAAGCATCATTGTAGAACAAACATAATCGTTGAACTGAAACGCAACTTCATGCATATTGAGCTAGGGCTGCTAGCACAAGATATACAGTGTGATTTCATGCCGTAACTTCGTGCCTTGAATCGAAGATCTGGGATCTATTCTGCAAAACCGAAGCGATAAGTAAGTTGGTGCCGCTAGTATTTTGATATGAAAAATCAATCGATCACGATCACACTAGTAATTATTCTACTGATTGTAGTTTTACTGTAACCTCTTATTGCGCGTGTATGCAACATAAATGACAAATATTGGATGATACCTGGATGAGCAAGCTAAGACACGCGATTGTTTGCGTAGTCTTGTTATTCGCCTGCTCATAAGAAAACTAAAGATTATACGCTCACTTGCCGTGGTGAAATCATCAAACTTTTGCGTGTTGTTGCAGTTGGTCAGTAAAGGTAAACAATTGTGTAGTTATCTACTTTTTCGCTGCGGCTCCGGCTTGCTCTGTAAAACGTAGACAAGTGTTGATTTGGTCGACTCTCGTGGAAGAAGGTTTCACACACACACACAGACCGCTGAAGACGAACCTCTTCGATTGCGGCTCCTGTCTCAGAACAAACCGAGCAAGAACAGCATGAGCTCTCCTACCTTGACGACAGGCGACGCACCGCCAAGCGCGCATTGCATGGCCGGAAGAGGTGGAGAAGATGGGAGGAGTTTCTCACAAGGCGGTTCTTTGGTGGGCGAGTCTCCGCCAACATCGGCCCGCAGTGCCCCTTTCACGTCGGTCCTGCCGAAAAGCTTTTGGGCTGGCGACGGGTCCTGTTTCATGGGCGGGCGGGGAGCAGCGCCCTATCCACGCCCTATTAATAAGGAAGACGATTTTGCGGAGCGCCTGAAAGAGGTGAGTAAGAAACTGCGCATTCAGCTGTTGCCTCGTGGACGGCAAGACGCTAGTACAAGCCGCGGAAGCGAGCTGGTGCCAGCCTTTGCAAGCAGGGCCCGCGCGCAGGAATTCTTCATTCAAGACGAGTTCATGATGCACGATCGAGACGGGACATCTAACCTCTCGACAGAAAACAAGGACATTCCCCTTAAGAAGTAACCCTTGGTCTTCTTTCCTGTTGTCAATTCACATCAACTTTTTAGAGAAACAATAAGGATAAGGGTAGATGATAGATTGAAGCTTGGTTCTACTCCTAGCCCCTCTATTCTAATGTCCGATCCTGGTTGCAGGTGCAGATTTTGCCCGGCGTCTCAACCGATTCGGTTTTGGTCAGCGATTTCATTCTGCTATACCTTGGGAAGTTTGTTATCAAGGATGTCAGAATGCGGATGGAACGGATTTTTTTCGCGCTTAGCATGCTGAGTAGCAGGCAACGTGCAACCACCGAGATGGACACTTACGCAACGAATTACACCTGCTGGCTGCCATACGTACAGTTCTTTATGAGAAACATCTAAAGTAAATACCAATCTAGTGAACTTGTACTACAGGAATTCAATTTTCTTGCATCGCCGTGTCTATGATCCATCGAGTAGAACAAGATCTTGTTTAAGCTAGAAGTGGTTTTTCCTCTGTAGAAGAGCGGGCGCCGTTTGATCAAACGCTAACACATTGAGTGGCATGTTTTCTAAAAGATAGACCAAGAATGGAACAATTATAGATATTTGGTGTTGATTAAAAATTTTCAGGCTCGCTTAGACTGTACATTTGCAGAGCTTCCACGCGTGCTCTACCTTTCTGCGCACCACCTTGTGGGTCGGGGTGGCTTCCACGATATGAATCCGTCCTTGCACATGCGCTGTCGTGTTGAGGCGTTCCGAGACTGGAGACAGGAGACAATTCTCCTGACTCTATTCCAAGATGCCCAGGGCGAGTCTTGTGTTGTGGCAGTGCAACCACAGATAGGGAAGGACCTCGTCTTCGGGCAGCAGAAGCACTTCCCGTCTCCAAACGGAGTCCTGACAAAAGGCATGTACTTGGCCCTTACCCAATTTAGCGAGCAGCAAAAAGCTGAGCCGAAAGCAGCCCCGGCCGGGGGCAACAAACACACAACAAAACTCAGGTAATTGAGGCGACACTATGAAAAAACTAGCGAAAAAATATGAGAATCGAGTTTTTCATATAAAAACAAGTTTATATTATCGTATATGATCTTTGTGTCATGACGATGACTTAGCACCAATCAACTATAGAAGCACTTCCGACGTAGAAGTAATCCCAATTATATATATAAGCTGCATAGTGCTGATAGTCGTGCACCTTCGCCACTCCTGCTATCTTTGCTTCGCCTTATCTTCTGACTACAGGTTGCGGGAGTCGTTGTACAAAAAATTGTATTTGTTTACGGCGCGGATGAAAAGCGCAGAACGAAGGCTTCTGGGATTGCCGCATGTCGAAGCTTCAGACGAGAAAATGAGAAACTTTTTTGATCGTTTGACAGACCCGTCTCTCGCTACCACGTCCATGCTGTCCGCGGACCGAGGCAGCCCAGCCGGCGAACAAAACGCGCCAGACTCGCCCGCGGGCCTGCTCGAGAGTACCCGCGAGGCCGCAAAAGCGTCGACTTCGGGAGTCGTGGGAGCGCTTGCGGGAGTTCCTGTGAACACAAAAAGTAAGAGGAACACAGCAAGCACAGCGAAGATTGGTACTAAAAATATGCAGTCCAACTCTACTTCTTCGTCTTCTGGCACAACGACCGATTTTTATTCGAATAACGAAGGCAAGCAGTCGTCGTCGACGCAGAGCAGCAACACTGATAGTATTAGGATGAATGTTGTACGACCGCAACCGCGTGTCATCGATGGGAGGGAGATCTGGAGCGAGCGTGAAGTCCAGCAAGTATTTTGTGAGCATATGCGAAGGCTGCTGGCTCCCGATGCTGTCGCCCGGATTCAGCGGAGTGACAGAGACAGTCTGTTGCGAAAGCTGGACCACTCGTCTTTGACTGCGCGTTGGGAAGACTCGTCTGACCCTGTGCAGGTTCATGCGAGCACGACGTCTGGTGCTGTTCCTAGCACAGCAGCTGATCATCACCAGTGCTGTGGAAATCGGGTTGCGTCACCAGGTGGTAGTGAAGATGCTTCGAGAGAGGATGACTCGTCGTGGGTGTTGCAGTGGCACGGCCTGCACGACGAAGGCGAATTCGCTTGGAAGAATCTGGCGAATCCCCGTAGAAAAGAGGATATCTTAGATCTGATCTTGTGCTGCCTAAACGGTCGGGGACTAAAAAGCAGCGCAAGGCTAAAGGAAATACAGCAGGAGCACTCGTATCTTCGGGGGAAAGTCAAGCCACTTTCAGTGCCATGGCTCCGCACCGTCTATAACGAGCTCGGACGCGGAGCCACTTCTCGTTCATCGCTTGATCATGATGAAGAACACTCTACTTTGTCCAGCGATGTAAATGTAGGAGATGTGTCGCCATCGTCGTCTCGAAGTCGAAGTGGCGACATCAACAAGATGGAGCACCAGATGTTTCACGACCCAAGCTCCACGACTTTCAGTAGTACAAGAGGAACCTCAACATCCTCTTGCTCTCCTGCTGCAACAACATCCGCCGAAGAAGGTGCGGGC